AATAAAAGCGAAGATAGCAATAAGAACTTGGACATAACAAATAGACATGAAAATAAGAGCAAACATCATTTCAAACTACCTAGAGAACATTAATAAAAAAAAAATGACGTACTCGGAAATAACTAAAACGCGACCAAAACCTAATACACAGACTGAAAGCACGACAGACATCGTGAATATTACACAGCTAATGGAAACCATGATCGAAAAGATGCAACAAACTATGATGACACTTATGGGAAACATGATGGATAGAATGCTGAACAGTATTGTTCAACTAGTCAGTAGCCTTTCTAAGAAATGATTGGACACAACCTCCAAGTCATTACTTGGAACGCTAACGGCTTGACGCCACGACGTCAAGAACTCGAAACATTCCTTCACACAGAAAAAAATGATATTGCCCTTATATCAGAAACCAGGTTCACTACCAAATCCCACGTCGTTTTTAAAAACTACACAACACACTCAACCAATCACCCAACTGGGTTATAGTCATGGTGGCTCTGCAGTGATCATTAAAAATAATATCAAACACTACCTGGAGCAATACTGTACTGAGAAAATACAGGCAACTACAGTTAAAGTTTTGAACAACAAAGGCGACATAACATTCACAGCTGTATACTGTCCACCTAAACACAGCATATCTGAAACAGAGTTCGAAACGTTTTTTCTGACATTAGGCACAAGATTTATTAGTGGCGGAGACTGGAACTCTAAACATTCACAATGGGGGTCCCGACTGATTAATCCAAGAGGCAGGCAATTACTTCGCACAGCCGAGAAAATGAGAGAAATCCTAACCGGAAACAAACCAACTTACTGGCCAGCCGATAGAAATAAGATACCTGATCTACTCGACTTCTATATTTCTAAAAACATTGATATTAACTGTACGACAACAGAATCACTGGATGATATAAGCACGTCTCTAGCACTGACTCATGCACCAACAAGAATATATAACTTGAAAATCACAAACTGGGAAATGTTTAAAAATGTTATAGCAACAGAAATTAACCTAAAAGATAAGATTAAGACAGTAGAAGACCTTGAAAATGAAGTGGAGAAATTGAACATAACTATACATAGAGCGGCTTATAAATCCACGCCTAAGAGCAGGGGAAGACCATTTAAACAAAACGTATACCCTAAAAATATTAAAGAAAAAATATTGGAGAGACGTAGACTACGCAAAACCTGGCAGACCTCACGATACCCAAGAGATAAAAGACTCTTTAACAGATGTTCTGAAGAACTAAAGAGCTTAATAAAACAATTTAACAAAGACAATCTGCAAAATTACTTAGCATCCTTATCTCCTACTTCAGACACAAATTACTCACTATGGAAAGCAACTAAAAAATGAAGAGACCCTTCACACATAATCCACCTATAAGAAACAACACTGGTGGATGGGCCAGATCTGACCAGGAAAAAGCAACTGCCTTTGCCGAGCACCTAAGCACGGTCTTCCAACCTTTTCAAGACTCGTGTAAGCACCACACAAACGCAGTGGAAGAATCCCTAAAAACGGCTATACAAATGTGTTTGCCCCTAAAAGCCACATCACCCAAAGAAATACTGCGGGAAATAAAACATCTCCAAGAGGATATGACCTCATTGATGCAACACTCCTAAAACACCTACCACATAGGGGACTTATGGGACTAGTCAAAATCCTTAACGCTTGTCTGCGACTTGGGCACTTTCCTGCACAGTGGAAAATAGCGCAAGTGGTGATGGTGCCTAAACCAGGGAAACCACCACAGGAAACCACTTCGTACAGACCAATAAGCCTACTACCTGTGATTGGAAAACTCTTAGAAAAGATACTGCTTACCAGAATGAAGGAGCATCTCAACAAAATTGTCCCAAACCATCAATTTAGATTTCGTGAAAATCATGGTACAATCGAACAGGTTCATCGCACTGTTGACACTATCAGCAGGTGTTTAGAGAATCGCAAGTACTGTTCTGCGGTATTCTTGGATATTAGCCAAGCTTTTGATAGGGTATGGCACACTGGGCTGGTATACAAGATTAAAAGGTGGCTACCTCATTCGTTTCTGCCAATTCTTATCTCATACCTCAATAAAAGAAGCTTTCAGGTAAATTGCAATAATGAATACTCACAACTCTACGACATCAAGTCAGGCGTCCCTCAGGGTAGTATACTAGGGCCTGTGCTATACGTGATCTATACTGCAGACCTCCCAACTAATGAAAATACAATGACTGCAGCGTACGCTGATGATACGGCATTATTATCTACAAGCATCGATCCAGAAACTGCTTCGGCACAGCTGCAGGCTCATCTGAATGAGGTAGACAAGTGAGAATAAAAGCAAATCAGACTAAATCAGTCCATGTGACGTTCACTCTTAGGAAAGAGACTTGTCCAACTGTAACTCTGGATAACCAAGAGATCCCTCAACGGGACTATGCAAAATATCTGGGAATGCACCTTGATGCACGAAGACTGACGTGAGAGAAACATATATGGGCCAAACATAAACAGCTCGGTGGTAAGCTTCGAAGCCTCTACTGGTTAATAGGACGCTACTCTCAGTTAAGTAACAACAGCAAGATCTATAAAGATCTATAAAACAATCATAAAACCTATCTGGACATATGGGATCCAACTGTGGGGTACAGCAAGTAACAGCAACATAGACATACTTGAAAGATTCCAAAGCAAGGCACTGAGAACTATGTTTAACATCCCGAATTGCATAAGCAATTCGGGAAGTTAAACAATAAATACATGTATATGGATTATACATGTATTTATTGTTTAACATCCCGACAGTCAGACAGACATAAAAACAGTCAAACAGGAAATAAGCCAGTACAGAATCCTATATCAAAATAGGCTAACCGAACATCAAAACGAACTAGTAACAGCATTGAGTGGAAAGGGAGGCCTACAACACACGCGGCTAAAGCGAAGCGACATTCCTAGTCTGAGCAGCCGCTTTACATAAAAAACAATAAAAGTACCGAATGGTCAAACAGAGGAATGGCTTATTGTTGTTGAAGGAACAGATTGCCATATAGCAGTACACAACAAAAAAAAAATTGTGCATTTAATGTAGAAGGAAAACTTGAAACAAACCCTATACCAACCCGTCTGGCCAGCGTGGTATAGTAGGCCAAAACCTCCTTTCTAAGGAGAGGCCTATGTCCAGCAGTGGACTAGTATAGGCTGTTGATGATGATGATGAATGTAGATTAAAATTGCTTTTTCCAGCATATCATTAAAATGAATATTTTAGAAGAAATTATAGGCTCAAAATGCAGAGATGAAGCGGCCGTCGCCGCTTCGGGTCGTACGTTGCGCAATTGGCAGCGGAGCTGGCCTATAAATATTGCATATAAAAAATGTCCTGTAGTATAGTCCTATCATAATAATAGTATAATTAATTACTTCATACTGACACCACATAAATAGTATCTATCTACATCGCACCAAATCTTTGAAATTCTCGGATTTTCTCTACTATAATATGCATGCATTATACATATAACCTTCGTCTTGAATCACTCTGTCTATTGGTAAAAACCGCATTAAAATCCGTTGCTTAGTTTAACGTGTCGCATTAAAAGATCTAAGCGTACAACACAAAAAGGCGACTTTATTTTATACTATGTAAGTATAATATGCTTATCATTCTTTTTTTATTCAGTTAGGCACAACTTTATGAGAATATTAGCTGATGCCGCGATGTATTAGTCGGTTATCGCTACCAAAAGTAGCCTATTTCCTTTCTATAGGTTTAAAGTTTTAAATCAAGTCAATTCGTCAAAAATTCTTTTCTTTTCTTTTTAAAAAGACAACGCCCGCAATAAGATATATATTTCTGTGTCGCGAGGGACTTTACAAACATACATGAAACGGACACAAAGAACACCCAGACTCAGAACAACAATTTGTATATCATACAAAGTATCGCCCCATGTGGGGTTTGAATCCACAAGGAAGCGCCGTGGCGACCACTTAAACCACTACGCCATCCGTGCAGTGCAGTGCAAAAATATATATATAAACTTTTTTATAAGTAACATATTTTTTACCATTTTTCGATAAAACTAATGCCATCCCATGCCATGAAACAACAGTGAGTGACCTTCACAGCCGCGGAATATCCTGCCATGATGTTAATTTATGGTAAACTCTATCAAAACGCATCTTTAGCTTTACTGACAGGTATGGAGTCAATCGTGTATGTCCTACAGACTGCCGAATTTTTGTAAGGGCGGTACAAAGATTACGAGACAACCAAAGTACCTACTTTTTCAAGGAGTGACACGTACTGCCGGGTCTGAAGCTAGTCGAGCATTCCCAAAACAAATACGTGAATAAAATCGTATTTTAAATAAATAGATTTTAAAAAGCAAGTGAAGTGATTAGTAGGTAGGTAATAAGAATGTAACGTTCGCCGCCTCGTCGCGGCGGCGGCGGCGCTTTGATGTCGCTGCCGTGTACAGTTCACCGACTCATGTTATCAATGGTGTTCTAACTCGGCAATTATTTTATTGTATTTATTTTGTTCTAAATTTGCATTTCTGTATTTTCGTACTAATTTTTTTTTTTTTATTGTAACCGACGTTACCTGTTACGTACGGTGTTATCTGTTTTTTCATTTTTTGTGATATGTTTCATCACATAGTGTATAAAGAATTGACGGCCGGCGTAGTGGTTCGTGTAACGGACTGCTTGGTGAAAGATCGCGCGTTCGATTCCTGCTCAAGTCAAACATTTGTATGAAGAACAAAATATATGTACAACACAGTATATGTGTATTTATATCAGTTGTCCAGTACCTGTAGTACAAGTTCTGCTTAGTTTGGGACTAGATGGCGTTACGTTGTGTAAATGTGGTTAGAATATTGTGTTCTTATTATAGGTATAACATGCACGAAACTGAATTCCGAACACGAAATTTGAAAAGAAGTAAATGAAAGAGTAGTAGAAGTAAATGAAAAGTACTCACTTTCTTTAATTGACTGTATGGAATCACAGTACCTTTTGAAACCTTTTTTACTTCTGCAAAGTACATTTAAATTAATTTGGCTTATTCCTAATTTTCGTAATTTTTCTATCCTTTCTTCAACAGTTTTCTGAGAGGCAGATAAAACTCTAGGTTTATTAGCTATATCTTCAACTGGAAACCCCTCATTTATTAAAAAGTCCAAAAATTTTTTTACCTGAAAATATAAGTACACAATAAATGTATATAACATTTATTGTAATGATTATTTTATTTATATAAAAACACAATGTCAATAAGAAAATCAGTTGATCACGAACTTTTGTGACTCTTATGGTCTTTAGTGCTGGCATTCTCATACACATTGTTTCAATAGCTTCAACTGAAGTGTTTAAACGATTTGCTAAATAAATCTTTGTTGATTTAGTTTCACCTAAAATATCCTTTGTTTCTTGAGATATACTTAAAAATCTAAAAAAAGAAACAATATGTGTATTAATAAATATTGAAGATATTGGGCACTGTGGACCATAAAATTGCTTGTGTAGTTTAATTATTATTAGCTATTATTTATTGACGGACAGATATTTTCGTCCTGCCACCATAAATAGAAAAACGTAATATGAAAGGCAATATACAATATTCAACACTAATTTCAAGTGAGTATAGATAATCGACACAGTTAACATGTAAAAGGCAACTCCTGCTCAAGGAATATCCTGTTTACAAACATACATGAAATGGACACAACGAACACCCAGATTCAGAATAATATTTTTGGATCACACAACACTCAGCGCAGTAGGAAGCGGAAAGGTAACCGCTTAAACCACTACAACATTTGTGCAGTCAAATTAATGATAAAGGATAAGTTGTTAAGTTCTTACTTTCACTGCAAAGGAAAATTAATTCTACCTTTACATGTTGTGCTATTATCTCAATAATTTAATAGTGTAATTAAGGCAATGTTTATTTTAACTTAACTTAAAAAAACATCAAACCTATTTAATATTTCCTCCGAACATCTAACCATCCAGGGATGTAAAATTTCAACACCATTGTTCTTAACAATTTGCAGTCTGTTACGAATTGTTTCATGATGATATTTCAGCACCCACAAGTCACGCAGTATACCTTCACCAGACACACCCATTTCTGAAAATTATTATATATCCATGAATGGTGTACAATAGTGTACATAATATGAATATTATAATAGAATTAGAGCCTTCTAAAATGAGTCAGCCAGTTGTTTAACCAATCATGATACTTTTGGTGATCAGTGTAATTATTAGAAAAAAAAAACAATGTTATATATTATAAATTTATCAAGTCAATCATTGTTTTTGCATTTGATAGTTTTTGAACTGTTCAACTCTCAATATGATGAAAATTACTATTAAATTGTAGTAGTCAGAAATTTATGGGAAGTTTTACTGATTTACACATTACACACATACACCATGCTTGCATCACCAAAGGTATAGACAGAGGCATATTATACCGTCATATTTTGCAGACCATAATTTAACCATTGAATTGTCTCTGGAGATTTTTAATATCTAGGGCCTAGGCTATTGATTATGTCTTAAAAACAGGGCAATAAGGAACTAAGATGGGCATGGGTTTTTATTGCAGGAATCAATCAATGGGTTATAAATGAAGGAAAAACTGTGGAGTGCTATTAAATTAAAAGGTGGAAATTGAAGATGGGGGAGAAAAACCACCCCTTTTGGTTTTTTCAATATATCTCGTAAACAAAGCAAAATTTTGTTAAATCTCATTTGAAACATTTCATAGAGAATCAAATTTCCCATTGAAATAGCATTTTCTGAATCTTAAAAATCATTTTTTTCATGCCGAAACAGTTGAAACAAACTTGATTTAGATTTTGGAATAAAGTTCCTTATCGCGCGTTGTGAAAGGGGACTAGACGGAAAAAAATCTCATGAAAAGTTGTTTGTGTGACACTTTTTATTTTGAATTGTCACTTGTCAGTCATTCAGCGCCATCTATCGAACAGATAGGAAATCATTACTTTTCATCTCAGTAAAATTAAAATTTATGTTCTTAGGTTGAGCAAAAAATATTGTATTCGACATCATTTCTCAAGGAGATTTTACCAATGTATAAATTGTTTTAATTAGAAACCAACTGAAAAATATGTAGGTAATAGCCGCTTTCATAGATGGCGTTGTAATTAAAATCGTGTCGAATCAGTTTTACCCGATCATCACAACTTCGTTCCTATCGGGTGTCCCACAACACCACACGGCTTTTTTTTTGTTTTATTTTTGCTTTTTCGCCTGAATGTTTTCTTTGGGCTTAGATAGGAATAGACATTGTTTCAGATTAAAATAAATAGATGAAATTTTCTTTAAAATGGGTTTCAACAATTTTTTAAATGAAATTGACTAACATATGGCCATTTGAACCTGTTTTTCTTTTCATTTCATTCCTCAATTCCATTTGTCAATGCGAACGAAAACAATATTGGTACAAACCAATATTGTTTTCGTTTGCATTGACAGAAATATTGTTTTACTTGATTAAAAAAGTTTTTTTTTATGTTTATTATTTTATTTAATTTGATATCATATTTTGCAAAAAAAATATGATTTTAAATTACAATAGAGATATCTTACCTAGCAACACATCTAATGCTCTCTTTATCCATTCAAAGGATAAGCTATACACAAAAGATCTCTTTACTAATTTTTCACTTAACACTTCTGATGGTACCTAAAATAAAATTCATGTGATTGATTTATTTAATCAAAAACAATATTGTTAATTCCAATTCAAATAAAATGAAATTTAATACATAAACATTACGTTAGTCAATTAATATTATTTAGTTATTAGTTAATATTATAAGTTGAAACTAAATGTCTTGAGTCAGAATAAAATGAGAATATAATAACACAAAATAATTAATTAATATGCAATCAAAATATTACATAAAGATTAAACTACATTTAAATGATAAAAATAAAACCCCTCTTTTTTAATAAAATCAATAATCAAGTGTTTAAGAAACAATCAAGATCAATGTTTTAGAATATAAATGTAAGTATTGTTAAATTAATAAATACCTTAATTCGAGAAGAAATATAATATAACCTATTAATACAAAATCCTTTAGCTTCGTCATTTTTGTTAGTTTGATATATGTGAATCAATGTCTTCATTGGCAATTTATAGAATGGTAAGGCATCTTCAGCAGATTTAAAATTTAGTGATAATATGAGTTTTGCTTTAGATTCGTCAAACCCTAAAATAATAACAAACTGAAATGAATGTGAATGTTTATCTATTAATTAGCTGTAGTTGACAGTTAACTCACCTGTTTCGGGACCTATGTTCGATTTATTTAGTAATTTCCTATTCGAATGTAGAGCCAAACTAACAAAATTATAACACTGCGCCTTAAATGATAAATAACGTAATTTAGGACTAAAAGATGATAAATTCATAGGTTTTAATATCATAGATACAAATGATTTCAAAGCCATAGTTGTGTATGGCTTGTTAATATTTTGAACGGGGCTCAATCTTTTATTCCGTGGCTTATGAGGCATGCAACCATAAAGTAATAATAATCTAGTCTAATATAATTGTTGTTGTTCTTCTTTAACTTTGTTATATTATGATAATTAGATAGTCCATCTAATTTAAGAGTTACTGTAGGACAGTTCTGAGTTCTGACAGTTTGAAGAATAGTGAGGAGGTCAAAGAAATTGATTACTACAATATCCGATTTTAAGATTTCTTTTTTTTTAAATTGATTTTAATTTTATATTATTACGAAGAGCAGAGGTAAGAAGAACCATTTATGTGCATAAAAAGTATGAAAAGTGTCAATCAAAATGCGTTAAATTGTGGGCACTTCAGTAGCACCAGGGCAAATTTTAAAGAAAGCTCCACAATTCATTAGAGTAGGATAGAGAATTAAAAACAGTGAAGAATTACATTGTGTAAAAATTTTATTGACTTAAAAAACAATTAAGTAATTAACCTGTACTAGACTAGCTACACTAGCGCCATTCCCTTTGGCTACACTAGCGCCATTCTGATCGGTTTTAGAACTACTAATTTATTGCTTTTTGTTGGACACTTTTTCGATTTTTGATGCTAGAAATTCGACTGAAAAATGATAACACGAGCTTGATATAGAGCACTCATAACATCCCCAGACTCGTCAACAGAAGTTCCGGCAGTGGCTGAGGCGTCGAGCTCGACTTCAAGCGACGAGTTTTTCCCTCCGCCGACGTCGCCAACACCCGTACGTCGGCAGGAGAGAGGCCGGCCACCCGGCCCGGGGATTCCGAGGACTACTAACCACGAACAGGGTCCCCGCTACCGGTGGTGATGTGCGCCGCATGAAGTTGACAAAGTCTATCAATGAGAATGTCATGCGGGCATATTATCAGGCTACAGAGGTGGGAACGAACCTTACTGCGTACCGTGTTTGACTAGTCTCTTTGTTTCAGGAGCTTGAACCAGCTGTCAACGTATCAGCACAACGATTGTCGGATCAAGTACGAGCTATACAGCGCTGTCATCTGCTGGATGATGCAGTACTTTAGAGGATACGCTCTGACATACGGAATAGCTTAATTAACCCTTCTTCGTCACACACTGTGGATTTGGTAGCCAACAGCACACCTCAGTTGGTATCACATACTGATGATATTGATGAACTAGTGGAGAGTGAAGTTATATCCGTAAGTACCCAATACAATGATAGGATAAGGAGGGCTTTGGAGGATGCGATTCTGGAACACCGATATTTAAATTACTATGATAGGCCCCGGTTATTCCGTTTGCCCTTTCATAAACGAAATGTAGCGTTGGTGGGTGCCCTGGATTCGTTATTGCCTGAGTATTTAGATAATAGCGAAGATCTTAGTGGTACACATTCTATTCTATACTGTGCGGCTATTGCAGTTTGTCGAGTAGCTGGTGTAAAAATAGCTGACAATGTCACTACTACTCGACCTAAGGCAGGCTTTCTTGGGGACTACCATTAGTCCTCAACAGTACATGTCATGTGTCACAGAGCGCATAGACTTTCTAAAGCAGAAAATGTATGCATGAGCAAATAAGATAAGACGGTATAAAAAACGAATAGATCGGTATAATCGGATGTTCCAAAGAAATGAGAAGTGGGTGTACTGGAAATGGGAGGAACCGGATCCATGTGTGAGTGATGGGCATTTGCCAGATGAAAATGTCACAATTAATACATTTAGGTGCAACATCTGGTTGGTGCCTGTCACTCATATAGAAGGTGATTGGTTGCGGGATGTCAGATGCTCATGTGAGTCTATGGCACCTATGGAACCTGTTTTAATTGATAAAGATTATATAAGTTGTGCAGTTCGTTCATTACCGAATTGAAAATCACCTGGTCCAGACGGACTGCACAACTTTTTTCTTAAATGGTGCCTTTGGCATCTCAATTTCAGGCAGCATTGGATTTGGGTTCATTACCCCAATTTTTAACCACTGGCATAACCCACTTACTCTATAAGTCTGGTAGTGTCATGGATCCCAAAAATTTTAGACCTATCACATTTCTACCAACCATGTATAAACTTCTAACAGCTATTCTGAGACTCAAAATTACTTTACATATTAATAATAATACGATTATGTCAGTTTCTCAGAATGGATGTAGAAGTGGGACTCGTGGCACTAATGACCTCCTTATCATAGACATGACCATTAGCCAACAGGTACGTCGTAATCGTAAGAGTTTGGCGACGTGTTGGATAGACTATAAGAAGGCTTATGACTGGGTTCCATATACATGGCTGTTGAAGGTGCTGGAGTTGTATAAAATTGATACAACTCTGCACTTTCTTGAAGTCATGTATGGGGCAATGGAGAACAGCACTTCGCTATTCTGAATGTCGGCAGATGGCGGTACACGATGTACTAATAAAGATCGAGCGGGGTGTATTTCAATGTTATAGTCTGAGTCCCTTGTGGTTTTGTCTGGCTTTGAACCCTCTTAGCACTTCATTAGAGGGTTCAGGGTTAGGTTGCAGAAAGATGATCAAGTTATATCTCACCTTCTTTATATGGATGATTTGAAACTGTTGGCCCCCAACAAATTACAATTGACAGAGTTACTAAAGGTGACGGAAAACTTTAGTAATTCTATCAAAATGGAATTTGGTGTAGACAAGTGTGCAGTCATGTATGTAAAGAAGGGTGTGATAGTAGAATCTGAAGGAATAGAGCTTTCAGATTTAACAAAACTCAGATCTCTGTCTGCCACTGAAACTTACTAGTATCTGGGTATATCACAGTCGTTGGGAATACCAAAATCTAAAATGAAACGGAAGTTGCAGCAACGCTTTTTTGGCCGCTTGAAAAAGTACTTAAAAGTCTTTTATCAGGGGGCAACAAGGTGCGAGCCTGCAATGGTTGGGTCATGCCCGTTCTGATGTATTCCTTTGGTATACTTAGATGGACTCAGACCGAATTAGATGCCCTTGACAGGAAAGTACGTACACTGCTGACTGCATCGCGAATGCACCACCTACGTTGTATATCCCAATATAAAGCTTTTGGGTCGCGGCCTATTAAATATCACTGTCGAGCATGCCACCGTCCTGGCGAATCAATCAGGCATTTTATTTCTGGTTATTCCACAGACACAACCAAGGAGCCAGGGTCGTACACCAACAGCTTGCCCTTAAATACCATCTTATGAATCTAGAGGTGCCATACTACAGGTGTGCCCGACCCAGTTCTCGAGAATGGTCAGGACAGACAGGACTATTGTTGCCAATAAGCCAGATATTGTGGTGATAGATCGATTAGAGCGCCACGCAATGATTGTTTATATCGCCGTTCCTCATGACGAGAATCTCGTGAGAGTTGAAAAAGAAAAACAAATCAAATATTTGGATTTACCCCTCGAGATTGTCGATATGTGGAATGTTCATTCGGTGATCATTGTTCCAAAAGTCGTATCTGCTCACGGATTGATGGTCAAGAGTCTCGACTAACACCTTAAGAAGCTCACGTTGGACGGCTGGATCAAGGGTCTGATGCAGAAGGCACGTTTACTTCTCTACGTCTTCAGAGCGTCGTTCAGTGAAGACTTCGTTGGAGATAAAAATGTTGACTTTACACCTTATAACAACTTATCTTCTTAATAGGGAACATGCATGTATTTTTTTTTTTTTAACGATTCTACTAGTTATTACATTACCAAAAATAAATATAACACATCCGAAATATAAACCGTTAAGCAAAAAAAAAATTTGTTGAAATCACTATCATTTTGGGGCAATTTGAACACGTCCATTTTAGCGCGCTTTTTTTGTGACGTCAGATTACACTATCAGATGAATTTGATGTCAACAACGGAGTGAAGTTCACAAAGTTTCTAAAAGTTCAAAAAGTGAGTGATAAAAATTAACTTATTACCATGGAAAAGCCAATAAAAACTTATTATAAATATTGTGCCGTTCCTTTGTGCCCAAATAATATCAAAACTGCACCTGACAAAGTATATTCAGTCATTGTGTTGAGTCTTTCTACACGGGAATTTAATAATTTAACACTGAAAACGTATTAGTTATTAACTTAAAATGAAACAAATAATCACCAGAAACCAAATATTACAAATACACACAACTTGTTGACACTCTTGACAGTGTAGGTTGACGTCACGTTTTATTCAACCAATAGCGTTGCGTTTTAGAAATTTGCGAGGGAATTTAAAAAAAGCCAATTTTTGATGATTAAATTTCACTATTAAATCATAATAAATTTCAAAAATAATTGTATGGGTATCTTTTTTTAGCAATAAAAATTACAAATAAAAATATTTTGTCCATTTTGGTGTCACGTGCATATTCCCTATTGGTGGTTAAGGAGGTGTTTGGCGGTGACTTAAGAGGACGAAACATCATTACAGAGATTTGGTCAAAAACACGCACACGGTACTTTAGGTTAGTATTGAGACTAACAACAAACCGAAAAACCAGCATAATGAAAAAAAGTAGAGATTAAAAAAGAAAAACCGTTTTTTGCCTTTACTATGTTACTGTCATGCTTTAGAAAAAAAATAGAACAAACAGATTTTTTCGTGCCATTTTATGTTTCATAGAAAGAGCATCAATAATTAAAAAATATGAGTTAGAATTTATTTATTTATTTAGTATCCACACTTACTACTATAATTACAGGTATATCCTAATGCGATAGCGTAACTATTACAAAAATGCTTGTTTTACATAACCTCTAACTTTTTGTTTTGTAACATATATAATTTATAAAACTGTCTTTGTGAACTCACTCAGTGTACAGCTAAATAAGTCGATATCTGTGGCTACTAGGTTTAGGGTGCGTAACGCACGCGTTAGAGGCGCTTCGCTTAGCAAATTAGTGCGTCCGCGCGGCACCGCCAACAATGGCGGACGGCGTCGCCGCCACACATACCCGTCCGGTACACACATGCCTATCAATCCTAATATATTGCTGTCGTAGATTTTTCCCCTTAGTAGATTAAATATATAGGAGGCAAGACTAAGGTCCCTTCTGACTCTAAGCTCGTTATATCCGACCATGCCCAGGACAAACAGAGTCGGATACATGAGTGGGTAAAATGGGTAAACCCCGTACAGTCGCAAATATAAAAACCTCCCAAATTTGTTTTGGACTCGCTCCAGCATAAGACTATATTTAATCTCCTGCGGAGACCAGATGACTGCGTTGTATTCTAGCTGACTACGCACTAAAGCATTGTATAGAGTAACTATGGCTTTAATGTTGGTAAACGACTGAAACAGTACAAAACCTAGATTCCTGTATGCTTTTTTACAGCACTTGACTATGTGGTCACGAAACGTTAGCTCTGTGTTAAGACTTATACCTAGATCCCCAACTGTTTGGACCCTAACCATCGAGACCCCATCAACATTATAACAATGTAAGTTGGGATTACGTGCACGAGAAAAAGTAATGGTGACACATTTATTGGGGTTAAATTACAAACGATTTTCCTTGCTCCAAGTCACAACATTGTCTATGTCCTGCTGCAGACGCCTACAATCATCGTCATCGTTCACAGCGAGAGACAGTTTAAGATCATCTGCAAACAGCAAACAATTTGCGTATTTTACTCGCTTTGACAGATCGTTTATGATTAATATAAATTGCAGAGGTCCCAAATTACTGCCTTGACTCACACCAGACCAGGTAAAATATGGTTGCGAGGTGTATCCCGCATAGTCCATATACTGCTCCCGGTCCATCATGTAACTGCTGAAGAACTGTAGTAAATAGGGAGTAAAACTGACGCCTGCTAGCTTCTTAAGCAGCACGTCATTATCGACTAAATCGAACGCTTTCTTGAAATCAAAGTAAGCAGCGTCAGCCTGACCCCCACTATCCACCGTAGGCAGTACTTGACTCATATAGTTTAGGAGATTGGTGGTCGTGCTCCTCTTTGGCTGGAATCCATGTTGAGAGTTCGAGACCTGTGACCTTACCTGCATAAATACGCTCTTGTAGATAGCAGACTCTAACACCTTCGCCGGCGACGATAGAACTGCAATCGGCCGGTACTCGTCAACTTTATCCCCCATCCCACCCTTTGGCACAGTTACTACATGAGAAGTTTTCCATCTATCTGGAAAAACTGCTGTTTGAAGACATTGGTTAAATATGTACAGCAACGGTTCGGCCAGTACTGACCTACAGTCCCTAAGTATGAAAGGTGGTATACCATCTGGCCCACAGGATCTCTTAGGCTTAAGTTGTGCAAGCGCCTGCTGAACTTGACCTAGTTGCAATTGTTGCAAGTGAATCCGTGCCGCTCCATTTTCAGTGCCCGCACCCAATACCGCTTTGCTAACATCTAACTCGGGGCGATTGGGACTATACACAGAGTGAAAATATTTTGCGAACTCAGTCGCGCACTGCTCATCGGTTAATATCACCCCATCCTTTAAGATTCTTTTCGGAACTCTGCCACCTCTCTTAGATTTAGAATAGTTCCAAAAAGACTTGAATTGAAAAATAATTGATCTTATTTGCCAACGAAATGCTGTAAAAACCATACTGACCGAAAGAAAAAAAAAACAGTAATCATATTATGAGAAATGACTCACTTGATCAATGACAATTCAATCACTTATTTCCAGATTTTATGCATTAAAATCAATCTGAATTCGCTATAAGAACAAATATATAATAATATTATATATTTTAGACCAAAAGAATTAATTAAAAACTCAGTGTTGCCAATTTTCACGTGTGCAAATTACCCGAAATATAGGAAATTTTTGGGATTTTAAAATCAATTTCTTAACTTTATTTATTCAATACGTAGTTACTTCTAGGTATTTTATGGAGTATGGAGAAATTATTTGATGCAAATAATTAGAAATTGCAATGCTGAAAATGAAAGTAGAAAAGTTTATTGGCAATGAAAGCGTTTTTTTTAACTTAGAATCCGACCATACTTTCGCCATCATAGAACACAAAATAAGTCTTATTAGATATATATATCGGAAAAATATTTAACAAGCCGGTTTCACTGAATCTCGAAATTAAAGGAAATTCCAAGAACCACTCAAAGCAAAAGACATAAATTTAAAAAAATACTTAGCATTTGATATATTAAACAATAGAACCAATAAAATTTATATTTATTATTATTATTTATTGACTGTGTTTTTAGAGTTTACATTTGGATAACTCGGCAACCCCAAATTTATTTACACATAAAGAGCTGCCGCCATTACATTGCCTCAGTTTTGTCTTAGCGGGAGTTTTTAATACGTCCATGCTGCCAAAGTATAACAATGAAATATATTCAAAAATATCCTAAAATAATAATAATTTGTGATATTTATGTTTTACAACCATCATCATCATCCTAGCGTTAATCCCGGTTACTTCCGGTGACGCCCGGGGTTCGCTTTCCAACTCATTCCCCTCCACTTCACGCACGCTTATCATCCCTCACGACGTCAAGCCTGCACTTCTTAGGTGTTCCCCTCCTAGCAGGGCCGGTGGAGGCCCCATGGCCAGACCGGTTACCGCAAGACCTAGCCATACCACCGGAGGCGACACTCTTGCGACTTATCCGCAATTTCACGGACACGAAGGCTACCACGGATGCGAGAGTTCCTCACACGGTCCTTCCGCGTGACTCCACACATCCACCGCAACATATGCAGCTCCTTCTTGTGTCAGGCCAATAATGGCCACGCCTCACAGCCATGTAAAAGGACAGGCCTAATGATGGTTTTATAGACCTATTCCTTCAACCTGACCGGTATTTTGGGGTCACAAAGGACACTAGTCATTTCATGCCATTTGGGCCCCGCGGCAGGAATTCGTACCTTGACATCGCAATCGATGCCACCGGTGGCGTGAAATAAAATTCCCAGGTATTTAACCTAGTCCATACGCTTGACTAAGTCATCGCCTATGTGAACGGATGTGGGATCGTTGAGTTTAACATCAAGTACTTCGTCTTAGCCAAATTCAGCTTCAGACCGCCGTTTTCAAGCGTCTACATTCCATTCCATTCCTTCACACGTCACACCAACCTACCCCTGTCCATGTCCGCCAGCGCGATATCATCAGCATACATAAGCAACCATGACGGCTACTCATGAGGGTCTCTGATGCTGTCTGACAAGACGTCTCATATAACGTAGAACAGAAAAGGACTTGGGACTGATCCTTGGTGAACCCCGACGGTGATGGGGCAGGGTTTCGTGTCGCCAACAGCAGTCCGAACCACAGAATCAGAATCACGGTACATGTCCCGGATTATGTCAATATAAGTCTCTGGAACCCCTTTGGACCGTAGTGCCATCCAGATCATCACACGAGGAACACAGTCGAAAGCCTTCTGCATGTCCAGGAATAAGTAGTGCAGAGGTGTGTTCTTCGTCCTATATTTCTCCACGACAATTCTTAGGGCATAAACTGGGTCCATGGTACCGTGACTTGGGCGAAACCCATATTGACACTCCGAGATAGTGCACTTTTGCCGGATTCGGTGTCAATTATCCTTTTAAGGGTTTTTATGGTGTGCACCTCTTTATGCTGCTTGTTCAACAGTTCGTTGAAGTATTAGCGCCTTTGCCGAGAGGTCCTCGCATAACAGATCGCTCCCAAGATCTTTCACACAGCGGCACTTGGAAATATCCTGTGCCACTTCAATCCTGGAGCGCGTTAACTTATAGATTAGTTTCTGCCCCTCAGAGGACCAGGACCTGGCTTCGTCAAGCAGCCACCACCTGATTCGGCGTTGGCACCGCTCGACACGATTGTCTTTGGGCTTCACACAGAGATCCATGACAAAGAGACGTTGGCAACTTTGCTGAAATGGTGTCTCCTAATGAGTAGGAAATGGATTCGGGTAGCTTGCCCCCAGTCCTGTAGGTGATGAGATGTTCAGATTTCTTTTCAAAGTACGTGTTCACGATGGCGTGATCAGCAGCCGCACGCGTTCTGAGGATGTCACCACTATCCGTATTGCGAGTCCCGTATCCAAACCCACCATGAACACTCTCAAACTCCTCACACCCTCCACCCACATGACCATTCAGGTCGCCACTCAAAACGATTCCCTGCGACAACGAAATGTCTCGCACATCCCCGAGTCGTTTCAAGAACAATACTCTTTCGGCGTCGCCACAACCGGCCTGTGACATGTAGGCACTTATCAGATGGGTAACAGTCCCATCGATAAGCACCTTGAGCACGACCATGAGCCTATGGCAAAAGCACCGAAGAGAACTACAGCCAACTTATTCTCCCCACTAGGTGCACCCGTGTAGATCAGTTTATAGCCATGACCAATAAGTCTGGATCTGCTGCCCTTTTACCTAGTCTCCTGTAAAAACACCACGGCCACCCTCCACCTGGAGATTACATTGGCCAACTCTCTCCAACGCCCAGTCAACATACCAATATTCCACGTTGCGAAGCGAATGCGGATTGGAGCTCGGGCACGGCAGCCCTAGCCCACTTGCTACAGGAGTCGAGCGAGGCTCCTGCGCGCCTTTTTTCGGCAGTGAACCATCCGTGGCATACTTTCTTTACCTTCTTTAAATTTTATGATTTTGGCAGAACTTTTGTACGGAGCGACTGCCCTCTGACTTCACCCACCCGGGAAAAGCATGAGCAATAGCCTCGTCTGTTGTCCAGCAGGTGTACGAACTGGCACGTGAGGTTGGCTTGGGCCCCAAAAGATCTTGATAGGACCCCTTACACCACCTATATTTATGTTTTACAATATTACGTATAATTTTCCAAATTCTCGGCTAAATATACTCTAAGAGACAAACTGTTCCTCGTTTAAAGGCTATCAAAGTATATTTTCTCGTGTAATTATGTAATAAACTGGAATTATTCGAATGTATTCTATTGTAAACCCTTCACATGTCCATACTAAATCCAATCTAAATATGTATATTCATATACATAGTACATTTACTGAAAGTAAATTATAAAGTAAGCAATTATTGTCAAGTAGAATATAACTTGAAAATTATAATATTATACTAGCTTTAAAAAAAATACTTACTAGAATCCAATCGCTATAAATAAATATAATATAGCGATATAAATATAGCGATTGGATTCTCGATTACAACAGGAATGTTCTGAAAATATTTCTTTCAATTCTGCTAAGTTCTGCAAATGCATCTATCTCTAAAAAAACCTCAGTCAGCGCTATGCAACGATTATTTAAATAATAGGCTTTGCTTTCTGCTCTCCTAATAAGTCCATATTTTTCGCTAATCGGTGCCTTTAATTTTGCCTTTAATATTGACATATTTTTTTATTATTTAGTGGCATGCAACACTGGTTTCATTTTGAAAAGTAACCGGTGTGTCCTGTCGAATTAGGTGGTAGAAACTGACAAAGTAAATTAACATATTATTGGACTAGTGAAACTGTATTTATTTCGTAACTCAGTGATTATAGTATTTTAGTATTTATTGTTTACTGTGACATAAAATCTTATCCGTAAAATCATTGAGTTAACATTACGTAAATGACTAAAGAATGTTTTCAATACCTAATTAATTTTTAACGGTCAATTTTTTTGCATATTGACAAAGTCTGGTCAATTAAAGTAGAGACGGACAATTCGTTATGGCTGATATAACTACAGATGCGAATATAATGTAAGCAACCTCAATTTAATATTTTGTAAATTTAATATATGTATATGTCATTGTCATCTATCAAATTTCAAATTCTGACGTTAACATTAAACTTATAATGTATAATAAAGATTTTTTAGTACGGTATGGTCAAGTACCTACATTAAATAAGAAAACCCAACCAATATTATTAGCCTGCTTTATTGTGTTATACGGTTTTATAAATAAGTATTCATACTGCAGTGTCTCTTTAGGCTTACACCAGGGATCGGCTCAGAGCCCATACCTCTTCCTGTTGATAATTGATGCTCTGACATCGGACATACAGGAGGAGGCTCCTTGGTGCATGCTATTTGCAGATGACATTGTGTTAGACGGGGGTGAGGTCCAGAGTGTTGGCTTGAAAATCAGCAAAACCAAAACTGAGTACATGTTTTGCGATTTCGGCGGTCTCTCTAGTCCTGGAACGATTTCGCTGGATGGGATAGCGATAACAGTCTGCTCCAATTTCAAGAACCTCAGCTCCCTCGTACAATGTGATGGTGAGATTGATCGAACTGTACAGCATGGAGTCAATATGGGATGGATGAAGTGGCGGCAGGTAATGGGAATAATTTGTGACCCCAGTTTCCCCTTAACACTGAAGGGATAAATTTATAAAACTATCATCAGACCTGCCATCCTGTATGGTTCTGAAAGTTAGCCCATTAAGATAATGGATGAGAGATGCCTAGGCGAAATGCGAATGCTGAGATGGATGTGTGGTGTTACTCGGATGGACAAGGTAAGGTTTTTGTACATACGAGGGAGGCTGAAAGTAGCGCCACTGGATGAAAAGATAAGGTTATCTTGGTAAGGACATGTCATGCAGAGGGATGAGGAAAATGTGGCAAAGAAAGTGTTAGGTATGGCAGTTGAGGGGTACAAGACAAGAGGAAGACTAAAGAAAAGGTGGATGGACTGTGTGAGTGAGGATAAGGCTAGGAAGGGAGTAAACAGTGAAATGATAAATGATAGACTAGAATGGAAGAGAAATAAATACAAATAAGTTTATTGAACCATCAAACTTACATTTTGATTAGAGCTCTGTCTCCTAAAGATTAATTAAAATGTATCTTAAGAGTCAATGCCTCCTTAATTAGAGGTACAGTGGTAAATGTAAATAGTATGCAATACATAGTTTGTAACAGTTATTTTTTAGTATATTTGTAATGCGTACGGACTTGTTAACAGCTACACCTATTTGCCCCAGTCGCATTTTGTTTGATTTATCCAAAGTAGTTTGTAGCTACAGTATATTACATGCAATGCACATGTGCATTGCATGTAATTATCCGAAATATTGTAATATGTACACATGTACATATTACTATATTTTGGATTATAGTACTTAGTCTTGTCAGGCAACATGTTACTAACATTATTAAAATATTGAATAGTTGTGTGTGTCAATATTTTAATAATAACAAAAAAACAACTTACAGTCATTGTAAAACAATCTAAAATTCTGCTTAGTGCCTACTTCCATTTTTAAGATCTTAATTTTCTCCTAGGACTATTATTTCCTATCTGTTTTGAATTTCATAGTGTTAGCAAGATGACCTTTTAAAATATAGAAATATTTCTCAAATGCAAATAAGTTGTCAATCCTTGAGGAGTGGGATCTTTTTCTGGATAAGAGATTGAATTTCATGATTATCTGTTGAGTGCTGAAGGTGTTAAAGCATAAAAAACAAAAAAGCTTATACTTGAATTAATGATATTAAGGTAAATTAGGTAAAGTTAAAAGGAAGAGGCTTCTTTTTAATTTTCAATAGCTCGCTCATATAGCAATTAACTTTCAGTATCATGTTTTCCGTTCCGTTTCTTCCGTGTGGTGACGGATTAAGAATACAGAGAGTACCACCCCTATTCATCCCGTGGGTGTCGTAAGAGGCGACTAAGGAAGCAAACTACGCAGGACAACAGCACTGCAGAGAGAAGGAAATCCTGAAACAAACCCTATACCAACCCGTCTGGCCAGCGTGGTATAGTAGGCCAAAACCTCCTTCCTAAGGAGAGGCCTATGTCCAGCAATGGACCAGTAAAGGCTGTTGATGTGATGATGATCATGTTCACAAATTTTAATAGTTGTATACATTTCTGTCCTCAAAAGTGTAAGCCTGGTCATGACAGGTGTGGCAATCTGACACCTTAGCAGAAGTAAGCCTGGGTGGCGGCGTGATGCTCTTTGGAGCGGGCCCGCCCTTTAGGGGCAGGAAGGGAATACCAAGAGGGGGCCATCTGTAAGCCGTAGACGTCTCGGGTCCATCCGAATACCAGGGATTTCTCTGGGTTTCACCTGGTTCCCTTGCTACTAAGTACCTGAGACGGCGTGCGTTAGTCGGTTCGAGTCCAACATAACCGGAAGAGGGTATCCTAGGGGATTCCCGTACAGAAAAAAGTATATACTCTTGTCGATGTTGCCATACCATAAAAAGTATATTGTAAGTAATAAATGAAAAAAAATATTGTAGGAAATAGGGCACAGCAGACTTCTTGTCGAATTTATTCGGCCGTTGAAGTACCGTAACAGAAAGAAGCTTCTTAAAAACACTTGAAGGCTTGTTTGCCGGCAAAAAACAGCCTACCAGGTAAGGGGTGCTAGACGTGCTGGTTTTTTTTTTTAATTTAATTTTTAAGTGACTACTTATCATTTTTATACTTCTATTTTTTACGTGGTATTTTCTTCATTTAAATATTAATTATAGATTTTTATTTAACTTTAACTAATGCGTAAGCAGGAAGTAGCGCATAAATTGAAAATTTGGAACAGAACAGACTTAATGACGGAGCACGCCACGCCGCCATGCGCCACTTCTATTTCTGTCTCTGTACTCTGTCTGTGCGTCGGTCGTCGTTTGAACTGTAGTATCTGCCTATACTCTATTTGTCTCTGTCTAACTACTTTTCTTCTCTCTCTTTTCTTTAATATTTTCTATTCTGGCTTGCCAGCACTGTAACTATCACAGACTAAAATATTAGTTCCCTATTCGTTTCATACGATGATATGCGATCATTCCCGAATCCCGCCCGAAGTCCCACATCCCGTCCTAATTTCAGTTTGATCGTGGACCACGTCAAACAATGCAAATTACATTTACTACGAGTAATTACGGCCTTGTTTATTTACAAATAGAGGATTTTGTTTTATTGCCTAAATTGATTATTTTCAAATTCAATAGCATTTTAAATGTATGATTATTTTCGTTATCAAATAATGTTATACGACACGTTATTTTAGTTACCTCGACATTAGTGTTCTCATTTTTATCGGCAGTAGTGTGTGTTTTGTTCCGTGCTCGAAGTGATGTTAAATGTTTTGTTATATGCGTCAGAACTTTTAAAATCTGTTGTTACATAATAAGATGGCAACGTTACCCAGAATGCATAATTCCAAACAGGTGGCTAGTGTATCTTCCCCATTTAGGTAAGTTAAACAATAAGCAAAGCAGTATAAAAATAAAACTTTTGTTCAAGTGGTTTGTGGTTATTGACTTCAATATCTAATCGTTGAGCAATGTTATTGAAAGTTTTGTATCAATAATATAGGTAGGTACTAGCTGACCCGCGCAACTTCGTTTGAGTCTATCAAAAAAGGATAAATTTTCCCCGTTCTTGCAACATTTTTAGGTGATAATTGACTTCTATTCGTCGTAGCTTAATGTTATATAGCATATAGCCTTCCTCAATAAACGGACTTTCCATATCTTAAATAAATTTTCAATTCGAACGTGTAGTTTCTGACATTCGCGAGTTCAACATAAAAGAAGAAACAAAGCGACGCGTTCCATAAATGAGTTTTTTTTTATGGTATTGAGTGGCAAACGAGCAGATGCGTGAACTCATGGGAAATGACTGCCGCCGCCCATGGACACTTAAAAATCACCAGTTGCCGCCCTTTGCGCTCCACCAGAATTAGGGGGCTTGGGCAGGATCTTGGGATCCGGTAACCTCACTTACTCGGTGAAAAGTAATGAAATAATTGCTTAACACCGGTTTTCTGTGAGGCCGTGGTATCACTCTTATCATGCCGGTCCACTTGTGTCGAAGCATAGCTATCTCACGGTTACGTTGATGTTATAATTATTTTAACATATTTCTCAGGTATAAAACATTACCTCAATTTATGTATGGGAACTGTCTCTACTTAACTAATTTACCTACAGTTGAATCCAGGCTATAACCTTGAAATGTTTTTGGAAGTTTCAGTAAGTACCACAGAGATTTCTTCCGCCTTTAAAGTTGGCATCCTGGGTTAGACATAACATCGTATTGTTGGCGGAGGGAAATGGGCACCTATAAGCCGGCCCTCCATTCTATGTTGGCCAATGTTTATGTGTCTACTTAAAACTCCCTTCCAATTTTCCCCCTAATAGAAAAAATCCTAATTTGTACACATACATAATTCTCATATACGTAATGTACATAGACCGGCCTTATTGCCCAGTGCAATTTCCTCCAGGCAACCTTAAGATGGATCAAATAGTTTCGGAGCGACAGTGTAGTTGAAGGTCAATTCTCTTTTCAAAATATTACATTTTCTGCCATCAATTTCTTGTTGATCAGTTGTTGATAAATAATTGGTCAAATGGGTTTATCGAGTTCGTTATTACCTAATTCTTCCCTTTAGAACTCGGACAAGTTCGAATGTTATTTACCAACTGAGGGTCCCTTAGAAACTTGTGTAGTTGTGTCTATCAGTGTATATGTATATATATATAATATTAATATTTTTCTTTGTTTCTTTGTCAAAGCCTGAAAGCAATATACGGCTTAAGTATGACATTAGTTTTAACTTGATACTTCCACAATTATCTGAGAAAAAGGATCTTGACAAACCAATAGACAACGAAGTGATTATATTGGCTTTCTTATTTGCTTTTAAAAAACAGAACTCTTAAAGCTAAAATAACAAAGTTTTTTTACCCATAGAGACTAAATAAAAACATGATAGCGTTATAGCATAATTTACTGTATTGTTTGAACCCCTTGCTCAAACAATACAGTAAATTATGCTACGTGCTACCCAAACAGAATCGTTTTACTTAGCGTAGTACTTAAATGTTAAATCAACAAAACTCATAAACTGGCGCATTACCCTATCATGAACTTTAAATACTTCAAATAAATACAGATCACTTATTTATCAGTTGTCGATTATAGGACACAGCACAATCCTACAATAATACTCAAGAAAAGAAAAAATAAATATACATACAGATACTATATAATACTTAAATGTACATATTTTGCGGGCTGCGAAAGTTTTTGAGCAGGACAGTGAGCCGTGGTGGCGTGCTGTTGGCGGTGTCGTTATACATCCCCAAAGCATTCAATAGTCAGCTGCATCAGGGAAGCACTCCGCTATCACGGGATGCCACAGTACCTGAGGCGGCTAGTGGCAGACGAGGAGCGTACGGTCATATACCAAAATGCTGTTTTGTGTCGTCGGCCCGTGCCGTTCGGAGTTCCGCAGAGGTGTTCTCGGACCGCTCCTGTTGAACATAGGGTACGACTAGGCCACGCCGTCATCGCGGCGGTAAGACCCGTTATGGAGGATTGGCTCGAGAGGCATCACGGGACCCTCTCATACCGACTGACGCAGGTGATCACTGGGAAAGGATGTTTCGGGGATCACCTGTGTCTGATCCGCAAGGAGCCACCGCCTGAGTGCCATGGTCGTGGACACGGCGCTCCACACGCTGGCAGAATGCCGTGCGTGGAGCAGAGGCGAGACCTCGTGGCGGCCATCGGAGTGGGAGTTCTCTCGCTCGATAACCTGATTGCGGCTATCGTGCGGAGCGAGAGTGCGTGGAACTCTGCCGTCTCCTTCTGCGAGCAAGTTATGCTTGCGAAGGAGATGGCGGTGCGGGAGAGGTTTAAAATTCTCCCGGCCCGCCAGGCTCGGGAACGGGCCAGGTACCGCACACGACTCAGGCGCCGGCACCCTAGCAGAAGCAGGCCGGGGTGGCGGCGAGCGCGTTGCGAAGCGCGCCCCTCTTGGAGCACAGAGGTAACTTGGGGGTTCCCACACAGGGGGGTCGTCTACCCGCCATAGATGGCCCGAGGTACGTCGGGGCACCAGGGATTTCCTTTCTAGGGTACACCTAGTTCCCCGACTACTGGTACCTGAGACGGCGTGCGGTTTTAGTCGGTTCGAGTCCGACATTGCCACCGGTAAGTGGTATCCGAGGGATTTCCGCACTAAAAAAAAAAGTTTACAACTGGGCCTTACGACGTCAATTTTGCCCCGGGGCTTTAGCTTCAAAAATATTTATCCTTAACGATCGAACTCGAGGATACAGCAGTTGAAGCATGGTGGAAAAGCTAAGGACAAAACTTATCACATTTACATATTTTTTTTCTTAAAATAAATGCAATATAAATAAATGTTGTTTAATTCATATGATGGCTTAGACTGAGTCTCAAAAATAACTTCAGCCTTGACCCTATTACGTTAAAAAATACTCCAGTCGCAAAAAAGCCTAAAGGCTTTTATAGGCTCATAGGCTTTTTAAAATGACGAGGCTTTCCCCTCTGCTATAAACGTATGAGCACAGATCCAACACATTATATAAAACTAGTTGTCGCACGTTTCGCCCCATTTGTCTGATTACTGAGCGTTATGGTTCATGTGCGTACTGTTGTGATATCTTCACAGTTATAAAGTCCTAAACATCGAAACTAAGTCGATGCTTAATATCGACTGAAGTGAACTTTAGACTGTTTACGTTATTGAAGTGTAATAATAATAACGAGTTTAAAAATGTACTAATATTAACGTTGTATTTTTGTGCATGCCACTACTAAAAATGGCATAAGGATTTATTTTAATGCTTTAAGACTATTATTGCTTTAGGTCGGTAGCACCGTTTGTTTAAGCACTTTGTATGATCCACAAATTGTTGTTCTAAGTCTGGGTGATCTTTGTACGTTTGTTTGTAAAGTCCCCAGACATAGAATATATTCTTAGTACGTCTTTAATAACTACTTACTTAATTACTACTAAAACTTTATTAGTTAATCAATTTAATTTAAAAATAAAGTTAATTTAATTTCTTTTGTTTGCAGTACCAGTCCACGAAAACTACAAGAAATGGCCTTACCTGTAACAGAAGGACACGGTATTGTTTTTATTTCGAACTGTCTTTAAACTATCAAACAGTTATTGTATATTAAGAACTGATTTTATCCTAACAGATGTCACTACTGCTAGTGGAGTTAGTATGAAGCAGTATGAAGAACAACTCAATGGATTAAGAAAAGAAAATTTTCACTTAAAACTAAGAATATATTTTCTAGAAGAAAAACTGGGAAGTGGATCACCACCAGCGGTGCAAGTAAGTTTTGATTTACCCACTTATTGAGCAGAAAATGTTAAACCATTACTAGCTTTTAAATGCGGCTTCGCTCGCGTTCATATCGATAAATTTTTCCTCAATAAAAAGTAGCCTATTGTGTTATTTCAGAGCATTATATGTACATTACTGCGACAATCATCCAGATTCGTTCTACCGTACTGGCGTGATTGAGTGACAAACTAACATCCATACTTCCATCCTCACAAAAATTATATAAATACAATTAATTAATATCATAGAAATGACAACAGTACACGTTATAACGTTAATATTTAAGCGCTCTTAGGTCATTTACTTGCCTGGGTTCTTTTATATTATTTTTATTACTTGTTATAAATTTATTGTATAAAGTTGCCTAAACGTATATTATTAATGTAATATAAATAATAACATAACTACTATCTATACTAATTATCTATACTACTAATTATTGTTTTTCTGCTTACGATGTTTCTACAGACAGCGTTATCTACATTCACAGTCATCAGTTTTATTGTAGTTAGCTCAACCCGTGAATTTGCAATATGTTAGCTTAATAAAAGCCTTTTGTGCATTTAAAACATTACATTTTAAATTACTTATGAAATCCTTGCAACTTACTCGTCATCATCAATATCCGTATGCGCCTGAAAAAAAAATGTTAATGTAAATACATTTATTCAAGTATAGTTTAATAACTGAATGCTTGTTACGCTTTAACGGTGAATGGAATTATTTTAATGATGGTTTTGACACCCGAACTACATACAAAGTTCATTTCGATATCGATTCGATAATTATGTTAAAATATAATTTCAAGATTTGTTTATAGTGAAGTTACACGTGAAGCTAATATGAAAGAGAGTTACGAGGGGTGATCAATAAGTAATGATAATCGAGTATTTCTAGAACGCACAAAAACCCAAATTATTTTTTTTCTGCTTGCTTATATATCCACTACTTCAGCTTCAAAAAAATGTATAAATAGGACACCATTACCGGGAGATACATTCATTTGAATACGAACTGTCGAAGAGAAAACATCAAAATGGAGAAAAATGAAATAAGAGCTGTCATCAAGTACCTCTGCCTGAAAAAAATGTCTACCAAAGACATACACAGCGACTTAGAGGAAACATTGGGGGAGTCTGCTCCTCCATATTCCACAGTCGCACGCTGGGCAAAGGAATTTAAGCTGGGCAGAACCTCCACTGAAGATGAACATCGCGAGGGACGCCCTTCCACGTCCCTTACTGGCGAAAACGTCAAAAAAGTGGAAGATATCGTGTTGGCCGATCGAAGGGTGACCGTAAGGCATGTAGCTGAGGTCACAGGGATCTCCTATGGCAGCGTTCAAAAAATCATTGTCAACAAAATGCATATGAAAAAGGTTTCTGCGCGTTGGGTACCGAGAATGTTAACCGACGAGCAAAAAAAGAAACGAGTCGACATTTCGAGGGTGAATCTTCAAAAGTTCCAGGCCGATAAAGAATTTTTTTTGTCGCGTTTTGTGACCATGAACGAGACCTGGATCCACCACTTTGATCCCGAAACCAAACAACAATCAATGACTTGGAAACGAGCTTCCTCACCAACGCCGAAGAAATTCAAAGTGTCAAGTTCAGCGGGAAAGGTTATGGCGTCTGTTTTCTGGGATGCAGAAGGAATTATTATGGTGGAATATTTGGAAAAGGGGGCCACTATAACAGGCTCTTACTACGCAGGCGAAGTAAAATATATTATAATAGTCAAATAAGAAGATTGCGAGAAGCTATTAAGTCAAAAAGACGCGGTAAACTGCGCGCTGGAGTGCTGTTTCACCAAGACAACGCCCGGCTCACAAAGCCGCAGTTGCGATGGCTGCCATTGAAGAAACGGGGTTCGAACTGCTCGAACACCCTCCCTATTCGCCAGATCTAGCTCCCAGTGACTTCTACCTCTTTCCTCGGCTCAAAGAACACCTCCGGGGCAACAAATTTGAGGACAATAGTGAAGTGATGGCCGCAGTAGAGGCATTTTGGGAGGGTCAACACAAAGAATTTTTTTCTAAGGGAATCATGGGCTTAGAAAAAAGATACACTAAATGTATTAACTTGCAAGGAGACTATGTTGAAAAATAAAATACTTTTTTTAATCTAATAGTTCTGTTTCATATTGATTATCATTACTTATTGATCACCCCTCGTAATAGGTAGACTAATTGTTTGACCCTGCACAAATGAATAAACATGTAGCTATGTACTTCCAATAGTTTAAAATAAAAACAACAGAGACACTAGTGCATTTTTTTTATAAGCCATTTGAAACTATTGGATACAGTATATAGAAGGAATATGATAAGTTGATATATCTGCTAAATCTGCTAAATATAATTTGGCAAATAAAAGTCCGAATGATTTCTTAAATATAAATAATTTCCAGGGTCTTTTAGAACATAACGTTAGACTCCAAGTAGAAGTGGAAGAATTAAGACGGCAGCTAACTGATAAACAGGAACTTCTTGCCGCGGCAGCGGAAGCCATAGATGTTCTAGAACAACAGGTACTGAATTTATCAATATTGTAATCATATCCGGAATGTATCCTTGGTATGCGTTAGTATTTTAGAAGCGAAATTATAGTTGAGTTCCTAGCATTATTGGTTAATACCATAAATACACATCTGTGCGGTACAACAAATTATTGTCTTAAATTGATGGCAAATGTAATAATAACAACAATTAAATGTAACGTTCACGGTTATTGTTGTTTATTAAAGGGCAAATGTGATTTTCAGGATATTATGAGGTTAAATTTTCACGAGACTAAAAACATGTAACAATTTACCTATTTGATTTAATTTCTTACAGGGATCGATATCAACTGATAGTGTTGAAATGTCGATGAATAGTACTGCGATGAAAAAGCAAATTATTTTACATGATCAGGTGAATATTGTGTCGTATGTAAACTCGCAATGGCGCATTTTTTAAATGATACTGTAAGATTTACGTTTATTTTTTCATTTCTAGGGGCTAGAGCAAATAGAGCCTGCAGATGAAACTTGTGCAGAATCTGAATTTGCTGGGTATGCTTTATTTATTATAAATAAATTTCCCTGATGTAATTCATACCTCCCTCCCTACATTCTTTATATTATTTATATTTTAATTACAGTGACTGTTTGACCGTAACCGTTAATAATGACGACTTAGATGAGCTCGTAAAATTGCGTCGGGAAAATAAAAAAGCCCTACAAATGATAAAAGGCTGTATGAAGAAAATTCAGCAGCAAGATAAGGAGATCAAAAAAATTAAACTAGTAAGTTACTGACATAGAATCCATTACATGAAGAATCCAGTGATGTATATATTCGTTTTTGTATTATAGGATAAAGAATTAGTGTACGCCCATGTCAGTGACTCGCAACTTGAGAAATATGAAGAAATATTGAAATGCAAAGATGAACACATTAAAGATTTGGAAAATAAAATAAGAGATTTGCAAAAGCATTTCGAAAACATTCAAAATGTTGATGCGTCAGGGTAATGTTACAAGTTACGCTTTTACCTACTTTGTTTGTAATTGTTTTTGTATACAATAATATTAATATTGGGGCTTTATTTTAGAAATCTTCAACAACTTCTTACGCGACGATTGCAAGGATTGGCATATTTTTTGGATAAGCTGTTATCACACAAGTAAGTTAATTTTGTATACATATGTTTGTATATTATCATAGAAACAAAACCGAAATAAATGATTGTATGAATCATATACATTAATATTATCTTGCTTTCCGCAGTTGCGTATGGTATAGGTGGGCAAACGAGCAGACAGGTTTTCTGATGAGAAAACCAACGAAAGAATTTCTGTTACAACAAAATATCGGTGTTAGATTTTCTGTCAGGCTGTGGTATCGCTCCGGACGGGTCGGCCCATATGTGCCGAAGTATGGCTCACAGTCAATGGTTGTAGGTCATTTTTTATATTTAATGACTCTCGACTATACGATAGACTATACGATAGCCGATGATGGCGTGTAGAATTTTTAATTTGATTTTTTTTTCTGTATCTAAGTTTATTTTACTTCTTTGATTTATGTATACATTGTTTTATTGATTATGAAAATAACTTTACAGGTGTGTGCTGGGTGAAGATAAGAAAAAGCTGGCCGAAAGTATACTAGAACAAAGCTTAGCTCTACCCGTTGGCTTGGAGCTAGATGAATCTATGGCTCCAGATGAACTTACAATGGATGAAAGTAACCTCGACATATCACAATCACTAAGAATTGAAGATTTGACTATGATGTTTGGACACCACGTGACGTGTAGTGACGATATCAGATATTCATCTAAAAGAAAGGCTTTGTTAAAACATTTTCCTCAGGCTGATATTATTTCCGAATCAGAATGTTGGTCCGAACCGGATAGGAATGTATCCCTTGCTCGTGTTGGTCTATGCGATACTGGTGTTGGAGCACTCGAATCAAGCTCAGATAATAAATGCAGAAATAGACGGGCTCGTGTGTCATATGGCTCTCGTTCAGAAGATAATAAACCTTCAAATGAAGCTTTAATTGAAGAATTAAATCACCTTGCCAAACAAAATGAGAATTTTGAAGAAGAAAATAACGATCTAAAGGCTAAACTTGTATTCACGAAAGAACAAATCAATGAACTTATTGCAGAAAATAACGAATTAAAGGAACTTTTATCTATGGAGCAATCTAAGTTGTCTGAAGCCACTAAAGATATAGATACCTTGAAAAATACAGTAACCACTTTAGATGCACGTATCAAAGATATTGAAAAGAAACTTGATGAATCAGTCGAGACCACCCAAAGATTACGAACAGAGAGGCAAGAATTGGAGGCCACGTTTATGGAAACTGAGCGTTCGTTGAGACGTGCAGCGGATGAAGCGACAGTCCAAGCTTCACAAGCTGCACTAGAACGTGCTCGCGCTCAACATGATAGACTGCGTTTAGAAAGAGAATTAGAAGAAACTCGAGAAAAGCTGTCAAATACTTTAGAAATGAACTCCCAATTAGAAATTGAAGTTACGCGTAAAGCTGCTGTTGACGTTCATAACAAAATCGCAGTGATTCACGAAAATCCACATTCAGAAGAAGATCGACCAACTTCACCAGATCAGGGCATCGATAGTGATAGATTATCTAGTTTAGAACAAAATGATGCTGTTGTCTTGTCACCACGTAAGTACACATATTCATTTATTTATGAATCGATTTTAAATTACGAGTATTTTTGCAAATAAATCTTGACTGTCTACAATACAATGAATTCTGTTTTTTTTTTAAATAGTCTAACATAAGACATATTTTACCAGTAATAATAAATAAATCAGTTCTTTAAATGTAACAAGAATTGCCACTGCTAATATGAGCCTTGAAACTTTTTTCTGCGGGTGCCCCTTCTCCCCTTGGAAACATTACGTTTTCATGGGACCTTTATTGTTAACAGTTCTTGTAATTAAGATTGCAATAAATCACGACTAAATTTCGATCTCCTGCGTTAATTAAATAAACTTATTTTACAGGTTCATTGTATGATGAGAATGTAACATTAAAACAAAAGTTAGCAAGGACAAAAGCGACGCTGGCCGAAACTTTGATGCAATTAAACGCGGCGAATTTGCGCAAAAGAAGCGTACAGCGGGCTATATGCAGAGAGATTCATAAGACTCAAGGAGTGTTACGCAAAGCACGTGACCAGTTTGAGAATCAAAGCAATAACTAAGTTAAGACAGCATTCGAACTACGCCATATTGGTGCGGCCCACATGATATTTTGAATTATAATGTTATCATATTTTTACATATGTATTGAATGACATAATCCTAAACTTCACCTACTCTGTGAATTACCAAACTCAACCAGGATTCGTCATCTACAATGTATTATTCTTTTAGGTACATCTAATGTGAGATTGATAAGAGCGAACAACAGAAGTATTTTTCTATTTTTATATCGTAATCTTGATACTGTGATCAATATTTTTCAGTATTTTTTTGATCAACATTACACGCCTTAACTAATGAAGATTGATGATTGATTGATTGAAGTATGGAATATATTATTGAATAAAATTAGTTTACCATTATTATCCTTAATTTGAAATAAACACACTAAATAAATGAAAGCTTTGTTCAATTTTACTATTAAATTACAGTCAAGTAATTTCTCTATTAATAATAATAAAAGAGTCTTAAGTAAGCTTGAGGTCTTGGTACACTTTTTGTTACTAGCCAGTCTTCACACTTTTATACACGAGTACATTTGTTGTCAAGTCACAAAAATTCGTATTAAGGTGGACAGACATTTCGAAGCATGTGCAGTAAATCACCGAACGTTGCATACTTCGCAATTGTCGCCAGTCGTTGCGAGTGAGGGCGAGTATGTCGCCAAACGTAAGCTATCATACATACTACTCTTACTCAACCATCCCACTAGAGGTGAGTCTTGGTCTACCCCCACCACTTGTTCATACAGCAGGAGGCAGCCATGGCGATCTCTAATGATCGTAGACAACTATGTCTGTGGCAAAAAGATCGCACTCCAAATTATGGTGGATTACGAACCACTGATAGAGCATCATGCGACAGGGTCCCAAAGCACCATATCTTCACAAATAAATACAACATTAAGACAAGAAAATGACCGAGACTAATCTGACATAAACGAAGTCCGAATTTACACGGAGACGTTTCCAAGACTGGGTCAAGTACTGGAGCCGGAGTATTCTCACAAGACCTAAACATAAACATATCACTAGTAGTCCCCAGTACGTCACCCAATTTAATAAATGATTAATGCATTTCTGAATTTTTGTCTAGTCAAAAAGCTCGTATCAGTCTGTGTTAACGTCAACTGATTTCAACGAATACATTTCACATACAAAATTTTGTATCGCCTTGAAAATTTCACTTGTACATTAATTTCCGTCGGCGAGCACAAAATTAAATTTATTTTTAACACTAAATGCTTTTTTCTGTGTGCGTTACCCCAGCATAATAATGTCGAAAATGGTCATTTAAACTTTATAGATAATTAGTTGCTCCCCTTCTGTAATTGTTAAGCACATTTTTAAATTTGTTTCACTTAAACTTTTTTAGTTATTTCAAAAAAACATTTCCTGCTGGGGTAACGTTTGAAACGTTACCGCAGCCAGACATTTTCTTTTTTAATTGTAATATTGAAATAAATTTTAGCTAAATAATTAGTTATCTGGACTAGGTAAATGTTACAACTTATTTGGTATTTGTATTTTCTTCGGCTGCGAAGTTATTCGAAATCCTGCTGGAGTAACGTTTGTGGGTTTGCTGGATCTCTGAAACGGGTATGCGGATTGTAACCATCTTTTGTACATAACTTCTTAAGGATTAGTTTTAATTTGTTCGACAATAAAATAACAAAAATAATGGACCGTTTAAAAATTATTTAGGTAAGTATGAAAACACTTCAATACGTCCTAACACTTTAAATAAGACCTCTAAAGACTTACTTGAAACGTTATTCTATTGCTTGTAACTACCTTCAAATGTATACGAATTTTCGTAAGAATACTGTAAGTGACTAAAAAGTTATGATGAGATGTAGCTCTCCACGTTCACGATCACAATGTGTGCGGCCTTTTTTGGCGACCGATAAACCTGTGTGTGGATATATAAACTGAATGTTATGCCAATAATTAGTTGTTTAGTTCAGTTGTCTACCTGTAAAATTTCAGCGTAGTACATATAATAATTTACGAGATAATTAAATAAAAGTCATTAGAAGGTGCAAGACCGTGGTAACCCGACCATGTTTAGGTGGTTACAAAAAAGCGATCACCCAGTACATTGTGCTGGCTTTTAAAATATGTAGGATATTATTTGCAAGTTTACTACGGATATGTACATAAGTGTTACAAAAAACTACATGTTTTTTAAATATTTTTTATTTAGGATTGTTTATTGCATAATTAGTAATCAGCCGGGAGATTAGGTATTGTTTTGAATGCTTTTGTTTTCTCGTAATGTTAAGGTGAATTGTTTATAATTGTTCATAGAATTGGTACCTGCGTAGTATTTGTTAATTGAAGTTTAATTTTAGGGTAGGTATAGGTAATTTAAGAAATATGAAATGAAATGAAATGAAATGATAAGTTTCGAAGAGTGTAACGTATGCGTTGTAAATAGGTATTTTGTGAATAGATGGGGATTTTTTAAAATGATGAATCGACTTAGGCTAGCATATCGCGAACAAACTCTGTATTGCATTATTTCTGTAATAATGTTGGAGAAAATAAAATATTTGATCACAAAATCGCGGTGAGTTAAATTATAATAAAATAAATTATTTATGTAAAATTAGTAATAAGTGATATACCTACCTAAAAGTTATGATCGTTTTTAATTTGTTCACCCTGAACGAAATTTCAATATTAGCATTAGTAATTAATATCCTAAGACGAGAATTGACAATTACTTAAATTGAATCGAAGTAGCATTAATGCCTATTATTAGTAATTAGGTACACACATATTGAAGAACTCTCAAGAATACGATAAATATTTGCAAAAATAGAAAGCGGAAGCGCACACGTACAACACGTATATTATCTGCCTAAGGGTCAAGTTTAGTGCACTAGATGCAAATTGCAAACAATACAGTATCCCTTCGCCCCTCCCCTCCCGCGTTCTAGCGAAGGATGTATTATCAGCGATTCTTGATTGACAAATATTATCTGACCAATAATTTTATCTATAAAAATGTATCACTTTCACTCGATAAATTAAATTACCGTTATTATATCAAAATATCATTCAACAACTGTTCGTTTTTCAACAGTAACGGGCTCAACGCTTAACGGTAGGTACATAGGTATAGATAATTTTCGGTTCTAGGTATAGACCATAGAACAATATTACCTACTCTTACGAGGTATACGACTGTTGGGCGATGCAATGTTGATGCATTCTAATTTACAACTGTATTCTTGTACTATTCGGTCTATTTTAACTTATTGTAGATGACTTGTTGCTTTAAATATTTTGATGCATTCAAGTCTAAGCTCTATACACCCCAAAATAAAATACAATTACTTTAGTGTTATTTCTTTACAAAAAAAAATCAAAGAAATGAAACGATTTCTTATTGGTTTAAATTTTCGTTTTATTGCAGTCAGGTGAATCGTTCATACATGTATGTAGATATATTTATAATTTTAGCGGACCAGTGCAGATTTTCTGTTGATTGTAGCTCCAGTAGTAAAAAAGACTAAATAAATTTTAAGTAAAGAAACTAGTGCTTAAGAACAATTAGGGAAAAAAACAAAATAAATAATAGGTAATAATAATGAATAAATATTGAATGTATTTAACACTGTACGCAACTGTACCGAAATCGTAAGGTGTATTACACTAAACATTTTAAAAGACAGCGCAATGTACTGGGTGATCGCTTTTTTGTAACCACCTAAACATGGTCGGATTACCACGGACTTGCACCTTCTAATGACTTTTATTTAACTATCTCGTAAATTATTATATGTACGACGCTGAAATTCTACAGGTAGACAACTGAACTAAACAACTAATTATTGGCATAACATTCAGTTTATATATCCACACACAGGTTTATCGGTGGCCAAAAAAGGCCGCACACATTGTGATCGTGAATGTAGCTACATTTCATCATAACTTTTTAGTCACTTACAGTATTCCTACGAAAATTCGTATACATTTGAAGGTAGTTACAAGCAATAGAATAACGTTTCAAGTAAGTCTCTAGAGGTCTTATTTAAAGTGTTAGGACGTATTGAAGTGTTTTCATACTTACCTAAGTAAATAAATTTTAAACGGTCCATTATTTTTGTTATTTTATTGTCGAACAAATTAAAACTAATCCTTAAGAAGTTATGTACAAAAGATGGTTACAATCCGCTTACCCGTTTCAGAGATCCAGCAAACCCACAAACGTTACTCCAGCAGGATTTCGAATAACTTCGCAGCCGAAGAAAATACAAATACCAAATAAGTTGTAACATTTACCTAGTCCAGATAACTAATTATTTAGCTAAAATTTATTTCAATATTACAATTAAAAAAGAAAATGTCTGGCTGCGGTAACGTTTCAAACGTTACCCCAGCAGGAAGTGTTTTTTTGAAATAACTAAAAAAGTTTAAGTGAAACAAATTTAAAAATGTGCCTAACAATTACAGAAGGGGAGCAACTAATTATCTATAACGTTTAAATGACCATTTTCGACATTATTTTGCTGGGGTAACGCACACCTTTTTTCTTGGCTTTACGGTAATCGTTCGGTTCGTAATCATACTCTGTGTGTTGTTCTAGCGAATGCTGATTAATTTAATGTATAAAGTCCGGAAATAGTGATTGAATATTTCATTTACCTATGAAACGTGATTCCTGGATTACTGACCGAATGGTAAAGTGAACTGCGCAAAACATGTTGTATATTTATATACAGTATGTTTACGCAGCATAATGCGTCTCGCTGTCTTGATGTTTGCGAGCGTAATGGCCATAGATAATACACTAATATAAGTTAGTAATGGCCGACTAATGTGTGTAAGTGTGCGTGCCGGCCTGTATAGTCCTACCAACTTAACTGTGAAATGGCGAAAATTGGAACTACGGCCGTCATGTTGAAATGTCATTCGATTGTCAGTGTCTACTACATTCGGGTTCTCTGGTTGTTTTGTCGTGATATTGCTGAATTTTTTAAAGTTAAATATGCCGAAAGCAATTAAAAGTGATACTCGGAACATTATTCTAAAGGTTAAAACCTTTTTTGAAGAAGAAGCTCGGGCGGGGTCTCCGATTATTCCATTTAATCAAATATACAAACGAATTTCGGCAGCGACAGGTTAGTGTTGTCAACTTTCTTGTTTTAAATTACCCGATACTTAACTAATTATTTAAGTCCACGAAATATTCGTTTTTTATTCTTGCTGCGGGTTAGCGTAACGATAACGGGCTAAAATTTCCTTTTCCGTACATCGATTTTGGGGCTGAAATTTTTTTTCAGGATATATTACACTATTATAAGCACACACGTAAAAGTTTCAACACGCGGAGACGCATAATTTTTGAACAAAAAAATATTGAAAATCAATTATTTTTGAAATTCTTCTGTCAATATTACACTATTAATGACAAGCTTTACCAAAGATTATATAAAATTCTCATAACGAAACGTTTCGTTTCATCTATGGTTAAGTTGTCATACGTTCCGTAACATTTTATTTTACATAAATTTACGTAAATAATTATATTTTGTACTCATTCAAATAGTTTTCATGCACACATATATTTAGGAGTTTAAATATATTAAATTACAGCAATATTTTAATTACAAGCTATTAAAATGTGTAGTGTTTACCGTCTTTAGCTGACTTGTGGAACGAAACGTAAAACTCCGTCCTGCAACGAGTTGTCATACGTTCAGGAACATTTTATTTTAAATAAATTTACGTAAATAATTATATTTTGTACTCATTTAAATAGTTTTCATGTACACATATTTAAAAGTTTTTATATATGAAATTACTGCATTACTTTCATTACAAGCTATTAAAATTAAAAATAAAATGTGTAGTGTTTACCGTCTGTAGCAGACTAATGGAACGAAACTTAAAAATCCTTTCTGAAACGTCTCCGGCGCTGCGGGAAATGCAGCCTCTACGCCCTTGCGTAACAAATCGTAGGCATCCGTCCTCGCCTCCGCAGCTTCGGCTTGCTGGTCGCCTTCGGCGACCAGCCTCAGCCGCTACGGCTCGTCCGATGCCTGCGATTTGTTACAGCGGGCGGAGGCTGCTCTCCCTACGCGCCTCCGGTTCTATAAAAACACTCTAGGGGTAGGACGGAGTCGTACCACGTGGAGTCGGGGTCAATCAATTCGGTTCTGTGACATAAGTTGAACCTAACCTAAATTATTTGTTATCTGCCCTAACAGGTACTGTCATGCTATAATTTATCATATATAAACTGTTAAATATATGTGTGCATGAAAACTATTGAAATGAGTACAAAATTTAATTATTTACGTAAATTTATGTAAAATAAAATGTTACGGAACGTATGACAACTTAACCATAGATGAAACGAAACGTTCCGTGATGAGAATTTTATATAATCTATGGTAAAGCTTGTCATTAATAGTGTAATATTGACAGAAGAATTGCAAAAATAATTGATTTTCAATATTTTTTTGTTCAAAAACTACGCGTCTCCGCGTGTTGAAACTTTTACGTGTGTGCTTATAATAGTGTAATATATCCTGAAAAAAATTTTCAGCCCCAAACTCGATGTACGGAAAAGGAAAGTTGAGCCCGATAACGTACATCTATTAGGTACCTAACCTGCCAGATTTCAAATTTCTACTAACATTTATTTTGTTATCTTATATTTCAGGTGTGAGTCAAGGACTAATTTCAAAAATAGTTAAGGAAGAGCATGCAGCAGAAGAAACTGGTACAAAAATTCGGACACCAGGCAAGGAGAGAAAACGTAAAAGTGGATTTGTGCAAGTTGATGATTTTAACATGGGAGTTATATGGAGGAAAGTATATGAATTTTATTCTGCCATAAAAGAGGTCCCTACTGTTAAAAAGCTTCTAGAGGTCTTAAAGACAGAAATAAATTACACAGTACAGCGAGAGAGTCTGCGAAAGCTGCTTCACAAGTTGGGATTTCGTTTTAAAAATCTCAATCCAATCGACAGGTTCTTATGGAGCGTAATGAAATATCAGCTTGGAGAGCTAAGTACTTGTATGCAGTCGATAAAAATAATAAATCTCCCCAGCCCCGTCCCATAGTTTATTTAGATGAGACCTATATTCACTCTTCGCATACATCAGGTAAATGTTTTGGAGCCTGTATCGAAAGGGCAAAGATATATTATTGTACATGCGGGAGGAGATACTGGATTTGTTACAAATGCACTACTTGTGTTTAAATCAAACACAAAAAGTGGTGATTATCATGACGAGATGAATAGTACTAACTTTAAAAAGTGGGTTATTGAAAAACTTGTGCCTAATTTACGAGAGTCATCCATAATAGTGATGGATAATGCTCCGTATTTGTGTGAATAAAGTCCCAAATACGAATTCTTTAAAAAAAGATATGCAATTATGGTTGACCCAAAATAAAATTGACTACGGAGAGAATTTGACTAAACCTCAGCTTTTAGAAATAATTAAGAGAAACAAGCCTGAACCTATATATGAGATTGAAAAAATTTTAGAAGACAATAGACATAAATGCTTATATTTACCACCTTATCAATGTGATCTCAACACTTGAACACATATGGAGCACAATGAAAAGAAAAGTTGCTGATGTAAATATTGAGCACAAAAATGCTGAAATTCTCTGCCTAGTTAGAGAAACTTTTGACGCTATTACAGTTCATGAGTGGGCACAGCATTGTAAACACTTTCGCAGGTTAGAAGGAGAATACTTAAAACATGATTTGTATTTAGGTAAACCTTTTATTATAGAAGTTGTAAGTGACACTGCAACCGAAAGCGATAGTGATAATGATGATAGTGGTACGGAAATAAGCGGAGTATGGCCTCACAACCGGATGAAGTTGTGTATGCAGGTTCATTTAAAGATCACAATTACTGTAAACCTGGTTTTCAATAAATTATTATAAAGTAATTGGTTTTTTTATTACAGTACACTACCACTAGGTACCACTGCTAATTATAATTAGTCAAATCTGGTGTTAGGGTTAGTTACGGTCATAACTAAATGCTAGACATCCAGGTACCTCTTGCAGGGAACATGGGGTTCCCACATGGGGGGGGGGGGGGGGGTCGTCTACTCGTCTGTAGATGACCCGAGGTATGTCGGGGCACCAGGGACTTCCTTTCTAGGGTATACCTGGTTCCCCGGCTATTAGTACCCGGCGAAGGCGGGCGGTTTTAGTCGGTTCGAGTCCGACATGCCACCGACAGGTGGTATCCGAGGGGATTTCCGCACGGAAAAAAAAAAAAAAAAAAAGGTACCTCTTGCAGGGTAGGTACCTACTTAACTTCGCATTAAATGAAAGTTGTATCTCCCCCGTGTAACATTTTATCTGCTGAATTTCCACTTCATTGGATTACTTTTTAGATAAAGCCATTGTTTATTGCTGAGAGACTAAACTGTTAGCGTACCTACGCAACTGTAAATTATCAAATTCTTTTTATTTATTTTATTATTTTTATAGAGGTATCATTATTTTTAATTTGTTTTGTTTTTAATTCTTATTAAACGATTATGTCTAATGTGAAATTTCTTTCTTGAAAACTTACTCAATTTTGGACACCTTATATTAATTAGCAACACTGAATCGACGGTGCCGTCCTCTTTCAGTTCACAGATAAGTTGGTTTGTATGTACGTAAATAAAACACATTGAAACAGTGAAAAACTGAAATAGCTTAATTTAACTTTTAAACCATTTTGCAGCAGAGAAATTGTAGGACACAAGCATTGGCATACTGCTTGCTTCAGTTACAATAGAAAAAAAACGGACATGTAATTATCAGGAAACATAACCTCACGAACATGTCCAATTCGAGCTGCCCGGGAAAAAATGATCAGGCCTGATCAGACCTGTTCGTGCATGATCAGACCTGAAATTTGACCTGATCAGACCTGTTCATGCCTGATCAGACCTGACGTTAGACATGATCAGACATGATCAGGCCTGATCAGACATGATCAGGTCTGGGCCGTAAAATACGTTCAGATCTGATCAGGCCTGTTCATGCATGATCATGTCTGATCAGGCCTGAATGTATTTTACGGCCCAGGTCTGATCATGCCTGATCATGCATGCATAGACATGAGCAGGTCTGATCAGGCCTGATCAGACCTGTTCATGCATGATCAGACCTGGACGTATTTAACACTGCAGGTCTGCTCAGGCATGATCATGCATGAACAGGCCTGACGTGTTAAATACGTTCAGGTCTGATCATGCATGAATAGACATGATCAGGTCTGATTAATAGTTAAATACTTAATTATTATTCCTATATCTTTATATGCCGGCTCGATCGAGCTGGACCAACTGGATCCAACTCGAGTTGAATCAGACCAGACATGTTGATTCGATATATATATATATACCTTTTGTTCCATTTCCTAACCAATGCATTTTTTTACTTTCGATTTATTTATATTTTATTAATTATTCTTTCAACTACAACGATAATTTCATATCTTCTAAATTCATGATATAGTCTTGAAATTTACAAAATTACTATTTTATTTTAATAAACATATATATTACATCATTAAAAATTAATAATAAATAACTGGTCAGCATTGTAAATTTCTGTTATAGAAAAGACCTTTGTGTTCTTACCTTCAAGGTTAATATTTTGATTTTCTCTCCTCAAATAATTTTTAAATTTTATAATTTAATTAAAACTTGTGTTTGAAATAATTAAATTTATTAGTGTGTTATTTGCAATGTTTACATAATATACATTTGTAGGTTGATCATATGTATATATCACACGCCACAAGTCATCAAGTAAATATATATGGGCACAGCTATGTGTGAGTGTCCTCATGTATAGCACACAACTTTATATGTCACGTGACACACCGGTGTAATTCACTTTCAACATGGATGCCGTCGCATAATAAGAGTATAAACTGTGTGCGTCTTCTACTAGCGTCTGTTTATGTGCAATTGTATGTGATTTATTAATTAATTATACTTTAAATATTTCACTCTACAAATTTATCTGTGTTGTTTGTGGTGGCATCAAACATGTTTTTAATTCAATGCTATCTATGATGACAATTGCGCCTATATTATCGATAATGATGACATACAGCATGACAACAAAAGACCTCACGAGCTGGTTAAAGATGATATTACTAAATTCAATATCAAAGAATATATCTACTTGTTCAATATGAAGGAACGACAATATGAAGGAAAAGTGATCGACTTTTCAAGTAAGATATTTAATTATTTTTGTTTATCGACATAAAGGTTATATTATTATTTTTAACATTTATAAAAACTTAAATTTACTAACATTTGAAAACAATATTTTTTTTTAAGTGAATACATTACTCCTGGTGAAATATTCTTTAAATAAATTTCATATTTTTTTAATTACTTTGTGTGAAATTTTCCAAAATATTTGTTAAATATTAGAATATTTCTGTCATATATGAATAATTCTCATTTGTAATAGTCCATTAAATTTGATGAATAACCATTTATTTTTTTACATACAATAATTAATATTTAATATCTATAGGTAATTCCGAATTTTTACAAAAACGAAGGCAAGATTTCAATAAAACAATCAAACAAAAAAAGAAAGTATAATAACAGCTGGTGTTAATCGTTCGAAACGAATATCGATGCCAAAGAGAAGCTGGAGTCCAGAAAATTCACCACCTCCGAAAAAACTAAAGATTTCAAAGAATGTAAGTTGATTTTATGATTAAAATAAAATTAAACCTAAATATTTTATTATTATATTTTATTTGATTATGATTCAACGAACGTACGTATAATTTATGTGTATATATTGATGAAATTTCATTAATGAATACTGAGTTCATGTTAATTTATGTACCGTCATTCAGAAATATGATTTAAAATGATAACCTCCATGTTAAATGTATATCTATAAAGTACTCAAATTAGATGCTTTTAAATTAATTCAAATTGTTTTTAAATCGATTCAAATTAGATTTCTTAATCAGGGTATTTAAGTGATAGTAAAAAAATAATGCTATTTTTAATAAATACCTACTACCATTTATTTTTAAATAAATTAATTTTTTAGATGAAAAACATAGGAAATAATGTTTACTGCCGAAAAATAATTTATGATTCAGCGCTAGGAGCTTCTCATAAATCAACGCATTTGGCAAGAAGGTTGTTAGAAGGAGTTTTTAACCACGACGCCATGATGGGATGCACATTGACAGGGCAGGCTCCAAGGACTAAAGATAAAAAATCAGCTGTTGTAAATCCATTAGATCAACAGGCGAAAGACGTTTTTTCTTAATTACTAATCCTAATAGGTAACATTGTGTCAAATTGACTCTAATTTTTTTTTTAAATCTCTGGTTTAAGAACTTCATTTGAAAGCCTCATTTAAAACCGTAATCTATCAATAATTTGACTGCTCAATTTTACTTGCATGCCAGAGAATAATTTTACAATAATTAGCATTTAATTGTTTAATTTGGAGCGTAATTCTTTGGGTTTGGAATCAAATTGACCCCATGTGACAGTAAATATGGATTATTATCGAGGTGTGATGTGACTCATTATGAACGAACTTTGCAGAGTTTGCGATGCATACAGCCGTTGAGAGGAAGTGGCCGATTCAAAGTCGACAAATCATTTTAAAGGAAATGAGCCAAAAGATCACTGAATATAAACGCGACAACATGAAGAAGGAAAAAACTGAAACGAGTCCAAAAAGCTAAAAAATTCAATACAGTTTCACATTATACTTTTAATAATTTTAAGTTAATATTAACGTTAAGAAAGTCAACCAAAGAGTTACTTCCATATATCTAATAAAAAAATAAAAGGTGATAATTACCAATTAATCATATCCATAAATACTATAATATTTTGTTTCAGATTTAATGAATTTTTTCAGAAAATATTTAATATTCTATGGTTTGTTAAAACTTATAATATAATTATCGGATAATAAAATTTCATTACTTGAACCATATATTATGATTTTATTTCAAACCTGGAAAGGATAAATAGATTAATTAGTTCTGCATGATCTAATCATACAGATCTAATAATTTTTTCAGGCACTTTGATCAGCAGAGATTTTTTCAGGAATGAGTCTCAGGCTTAAAATTAACAAAGCTACTCGACGGTGAATCAGATCTGATCAGGCATGAGTCATCAGCCCTGATCAGGCATGAACAGGCATGAGTCGTCAGGCCTGATCAGACCTGAAAAATGACCGGGCCTGATCAGACCTGATCCGGCCGGATCAGGCATGAGTCGTCAGGCCTGATCAGACCTGATCCGGCCGGATCAGGTCTGATCAGGCCCGGTCATTTTTCAGGTCTGATCAGGCCTGACGACTCATGCCTGTTCATGCCTGATCAGGGCTGATCATTTTTTCCCGGGTGTCCTCTGTAGAAAACACAGCAGAAAATTTGTTGGACAATATCACTCTGTATTTTATAAGGAATTAGTAATTAATAGCGCAAAAATGAACTACGTATTTGTCGAAAAACAAAAATAATGTATCCGATATTTTTGCGTTGGTAGACAAGCTATTTGCGGCAGAGTCTTTGTCGGACGTTTTCGAAATTGTTAGTAAATTATGCGTTTTATTTGTTAAAATGGAATACGAATTTGTTAAAAAAGAAGTAATGAATTCGACACACGTTACTCGTGCTACCGCCAAACAGCAGCACACATCATCACACATCAACAGCCTTCAATAGTCCACTGCTGGACATAAGCCTCTCCTTAGAAAAGAGGTTTTGGCCTACTATACCAGCAGCACTTTTGCCAATTGTCGTAATAAGAAAGTTTGGTAGACTCTTTAAAAAGAAGCTACTGACAAAAATTCAGATAATAATATGTATTAAATTGGATGATGCTTAATGGGGACTATAGCGTTAAGCCAACAGTTCCATATTCCAATGCGAATGTATGGCAATTACTTACGCCGCCACAACGGCCATTTAAAAAGGTATTAAGGACTATAACATCCGAATGCCGACAGCATGGCTGTCCTTAAGGCACTGGAGTGCAACACAATAACCTCTGGTATTGTCTTCGAATGCCATCATGCATTGGAGCAGCTTGCCACAGCAAATGGGGTATTCCTCCAATGGATTAAAGGGCACAGTAATTCACACGGGAACGACGCCGCAGATGAGCTGGCAAGGAGGGGCTCGGCATCCCCGGACACCGGCCCAACCACACTTCTGCCACTGCCCTTCAACCAACTTCGATCTTGGACTAGACAGCGTACTCGTGAAGCGCACAACCGAAGATAAATTTACCCAGCTGCAGACAGTCCAAACTGGTGCTGACTGAAGTCTCACCACGACTCACTTGCAGACTGATCAGTCTTAACAGACTAGATTTCGAATAGTTGTAGGAACCATAACAGTACACCAAACTCTATTAATGCGAGACAACTATTCACTATAAATGCGACGGACAGCCTTCTTTGCAGAGGATGCCTGAAAGCAGAAGAAACGGCCGCCCACGTAATTCTGGAATGCAAGGGAGTGGTCACACAACGGGCAAGTACGGGCAAAATCGCTCCTAGAAGCCTGTGAACGTCCCAAGAGGCTTCTGCGCTTTTGGAAGGAGTTTAGTTGGCCTACCTAGCCAACCTCTCCTAGACGCATAAAGGACCACTCTCGAGTCTAAATGCGGAAATCAGAGCCCACAACTAATAATACTCTTAACGAAAAAATAAGAAATACAAACAAGTGGGTAAGTCTAGAGCCAAACCTAATATTCATATGCGTAACAGAAGGGCGGACTATGTCTTGATTACCCATTTTTTTATTATTTTGGCTAACAAATAAACCAGATTCCAAGCTGCTTACAGGATGGTTTGAACATTTTATTGTAATAGTTTTTTTTTAGAACGAAATTCTTTATGGGTGATGTGGGTACAGGAATTTCACGAGAAAAAGCGTACGTTACGAAAAAGCGTTAGTTGCTATCTCTGCATTTACAACCCGCAGAGCGAGAGAGAGAGAGAGAGGAAATAATCCGTCTACTTGCATTGCGCATTTTTATTTAATATCTCGAGAGAACAACGCATCGTAGATCAAGACATGATGCCTATGATTTTTAGAGAATTTGATGAGGAATAAAGTGAGACCAGTCTTGTTTCTCGAGTATTCTAGTTATTCAATTTTTTTAGAAAAAAAAAACCGGTCAGGTACGAGTCGAACTCGAGGGTTCCTTACCTACCCAGATTTTACGTAGATTATCGCGAAAATTTGTAAGTACCAAAATTTATCTTAATTTTTAACTTTTTTTTTATTTTTGGAATTATTCCTTTCTTTGTGCTGTAAGACGTTTCTTTTTGCCAAATTTCATGATTCTAGGTCAACGGGAACTACCATATAGGTTTTCGACCCAAAACCTATAGGCGACGTCTCTGAAGTTCCGATAGAAGATAGAATAGAACTGAATATTTGATATTTGCCGACACCACTTTCATTATTTGTAATATCTTGGCCTATCGGAGCCACTAAAAAAATATTTTAAAAAAGTACATCATCTGCCAAATGCGTTTGTCATTTTGTACAATTTGCCGCCTTTATTTCTAAATTTCGCGCGCTTGTAAATTAACCGTTTTCAACATGAAACTTAATATTGCAAGTCTTGATCTCAGTAAATTTGGATATGTAATTGCGAAAGCAAACATTTGTGACAAGCATGATAGATCTACGCCTTCTCATTATCATTGGAAAATTCTGAAATGCAGGTTTGTTACGCTTTTAATATGTTTATCATAATATTGCTGTGTAGCTGTAACCTAACTTGATCGTAGAATTATGGTATAAAGACTTGACAAAAGTTTAAGCACTCATATGTATATTTTTATTTTAGAATGCTCATATTCTCTAGCTCATCTATATTAGCCTCACCGGACACAGAAGATTTACAGCAAGTGCATATAGTATTCAGTAAATCCGGTGACAATTTCGATAAATTAATTTCTCTTTTTCTGCAATTTTCTCTTATACAGGTAAGTTATATCTATATTTTAATATGTTCAGGGAAATCTTTAAATGAGGATTATGAAAGTTAGGATACCCATTTAGTTTACACATAATAGTCCAAAAACTACAATCTCAATATTCAATAAGTTAAAAACATTAAGTATGAATATATTATTGACCTGCCATCGTACAGAAAGTATATGATAATATCAATTATAGTATCTATATCTTTATATAAATATTTTAAAAAATAAGTTGGTTTGTGTACGCCTCAAGAACTCAAAAGTTCTGCACCGATTGAGTTGCACGTTTTGTTCCTCATCAATGTAATATCAATGTGCCTCAGCGAAGTTTAGTACAGTAGTAGTATTATGCTTAAAGTTCGACCAATACTTACTTGAAATTCAAAAGTGTTAAATGATTAATATGTTTAGGTACATAGTTACGTTAACTAAATATATTACTAAATAGTTGCTTTGGTAGTGAGGGCTCTTTCGGCCACAGACGATCTTTATGTCAAAGACGACTAAGGGTTCCGACAATTTCATCGCTCAGATCCTCTATTCATCTTCTTTTACCACAAGTCACTACAATGTTATGGACTAGATGAAATTGACCTTTTTTTCTGTGCGGAAATCCCCTCGCATACCCGATGGAGTGGTTATGTTGGAGTCGAACCTACCAATATCCGCAGGCCGTCACGGGTACCAGTTGTCGGGGAACCAAGTGTACCGATGTACCTCGAGCCATTTACAGTGTGCAGATGACCCCCTCCTGTGTGGAAACCCCAATTAGGACCCCGTTTAAAACGGTTTCACAGACCAGACCCAACTAAAAACACGTCTTAAGCGAGAAAGCGGGATAGGGGGAGGGGGATAGTCAAAAATAAAACGTAATACACATACATAGTATGATCTAATTTCGTATAATATTTGTTGAATTATACAATTAGTTGTTAGGAAGTTATTACATACATATAATGTTATGCAAGTACATAATTATGTGTTTTAAATTACGTTATAAAATAGTGTATTTCGTGTATATACTACCTAATTTCGTTACTTAAAGTACTCACTTATTTTGGTTTGACCAAAAGATTTTGATGTATTAGCAACTACGACATTTTCAATGTAATTTAACTTTTCCAGTGCGTCTTCACTTTGACTCAAAGAAGCTACATAGCGTCTTAAATCGTTTACTGCTGATAAAGCCTGAGTGTTTGACAAAATCGGAGTTGACCCATCTTCTTTTTCTGCATCATCACTTAGGGTCTCTTTTTGTGTGTCATTCACATCTTCTTCAATTGATTGAATTTCGTACGGTGTTACATTGTCATTAATGGAAGAATATCTAGGAAAACCCTGAAGTATCACGGGTTCTTCTTCCTCTTGCACACGGCACACACGGCGTCAACCCCGTTATATCTGAAACCTGCTTTCTTGAAATAATTTTGTATGGTTTCACGCTTAATTGATTCCCATGCCGCTGCAATGTTTAAAATCGCATCATGCACAGCAAAAGAATCGTTTGTTATCAGGGTCTTCCATTTCTTTAAGATATCGGTGTATTATTCTTGTCCTGTAACCTTGTTTAAGGACCTTAATGATGCCCTGATACATCGGTTGTAATTTGCTTGTTGCATTTGGAGGTCAGTACACAAGCTTGATATTCTGTAGCTCGCAGCGGGGCAGTTAGAATTTATCTGGCATCAATTTAAAAAATAAACCGAATTCGTCTGCGTTAAAAATGTCTCGCGGATCGTAATTTTGCAACAATTCGGGAAGTGTTGTCATCCATGTATCAACATCGTGTTGTGGCACTGTCTCCGATTCCCCACTGATTTGACGGTACACAATGCCGCCGTGACGATTTTTGAAACGGTCTATCCAGCCACTTGAAGCGTTAAAATCAGTGACGTGTAAGCTTTCAGCAATTTTACGCGCTTTCTCGCATATTATGAGGCCACTTATACTCAAAACTTACTTACGTACTAAGTAAACCACAGTAAGTCGTGCCACAATAAATCGAACTGCTGAACAGCACAGACGAAGACGTGTTTCATCATCTTCTGCGCCAAAAATCCCAACATCAAAAAAGTCAGTGCCAACAAGCCATTTACAATACGTGGCTATGGTGTAATTTCTTGAAAGGTGAGTTTATTCAATTTACTATTTGCAATACATCTGTCACTTTATAAATGAAAAATGAAATTAAAAGAAATTAAAAACACCACTACATAGTCCGGTCATTTTAGACATAAAAATAGTGATCAAATAAAAAAAATTCCGACAGAGCCAAATCTTCGTAGAGACCTTAGGTTTACCACAAGGAATAAAGTGTCAAAAGTCCCCATCAGTCCCATGTGAGCTTAGGGACTTATTCTTTGTATATTATTTGGTTTTTTGGATTTTTCTCGAAAACGGTAAGTTTTATCGAAAAAGTACCTCAGAGCAAAGTTGTAGATCTTAAAATTCATGTCATTTTAGACATCGAGGCAATCCCAACTTCACGAGCTTTATGACAATTAATCTTATGTCACCAACGACTCCTGAAGCAATAGACAAGATTTTGTTAATTTCGGGAAAAGGATCATGTGATGAAAACCAGTCAAGAAGTATTTTAATATCTTTAGCATCTTTCTTAACTCTCGAATCACTCGCATCCACATGTTGATCTGTCGTGTCCATTCGAACATTAGCAAGAACTTCCAACTCGTCACACACTGTGTTCATTGCATGCATTCCGTAAACCCATTTGCTTATTACACTTTCTTTTGTACTTCGTCCTCGAAAAATACCACCATCTGTTTTTATGGATTTCATCATTGATTGTTCGATAATCATATCTGTTGAAGTTCCACAACTGAGTTTATCAGAACGTCGAACAGTGAAAAATCCTTCAGCAAACCTTCGATAAACACTAGGATCAATTACCTCCTCTAATTGAAGCTTATCCTGCAAGTATATGTGCGCAGACTTAGCGTAAGGTAAATGCCCCGATGCATGGAAATAAGGAAGCATTTCTTTAACGCAGTTCAAATGAGCTTGCCAATCTCCCATACGTTCAGCTCTTATAAATTCTTTTGCAATGGACACCATCCGAAAATACTGTACCCATAATTGTGCAGTTGGTCCTCGTTTCTGATATTCCATTAACTTTTTATTAAATAAATCAAGTAAAAGTTTAGACGATAAGATTAATTGTCATAAAGCTCGTGAAGTTGGGATTGCCTCGATGTCTAAAATGACATGAATTTTAAGATCTACAACTTTGCTCTAAGGTACTTTTTTGATAAAGCTTACCGTTTTCGAGAAAAATCCAAAAAACCTAAAATTTTGACCTTGGGCCCGACTAAGTCCCTAAGCTCACATGGGACTGATGGGGACTTTTGACACTTTATTCCTTGTGGTAAACCTAAGGTCTCTACGAAGATTTGGCTCTGTCGGAATTTTCTTTATTTCAATTGTCTAAAATGACCGGACTATACAGTAATCCTACAGATAAACATACCAGGGACAACTAATGTCTCATATCAGTCAATCTAGGTTTAATAGTACAAGTTCTGCTTAGTTTGAAACTAGGTGGTGTTGTGTGTCAGATGTCTGAAAATATTATATTCGTTATTATATAAGTAATAAATGTTGTAATATTTTGTTGTAGATTGGAATATTGGGGGCTCAAGCAGTCAACTGTGACTCCTCCTTTACCAGCAGCTGAGGTTCATTCTCAGTCTTCTCCAGTCACCACAGTGGAAGAGGAGTGGAAGCCTCCAGAAAAAAAAAACTAATAAAAGCAATGATATTTTAACCGTTAATTGAATCGTAATCGTGTGAAATAAAATTAAAATTATTAACTAGACATATAATTTTTTTCAAAGTAAATAATGTTCTCTGTAAATAACATGTATGTATGTAATGTATAAAAACCAACTCTGTATAATTCCTTTTAAAATTATGGTAAATAAAAAATATTCATACTAGCTCATTTTTTACTATATGCCTTTCATCCCTGTCTGCTGTGGAACCCCCTCTATCTAACCAAATTTGGTACGAGCCTAGCAATGCCGCTTTGGAAATTTGATCAAGGAAAAAGCTTACTGAAGCAATCCAAGGTCTTTAAACAGGTTATAGAGGGATTTAACTGGTATACCCCTCGCATCCACTTCCACGGCATACAACGCAACGAAATAACCATTTTTAGTTATTTCGTTGGTTTAATCAAACTACTTCTTAGCTTCAAGCGATATATTTTGAAATTCGTTGTCATTTATATTTAAAGGACTAGCTGGTGTCCGAAACTTCGTTTACGTAGAATTTGAAAAGCGCTCTTTAGGTGGTTCGATTCCCGGACCGGGCAATTTTTTTTAGCCTAAATTACTCCTTATATAGACAGCTACCTGGTAGTAAAATATTATCAAAATCGGTCCAGCCGTTTTGAAGATTACCCGAACAAACAAACAGACAAAAAATATTTAGACTGGTTTTTAGGCAAGATACCTATTGCAAAAAACCGTGTGAGCATGAAACAACCTATTATTTTATATTACAAACAGACAGATTTTTCTTCACTTTTATCTTTCTTTGTTTATCTCTTCGCCTTATTTCACTAAAAATAATTAATTAGATTAATATATATAGGTACATACTTAGTATACTAAATTTTATTAATATAGTAGAAGTTTCTTCAAATGTCTTTGACAAATCTTTAGTTTACACTTTATAGATAAAACAAGATTTGCTAACCTCGAATCTAGTTGTTGAATACCCTTATTTTCAATTACTTGCGACAGGAACATACACAGGACGAAAGCGGCGGTCTTTGCATTTTATCTCTACAAAAAATTAACCATTATTACTAGAAAATAATAGTTTTAAAAGAAATTGATTGTTTCGAAACTTTTCTCACTGCCAAATCTTAGGTGAATAAACATTCGACTAAGCTCGACAGGTGCTCTATAGCCAGCCTTCGAACGTACGTCAGAATTTCGTTCGTGCTGCCAATTTTCTTTATAAAGTGTAACGTATCGAATGCTTGACGATACGTTGACGATACCACAGAGGACGATACGAAAGTAAATTCGAAACGTTCGTGCTGCCAAAATTAGTTACTTTTACGCGCGATAGGGGCGCTGCACAAATGTCATACAAATTCTGTCGAAGACGATACGAATACTTTTTCGCAAGTTGTTCGTGCTCGGGGCACTGTTGTGTAACTCGGCCGCATAATAGAAATAAATGCCTACAGCCGCGCGGTACGTAAACATGCGTTAGGGCTGCCCGTCTCCAGCATTTTAATTATATTTGCCTACTTTCTGTTTCTATTTAGATTTGTGATTGTAAATATCCTTTTTATATAAATAAATGAAATACTTTGTATATTGAATAGGAAGTGTTCAATAAAAATGCGTGTTGTTTTTTGATTGGTAGATTTAATTATTTTATTTTCTTTCTGCATTGGAGGAGTTCAAGTTTCAATTTTCTTTTTCTTGGAGTGTTGCTAGAGAGACTCGTTGAGGTTTGAGCAAAGATTTCAATTGTTGCATTTTCAGTCTGTGTACTTTTTATCTCAGCTTATTAACGTCTCTATAAATTAGGTACCTACCTACAACTCGCAACAACTCAAAACAAAAATTCTTTGGTCACCAATTAATTAATTATTAAAAAGCTGAACAGCTGACTACGAATGTTTTAAAATCACAACCCTCAAACATCTAAATATTATATATTAGTCTAGCTGTTGTTGTTAACACCGAGAAAATAAAACCAGTTTTTACTGGTATATGTTGTTATAGTAGCAGCAGAAACACTTTGTGAAAATTTCGAAAACTATCTAATGACACACAGACGGTAAAAAATTTTTTCTAGTATTATTCATACACACAGATAATAAACAAATATTATTGATAATAAAATACCACGTCTTTACTTTGAATTATGCAAAGTAACAAAACACACATGCACTGAAGTTTTAACACAAGCTTAAGTAGGTAGGTACCTACCGTATCATGATTCATTCAGAACCGCATATAACTACCTATTTCACTAGTCTCAATAACTTTCCGCTACTCTATTCGCATATTCTTATATTATAATGTTACCTGTTACATTGAGGGTACTTATTATAGTTTTTTACTAAGATTTGTAATTATTTTTTAATTTTTAGTGCTCTTTGTCAGTGTTGTTTGAAGTCGGTTCAACTTTTTTTTAAAAGGGTTTATTGAGAGAAAATTCGCGCGGTTATTGTTAAAAAAACAATACACCGTCCGTTCGACACTGCGGTACAGCCGTGACTGTCTGCGCCCCGAGCGCACCCCGAGATCGAGGCGCGTAGGTATAGCTCACGTTTCGTCCGTTTGTATGAAGTTGGAGTACTGTATTATAATTGTACGTGACGCTAGTTTACCCCTTGAAAATTCGCAAAACGGACGCGACGCGTCTGCTCGTGTTCGGGTCGCGTACTCATTTCGCCCGCCGCCACAGTAACGGGCACTCAGTTAATAAAATCGCCGTAACTATTAACATATGAATTATTCTCTAAGTTATGTAGTGTAAAAGACGAAGTTTAATAAAAGTATTTATTTTGATATAAAATTCAATTTGTTACTACCAAATGTGCATTACAAATATATTATAAATTTTTATTGTATTTAATGTATTTATGGTTAATTGTTTTGGCGATAATGGCTTACTCATAAAAGATAGATATATGCTGTCGCGGACTTTTTTGTAGGGTTGATTAAGATAAACATTTCTCTGATACATTATATGCGTGTTAACTCAACAGTTTTTGCAGCGTACGCCAGAATAGCTCACAGATGGCAGATTTTTTTCCGACTTACTTGACAATTATCGTTATATTTTTGACAATTCATATTCATTGATATAGCCTATATGTTATTCTAATGTATAAGCTATATTATTGTAAACTTTCATTACGATCCATTCAGTAGTTTTTGCGTGAAAGAGGAACAAACATCCATACATCTATACATACAAACTTTCGGGTTTATAATATTAGTAGGATATTAGTAGATACGTAAGAACAAGTGTTCTACACAGGTTAAATTATTAACGAGGCTTCAATATTAATATTTAAGGATGGTGGGATTAGGACGACCACACCGGAAATATTCCAAATTTGTTTTCGCTATACTATGAATGCTAGAATTGCGCCTTTGTGGAATACATTGGGCGAAAATTATCTTATAAATAACAGAGACTTTCTAATTACAAAAGGACCTCAAGATGGTGTCAGTTACAATGTTCTAGTGAACGGTAAGAGCAACTAACTACAGTGCATTTGTGCAATGTAAGAACCTACACGTGACATTGAATGCAATAGAAGTTATACTTTTATGGTAAAATTAGTTTTATGCAATTGCAGATAAAAATATTCTTAGTATGGAAATAAAAGCAGTCAAAATTAATTTGTTGAATACGGAAACATTTATGCCTGGACAATGGATAAGAGTTTTGCCAAGGTTTGAAAGCTATATTTATAAAGACAGCTATAACTTACTATGAAAATACCGACCTAAACATTTTATTCTATCCATTTTTTTCCCTCCCAAAAAAATCTTTTAATTGGCTTGTCATATTCGGAAAAAACTAAACTGGGTTTAATCGGTCCGATTTCAAAAAAATACCTATTTCCGAGAGAGGCCTTGAAGCAAATACCACTCGCGACACTAAGTAAACCATTTTCGTCTGGTCACAATGTTTCAGAATCCCGTTTCACAGGATGTCCAATGAAAGAAATTTCATTCAATATTCCGCTCATCATTCGTCTTTTAGACCCGGTTCAACATCAGTATACCTTGGTATAAACCCGGCCAGTCAGAATTACGGCTTAATCGGATGGAAGTCTAAATAATACCTTGTATGACGACCTCCGAGTGTAATCAGAACTTTTAGCCCATCAATTAAGTTTAGTTGTAGTTGCCATCGGTGTTTTCATCAGCATCACAACCTTGTTCAGTGGATGTATTATATCTACTTATATTTATTAATGTCTTTATAAAACCAATACGCTTATAACAAACCGTAGATGCTGATAAGACACGCCCAGAAACGTACACGAACGCAAAAAAATATGGTATGGAAAGCCTATTAACTATTCAATGAAACTGTTATTTCTTTTTTATTTTAGTTTAAACAAAGCTATGATTGAAGAACATTACGAAACGTTGCCACAAATAAGCAAGTTTAGATGCTATAAAGATCTACGTCGACATTGGAAAAATATTGTAAGACAATATAAACCTAATGTACCTTGGACCATAATATTACCTTTAAATATTTATTTCTTTTTTTAGCATGGTTACCGTTTACCCGAAGGGGAGGGCTTCTATTACTCCATCCAGTTTTGGCGTGGCGAACCGTTACTCTATCCAAGGATATGTGTCATACGAAATTTTCCAATAATAACACCCACACCTCAGTCTCTGGAGGTAAATAACTAATTAAAGTTACAACATTGCATAAATAAACCACTTATTTATACAAGAAATGTTAGGTACGAGAAAGTGCTAATTGGTTAATCGGGGGTTTTGGTCTCCTTATGTTATCCATACCCGCCTAAAAAGGAATATTAAATTGAACATATTATATCAATGGTCTTAAGTGACTGTTATGCATATGAAGAGCTTTGTAAACAATAGTATAGTGTTCTAGTAGATAGTAGATTACATAACCAAAAATTTGTGATCGTGGGAGAGCCATGCCACCGGTAAAGTTACCTATGGCCGTAGCCATGCTTCGACACCAATGGGCCCTATGGCCCCACCATGGGACCATCTCTCATGGAGTGAAACCACGGTCTCACAGAAAACCAGTGTTAAGCATTTTTATTGTTTCTTTTTTATCGAGTGAGTGATGTTACCGGAGCCCAAACCTTAAAGTAGGGCGAGGGGAGACTTAAAGGGTGTTCAATACACTTATAACTCTTGACTTGTTAGTGTCCATGAGCGACAATAGTGACGGCGACGTGGCAATTAATTGTACTGCATTCATTTTTTTCTATTCATCATCATTAGACCTTCAAATCTATTGTAAAGTTAAAATGAAATACTAAGGTAATAAATATTTGTCCCTCAGAAAGTCATCGTTCAAAACTTTTTGAACTGTTTAAATCTTAAGATGTCTAATTTTCTTGGCGCGGCTATAACGCTTCAAAATGTAGAAGACGGAAATGATAATGATCTTGTAAGTACCAAGTTTGCCTAAGCGGCCAGACGTTTGCCTTGACTATTAGATTCTCTTGCGACTTTTGGATATAGTTATTTCTTGATTGTTTTCAGGATTCAAACAAACATTATTCTCCAGACACTCAAGCCGTGAGCCTTTGTACACCAACTCAATCTACAAAATAATTCGTGGGTAGTCCAAATATAAAGTACAGAAAATAATTAAAAAGCACTATGTACTTACTGTATTGAATTCTTTAATTTCTTAATATTGATATATTTTTATTTTAATGTTATTAACTAAAATATAAATCACTATATGTAAATTTTAATGCTTAAATTTTTAAGTATGTCACTGATTGGTCAAATTTTTAAAACATATGTATATATTCATATGCTGTCACGGATCTTGAATTTAAAAGTCATTGTAAAACAATTTTGCTTGAAATGATTACATATTATATTTAAACATAATCAGTAGTAGTACCATTATTATTTGAATATTACCATTAAAAACACACTAACAACTAAAACAGAGTTCGAATTCTGTGCAGTAACGACACAAACCTTATAATATGTACCTACTCTTATAATTATTTACAATCTTAATTTTCTATATGTCCCATGCAATTAATTAAAATTTTGCTAAATTGTCTGTTTCTCATTATTATTTCCAGTCACTGTGAGTGTGTGGACTCAAATGTCCTTCTTGTTGGGGACAAAGAGGTTTGCCCAGCCGTTTGATGAAAGAACCTAGCCACAGAAGGTGACAAGTTCCGTTCAACATGGCGTGGAGACAACGTAGCAGATGTATTCTGTAATGAGAATATTATATATGTGATGACTGCTTACGCTTGATTAACACTGATACAAATGTATATTAGCAAATTAAAATTTAAAACTTACGCCATGAACGCTACGTCGTGACATTCTGGGTGCGGCTGAAAAAGAATCGGGATAACTTTCGATCGTCGATGAGGTCAACATATGAGTCACTTTGTACCCCTTTGCTAAAAGCTCTAATGTTTTACCTGGAAACAAATAAAACATTTTTGTTAATATGAAAGAGCGTTGAGTAGTTAGGCACTCTGCATTTATATGTACCTATGCATCATTATGCTGAAAACTTTATACTGACGTAATCTATAATCATTCAAGTAGGATTATCGTAATTTAAAACTTAAATAATCCAAACCTGTCAGGGTTGTCGGAATATTAGTGTTACATCGTCCAGTATCTAAAATCTTCTTCAGAGCCAAAACGTTATTAAAAATGACTGCTACGGCTGCCCCATCGGCTAGTTGTGAAGAATCACAACATGACAATAAAAATTTCCATTTATCAGTATCCCACTGCTCGCCAGAAAATACTGCTAACTGTAATGTCGATGCACCTATGACAATATTTTGAAAAAAAAAACATAATTAAGTAGGTACCTATTTGACTTACATATACGATTTACATGTCTCCAATATTTACTTGCCTAGTCTCGTATATTGTACCTATATCTGAAATTATACTTTTAAAACACTATAACTTCGTTAAAGGTAGCAAGAGATTTTTTTTATGATATCAAGTCCCGTCAATGGCCTTTAAATAAAATAAACGATACTAAAACTCGTTAAAATCCACTTAACAGATCAGAGGTTCAGAGAGTTCTCAGAGAGAATAAAAATGATATGCATAAAAAAAACATATTATGATTCATTTTTTTCTCTTGACATTCTTAAAGATCTTTAATAGTTACAATACAAAAAAAAAGGAAATTGGCTGGCAAATATACTTAGGAGAAAAAGGTAAAAAAACACTTGTTTTTCTATTTAGATTTACACTAATAAAACCCTCTAGAGTTGGGAGCCGTCTTAAGGGAGTCGTCTTGTTAACTAATTATTACCGGATAGAACGATTGAGGCTACAGTTACCAAAATTGCGGGGCAGCTGGGACGATAACTTGATGATAGCTTCCTGGGTATTTTCTATATAGGAGTAAATAAAACTAATGTTATTGTTCATGTACTTTTCCGAAGTTGTCAAAGTATGACAGAGTGTTGGTTTCACGACTAATTATTTACACCTGTGTTTTGCTACCCGAAGTACCTAGGTCCATTTGTAATATTTCTCGTAGCATATCTCATGTTTCTCTATATATATTTGACTATGACCCACAGTTTCACCTGCATGTTTACATTCACGGCACCAACACCGCTATCAGCTGATGTTACAATACAACTGTTTTATAACGTTAACATCATACTCACATTTTCATGATTTTCATTACTTACTAATGTACGTAAATTAACACACTTACCAGATTCACTAAGTAGATGAGGATTAGCTCCGAATTGAATTAATGTTTCCACAATTGCTGGACAACCATAACGAGCTGCTAGTCTTATTGGCCAACCCCCTTCAAAATTGGGGTCTAGACCAGAACGCAGAAGCTGTACAAATTCTTCTTCCTGTTTAGTATAAATCAAACATTTAATCTTACTTGTTTTATTTTCCATGTTAACGGCCACCAAAATTTCTAAAATGCATTTTATTCTAACCTACCGTCATTTTATTTAAAACGTTACGTCATATAAATATAATTACATGATATTTGCAAAGGGCAAGGAGGTTCCAACCAAATGTTAACTTTCTCCTAAAAATACTCCAGATTAACCTATTGATTTACTTTCATCAAAATAAAAAAAAATACATCTACATGATAATATGCAAACCCATTCATAAACATTGGACGAGAACTAGGTAATAGGAATAAACAAGAAAAAAATAACACTACATTTGTGTAATTTAAATACTGTAACTATACTATTTTTGTCTCAAAATTTAAATAGATTTTTGCTATTAAATACATGTGGCTAAAATGGGACGATTAACCTTAAATAATAAATTATTATTACAGGCACGATCCACATGATCATGCCTGTTATTTGGCACGATCTTGTAAGGAACAGGCTAAAGTTATGTAATTTAAATCATCCTTCTCAGCTCCACACAGGACTGTATAGTGCCTAATTACCTTAGGTAAGAAGTTTTTTGTGTTAAAGCCGCATTTTCACGTTACGAGTGGGCTTGGACCGAGTGCGCTCGTACGAGCTTGCTTGTATATGAGTGCATTCGGATTATGGTATACCTACACGTTACGAGTTGAATAGCATCCGAGTATCATTTTATCTAGTTGTTTCATTGCACTACATTCATTTTCAAGATGTCCAATGATGACGATCTTCTACTACGAGGTATAGAAATAGTGGCAGATATGTTAATTACTGAAGCACAAGAGTTCTGTGACGTGACCAGCTGGGTGCTTCAAATAATTTTCTTCGTGAAGTGGAAATTGAAGATAAGGAGACTTTTAAAACCATATGAGACTGAACAGCTAACAATTTGAGTATTTACTTCAAAAAGTAGCACAAAAAATACAAAAATCAGATACTGTAATGAGGGAAGCACTACCTGCTCGAGTTAAACTTCAAATAGTTTTGCGATATCTAGCTACTGGCGATTCTTTTCGCAGTTTAGAAAGTCACTTTCGCGTACCAAAATGCTCTATATCCTTGTTTTTACCTACAGTACTAAATGCAATTTATGAAGCATTAATTGAATTTATACAGGTCAGCATGATTAAGTATAAAAACTATTACTTTTTATTCTTTTTATTTAAATAGTAAGTACACACTAAAATCAGTCTCAAATTATATTACAATAAATCTCTTAATAAAAAAAATAATCATTCTTCTGCTCGAGTAATATCAAAAAATAAAATATAATATGGAAAGCAAGTTTCTGTTATTGACAAATTTATTCTTGACTACAAATCAACAACAGTTGCTAGGTAACATCATCATATTAAAGATAGACAATAGGGAATATGCACGTGACACCGAAATGGACAAAATATTTTTATTTGTAATTTTTGTTGCTAAAAAAAGATACCCATACAATTATTTTTGAAATTTATTATAATTTAATAGTGAAATTTAATCATCAAAAATTGGCTTTTTTAAGATTCCCTCGCAAATTTCTAAAACGCAACGCTATTGGTTGAATAAAACGTGACGTCAACCTACACTGTCAAGAGTGTCAACAAGCTGTGTGTATTTGTAATATTTGGTTTCTGGTGATTATTTGTTTCATTTTAAGTTAATAACTAATACGTTTTCAGTGTTAAATTATTAAATTCCCCTGTAGAAAGACTCAACACAATGACTGAATATTTAAAATTGCACTTTGTCAGGTGCAGTTTTGATATTATTTGGGCACAAAGGAACGGCACAATATTTATAATAAGTTTTTATTGGCTTTTCCATGGTAATAAGTTAATTTTTATCACTCACTTTTTTAGCTTTCACAAACTTTGTGAACTCTCACTCCGTTGTTGACATCGAATTCGTCTGAAAGTGGAATCTGACGTCACAAAAAAAGCGCGCCAAAATGGACGTGTTTCAAATTGCCCCAAAATGATAGTGATTTTAATAAAAAAATTTTTGCTTAACGGTTTATATTTCGGATGTGTTATATTTATTTTTGGTAATGTAATAACTAGTAGAATCGTTGAAAAAAATAAAAAAAATACATGCATATTCCCTATTTGTAACTGATGTATATAACCTTCTTAACATTCCGTCTCCTCTTCAAGCAACTGTTGGTTAAGTGGAGGCTCCAGCTAGCTTACATAGTTCTAGAAGCCTAGGCTTAAATAATGGCTTTGTCAAGAAGTCTGCCAGTTGATTCTTGGTATCAACCTTCTCAACTTTTATATCCTTTTCTAGGACACACTGCCTTACGAAAAAATGTTTAAGCCTTATATGCTTTGTTCGCTGGTGTGCTTCGTAAGGTGGATCATAAGCTAATCTTATAGCGGATTCATTATCTATAAAGAGTGGTGTAATCTCCTTCGGAGTATTACTCTGCATGAAGTTCATGATCCGTTTAAGCCATATAACTTCTCTGGCGGCCTCACTTGCTGCAATTATTTCAGCTTCTGTAGAAGATATTGCGACAGTAGTCTGACGTTTACTCTGCCATGCTATTGCACCATTGGCGTTGAGGCAAATCATGCCGCTGGTGGAGCGTCCAGTCGTCTCATCACCACCATGATCAGCATCACTGTAGCATCTTAAGCCTCGTTCTACAGTGGAAGATTTGTATGTTATACCATACTCTAGGGTGCCTTTAACATAGCGTAGAATTCGCTTAACTCTCGCTACATCTTCTGATGTTGGATTATCTAGCTTCCGTGACACTATTCCAACTGCAAAAGCAATGTCAGGTCTAGTGCCAACCATCAAATAGGATAATGCTCCAACAACCTGTCGATATGGAAAGTCATGGATATCCGTATTGTCTTTCGAAGCTAGCACGTTATCTTTAACAATTGGGGTTACTGCAGCTTTGCAATTCTGCATGCCAAATCTTTGCAGTAGCTTCTTTGCATAGCTCTTTTGATCAATTTTGATTGACCCATCAACTTTACGTTCTATTTCAATTCCAAGAAAATAGGAAGCGCATTTCGTTGTGATTTTGAAGCGTTGACGCATTTCGTCCAAAAACTTTTCAGTTTCTTTTGAACTTGCTGACGCTATCAATCCGTCATCAACATATAAAGCTATTAATAACTTGTTCTTTCCCTCTCTTTTAAACAAGCAGGGGTCACCCTCACTCTGTATGAAGCCAACTTTGAGGATGTGCTCAGTAATAGTAGAGTTCCAGCACTTCGGTGCTTGTTTAAGTCCATAGAGACTTCGTTTAAGTTTGCAAACTTTACCATCATTGTTTGAATATCCTTCTGGAGGCTTCATATAAATATCCTCTTTCAATTTGCCATATAGAAAGGCAGTTGAAACGTCGAACTGACATAGAGAGAGATTTTCTTGAGCAGCTATACTGAGTAATGCTCTTATGGTACTTGTCTTTGCAACAGGACTAAAGGTTTCATAATAATCTAAACCCTTCTTCTGTGAAAAACCTCTTATTACAAGTCTGGCTTTGTATTTATCAATCGATCCGTCAGGATTCGTCTTGATCTTAAAAATCCACTTGCTTGAGATCGCTTTTCTGCCCTTGGGTAAATCTACCATTTCCCATGTTTCATTTTCTTTTAGAGAATTAATTTCATTATCCATTGCCTTTTTCCATTCATCAAAATCTTTAGATGCCATCACTTCTTGAAATGTACTTGGCTCTTTTCGATTTTCATCGCTTATCGAATTGCCATTCATACAAATGTTGCAAATGAAGTCTTTGTATCTAGCCGGTGGCCTGAGATTTGATCGGTCTCGTAGCGTCATCCTGCCTTCAGCCTCGATCTCAGATGCAGATAAAGACGAATCGTCTCTACGGTCTGGCCTCGATTCATTTATATCGTTGACTTGACGATCTGTCTCGATTACATCGCTAACCTCTTCTTCGGATATAGGCTCGTAAAAGGATTCCTCCGCCTCTAAAAATGTTTCAGCCTCTGGCACGTCATCTTCACTCGCAGTTTCAATCTCTGCACATGATGATTCAGCAGCATGTTCATCTTGCTGAGAAGACGATGCGATACTTTCATCATGACTTGTCAATGTCTGCTGGATGTTGCTCGTGTCGGCCGGCGTGTAACATTCATGCTGACGAGGAATGACGAAGTCAAACAGGGTGTTGGAATTTTTATCAGCAGTTTTGTTCTGACTGGCAACAGGCTCGTCAATCTCTTCAAAGTGACCCAATAAAGGATTCTCATTAAAAGTGACATCTCTGGAACGAATCAGTTTGAAAGAGTTGCTGTCCCAAATACGGTAGCCATTGTCAGAGTCATATCCAATTAATATTCCTTTTTGTGCCTTCTTGTCTAACTTCTTTCGTCTTTGCTTGGGAACATGTGGATAACAAATGGATCCTATTATTCTTAAATGACTCAGTCTGGGTTTCTTCTGGTGCCATAACTCATACGGTGATTTTCCATCCACAGAGGTTGGGCCTGTTCTGTTTAAGATGTACACTGCAGCAGATATCATTTCAGCCCAAAGTGCAGGAGGAATTTTTGCATGTGCGTACATTAGACTCCGCGCCATTTCCACAACGGTCCTGTTGTCTCGCTCTGTTGGATTTTGTTGTGGCGTATAGGGCATTGTCAATCTTTGCACAATACCTTCCTTCTTGAGAGTAGCTTGTACCTTCGCGTTGACATACTCACCACCGTTGTCGCTAAGAAGTTCTTTTATGACAACTCCTGATGCTTTTACTTCAGTAAGCATAAGTAGCAATTTCGCGTGTATTTCAGCTTTTTCCCTCATAAAATACACAAATCTGTACCTTGTATAATCATCTTTGAAGAGAACAAAATATCGCAACTTTGTGATAGAATATGGGAAGGGTCCACAAACATCAGCATATACAAGTTCTCCAGGTCTCGTTGCTTTCTCTCGGGTCCCAAACTTAAGTCTATGGGATTTGCCATAGATGCAACCTTCACAGAGTTCCTTGGTTACTGGTACTTTTATATGAAACTCATTTTCAATCACCTTCTTCACATGGCTTTTATTTTGATGTCCAAATCTTTCATGATATAGCTGTAACAAATTTGTGTTTGTGGACACCTGATTGACTCGTACAGTTGGTTCCAGACATCTTATATTAATTTTAAAGAGTCCTCCAAACTTGCTGCGGGTGCCAATCAGCTTTACCTGTCCATCAATCTTTAGTGTACATTTTAGTGTGGTAGATTCAAAAACACTGTTGTCAGATATGTCGTGGGTTGCAAGTACTGAAAATAAATTCCTGCTAATGCTGGGTACGTACCAGACATTCTTCAGTAGTATCGGTATTGCATTTCCGTTTACATCAGCCTCTGCAAGAATATTTCCGATGCCTAGGGCTTCAATATATTGGAAATTCGCGCCAGTCACTGTATGACGGCTCTTGAAATATTTGAAGGTCTGAAAGAGATCATTTCGATTGGTAACATGATTGGTAGCCCCATTATCAATGAACCAATTCTCTAAATCTTTCCTTTCTCCAAAATCAGCCGAATCTATTGTCATAACAGTCAGGTTCGTGTTTGCGGTCTTGGTTTCCTTGGGCGGCCTTCCATCTTGGATCCACCGCTTACAATTTCTAACTCTATGTCCCTTTTCCTTGCAATAATTGCATTTAGGCTCGTTAAAATTCTTCTTTTTCTTACCCTTATTTGTTTTTGTATACAAAGCTTCTGCACTAGTCTCCTCTGTGACAGTTGTGTCTTGACGCAGGACTCTCTCTTGTGCACACAATTGACTTGTCAGATTTTCAACTGATCTTTCCATTTTTGAAATCAACAGCCAACTGGACTTAAAACCAAGATATTCTGGAGGTAATGTATCTAGTATCTTGCATATTAAAAGAATTTCAGGTAATTTTGTTTCACTCTGCAATTCCGTACATAGCTCGCTCCAAATATTCTTTAAAATTGACACATGTGTAATTATGTCATGTTCTAGGTCCTTTTTGTAACTGAAGAATTTCAGGCATAAGTTGTATGTCTTGTCTACACACGTACCTCCATAGGTGCGCTCTAGCTCATCCCACATATCTTTAGCAGAATCAAATCGCAAAAACTTTTGTAAAATATCATCTGACATGTTTGTTGTCAACAGAATTAAAATTGCGCTATTCAAATTTTCAAAACTTTGGAGGTCTTTTTCATAACTAGCCTTTGCATCGCCAGTAGCCGAAAGCGCCAAGGATGGTCTTACCTTCTTCCCTTCGAGGATGAACATGCCTCCTGGTATTGCCTTTAGCACGATTAGAATTTTGAATCTCCATGTTTTATAATTATTGGAATCTAGTTTCCCAATTTGAATCTTACTCGCATTTAATGCTTGCTCCATTGTTTACGCTCTGCTACCACTTTAATATAATAAAATAAAATATAATATGGAAAGCAAGTTTCTGTTATTGACAAATTTATTCTTGACTACAAATCAACAACAGTTGCTAGGTAACATCATCATATTAAAGATAGACAATTTGTAACTTTTGTTTATAACCTTCTTAACAATAAATAATATTTATATTATTAATAATGCGTTGTATTGCAGCATTTCGAGCGTCTTTATTTTTGTATAGATTTAGCTTCACATTCCACAACACCTCCTCTTCGTAAAGCTCCACTAACCTCATAGTGTCACGTTCACTCCACTTTTTTTTTGTTGACGCTATTATGTTTACGTAAAATGATACAAGTGCACTCGAAAAAATAGAACCGCGTCCGAGTCCACTCTGATCGTGATCCGACGTCCGAGTGCACTCAGATGGCGTGTTTACACGATACGAGTTGCATCCGAGTAGCACTCGGTCCGAGCCCACTCGTAACGTGAAAACGCGGCCTAAAGGTTGATTTTCCAACGGCGAACGTGAATCTTTCGGAAAAAATAATTTTTCAAGTTGGCAGCACTTCCACAACCAAAGTTTTACTTATTTATCGATATTTATCGTATCGAAATTTTAAACAGTATTGATAATTTTCGAGTGAAAAATAACGATATAAAGTCAGTTTTCGCATGATTATTCATACATATTCAAAGAGCATTCAAACTTCGTAAAAAAGAAGACGAAAAACGAAGAAAATTGTATTTTTTTATTAATGCTCGAGCCTCAACATTTTTTTTTTTTTTTTTTTTTGTTTAAAAAGAACGCCCGCATTAGGAATAAATCCTGTGTCGCGGGGAACTTTACAAACATACATGAAACGGACACAAAGAACACGCAGACTCAGAACAACAATTTGTGGATCACACAAAGTGTCGTTCCATGTGGGGTTTGAACCCACAACACTCGGCGTAGTAGGAAGCGGCGTGGCGACCGCTTAAACCACTACGCCATCCGTGCAGTCAGTCAGTCATTATACAATTTAATCAAACCAGTAGTCATCAGATATGGACATTAGGAGCATGCTCTGTTTGATGTGCTCGCCTGTCGAACGGCTTCTATTGTCGGGTACTATCAGATTCACGACTGAAGCAACCTTTTCGGAAGACACCAAAGAAGAATGATACGTATTTATGTTTTCAGGTCAGTGATACATTTTACGCATCACTAGAAATAAATGTGTTTGTGTATATGTTTATCCGCGAGAAGTTCCGGTCCGCTTTTTTGGTGGCGCTGTCAATATGCGTGTATTGACCTTTTCATTTTCAGTGCGCATATCTCAATTTCCCCCATGTTTTTCGGACTATTTATACGAGATATACTGTCTATGAGCGTGCTTCGTAATTTCTATGAAAAGCGGCAATACTTTTGTATTGCCGCTTGCGCTGAACTTGTAAAAAAAAGTGCTATAAAATTTTCATGATACTGAAATTAGCCGACGTCTAATAATTTTTGAAACTTTTCAGAACGATAAATTAAGAAAAGAACTTAAAATAACATTGTATTCATACTTTACATTATTTTCTAAATGTGCAAAAAAATCGAAATTAATACGAATTCGATACTCTAAAATAAATATCGAATATCGATTTAAATCGAAAATTGTATGGAAAAATATCGAAATTTTTTGTCCATGCCTATTTTTGTTTGTGTGTGGTGAACATCAAAGGGAAAGGATTAATCATTTTCAAAAACAATGTGTACTTATTTTATATTTTATTTGCAAAATTATTTTCTAAGTTGTTGTGTAATGGTGCGGGCTATACACAGTTAAATCTAAAATATGTGTAAACATGAAAATATCATATGTTATGATAACATTGATTTTATTCATCAAATCACCATGGGGAGGTAAGTAAAAGAAAAGTGTAATATTTATCATAGCCCGTGATTTTACTAAGTATACAAATATTATTTCCTTAGACATAAGGAGTGGCGAAAAATAGCGAAGAGGGAAAGACGAAGACGCATTCGTACACATCTAGCCAAACAAGAAGGTAATTTTAGTTTTAATTGACTATTCCTCACATTTGATTTCTTGGTAAATAAATAAATCTGGTTTCTAGAAAATGAACATAGAAATGAAAGTTTTTTAAAAGAGCAAGAACTGATGGAAACATTAATGCTTGAGCAAATAAAAAAATCAAACAAAGAAGAAAATGATAAATGGATCCAAGCTGAAAAAATTAATATAGAACAGTGGAACAAATTACAAGAAGAAAGAGAAAAACTACATCAAAAGCATCTTGAGCAAGTAGCAAAGATCAAATTGGTAAAGTATTCAAAAAAAAAAATTGTTGTTAATTGTTATATGATATAAATATTTTGTTCATAAAGTTTATGCCATTTAATATCTATAGGAATTCGAATTGGAACAAAAGAATAAGAAAATTGAAGAAGAAAGGTTAAAAGAAGTACAAAGAAAACATAAAAAGAAACAAGCGATCTTTATGCACAACTTAGATAAGTTTTTATCTGGAGATGCAGATGAACCTCCGTCAGAGTTGAGAGTTATTCATGAAACCAGACCAAATGCTGAACTTTGCCCTTTCTTTTTTAAAACAGCATGTTGTCGTTTTGGCGATCAGTGCTCCAGAAACCATCAGTATCCAGGCATTAGCAAAGTACTTAATAATTTTTTTTTTATGATTTTACTAAAACTATTTGTATGATTTTATTCAGAAAACTGTTTATTTTTAGGTATTACTAGCAACAAACTTTTTTACACATTTTGGCCTTAGCAATGCAAACCTTAATGAATATGATACCGACATAATGCTGGAGTATGAAGACAGTGACACATATAAAGAGTTTAAAGAGTTTTTCTTTGATGTTATTAGTGAATTTGAGAAATTTGGTAAAATTACACAATTTAAGGTGAGTGGTCACATTATTGGGGGGTTACTGTTAATCTTATTCAGATGATTTCAAAGTAACCCCATAGAAATAAGTATCCTTTGAATAAAGTGTTTTTATGTTAATATATTAAAAGTTGCATCATACATGCAAAACAAGTAATGTTTTAGCTAAGTATGTTAATAGTAGGGAGAGAAATGTTTTAAATAGTATAAGCTGCTTTTTGTGCCAATGATCTTTTTAGCCATGTGTGCCATGGATTTTAGTGTATTTGAACATTTCTACTAAGTTAGACTCATTTAGCCGTGAGAATCATAATGGTTGGTGTACCATAACAAATACAATCTTATATAATACAGAAAAAATGTACATGAATTGTACTAAAGTACCCATTCTTAAATGGCAGATGTATCTAATGTATTAATTTATCATATACATAGGGATTAAATGTTAATACTTAAAATTTGTACCTTTTAATTAATGTAATTTAATGTATATTAATACTTTAAAATTGTACTCTATATAAAAGCAATCACACACTCAGTCTTTTGATTGGTTTCTGTGCAATTGAACTATACATTTTTCTGTGCCCATTTTGATTATTGATCTAGATACACTTTTATATTTTAGCATGTGCAAGACGTAATTTATATAACTTATGAAAGGCCATGATAATATTTTCTTTTATTATGTAAGGAGGACTTAAGGTGAATCCACATACAAAAAGGCAAGTAGGCACAGAAACATTAGTAGTTTCATTTCACAGAAACCAATGAACATACTAAGTAAGTGATTGCTTTTACATAAAGCACAAAATAGGTACAAATTATATTTAATAATATTTAATCCCAATGTATACCTACTATGAATTCATACAATATCATTCTGACATCAGAGTGGCCGGTCTATCTTCATTTTCTTATATTTTCGTTTTAATAGAGGTACATTTTTTCAATTTAGTACAGTTTATGTATAATTTTTTGTACTATATGAGATTGAAATTGTTATGGTACCCCCGTCATTTTGACTCTCACATTTTGCCTCACATCCCAACAGTGGCTATAGTAATCTATACAAATAAATAAAATTGAAGTGACTGTTTGTAATGTCAAAATAATAGGTGTTTTCATGCTCACAAGGCTATTGGACGATACCTATGCCTAAAAGCCCATTTAAGTATTTTTCTGTCTGTTTGTTCCGGGTAATCATCAAAACGGATGTGCCGATTTTGATTATATTTTTACTACCAGGTAGCTGTCTATATAAGAAGTAACTTAGGCAATTTTTTTCTCAGAAAAACCTAATAAAATTTTGTCCAGTCAGGGTAACAAACCCACCAAGGCAACACTTGTATAGTCTATTTCTGATATCTTAAGTCTGTATTTGAAAAAGTATATTAGGAATTAGAGTGAGTGCAAACATAAATACAAAATTGAGAAACCAAAGTTATACCTGCTACATATCTATCATATATATACTCAGACGAAATTCAGAACATCTAACTCTGGGTTACAATGGAGAAGGTTTGTATTTAAATCACACTTGTTATATTTTTTCTTATACTCAGTCATAATATTAGTAGGTTTCAAAAATATTTGTTTGTAGGTTTGCAAGAACCATGAAAAACATCTTCGTGGGAACACATACATAGAGTTTGCAGAATTACGTTGTGCTGTGGCTGCATATCGTTCTTTACACACGCGCTGGTATGGAGGCAGGCAGCTCTCATTACAGTTCTCCCTTATAAATTCCTGGAAAAATGCAGTGTGTGGTATGTTGGCTGTTTTAAGTTGTTTCTTTTATAAAATTAAAAAATTATATAACTAAAGAAAGTAGATTAGACGAATGCATTTGTTACTTTTTTTAATGTTTTTGTAATACTAACTGCACGGATGGCGTAGTGGTTTAAGCGGTCGCCACGCCGATTCCTACTACGCCGAGTGTTGTGGGTTCAAACCCCACACGGGACGACACTTTGTGTAATCCACAAAAAAAATATCCTGGAAAAGTGAAACTAATCAAAAGCTTATATGGTTATAAAAGTTCTTGAACATGTAAAGACATATTTTTTGTAAATACATAATTAATTGACATAGAAACACCCAGACCAACTCAAACAGAAAGAGCTTAGCTATTACTCTGAGGCTTCTTCAATTTATATCATTGTTTCTCTCAAGGTTTTGCTTATATGTAAATTGCAAGTTCTCCTTTACAACAGCAAAATAAATGTTACGTTTAAAGTAGGTATTTCCTTTATCAACTATTTCGTTTATCTAGTTAGATAATAACAAAAAATAAAACCTTCAGTCTATGATTAACCTAAATTAAAGAAATGTTGATATTACACAGATTAGTTTTCTAAATTAAAAAGTTATGTTAAACTTATATGAATTTCGAATTTTAACTCGGTGCTATTACATTTCCTCCGCCCACGTCACATTGCCGCTGTCTGCCCCAACCTTATACATACTCTTATATTATATAATATGAGAATAATATTCCAAATTCAACAGACCACTACTAGAATAGTTACATGTCTATTATTTACTTAAACTTGTTTTTAATCTACAGGACTCCAATTACAACGACGTTGTCCGAAAGGACGGGCTTGTAATTTTCTACACGTTTTTAGAAATCCAAATAACTTATTTAGCGGATATTCTTATGACAACAATCAAGATGCTGAAAGGTAGTCCTCAATTGGAATTTGCTATTGCACATTAATAATCATTGTAAAATTAATATAAAAATATTGTTTCTAGGTCTCAGCGGTCTTCTGTTAGATCGTGGCGATGGTCTGAGTCACCAGAGCCAGAAGTTCCAAAAAGTCGAAGTTCAGAACGTACTGACAGACGTCGAAGAAATTCTAGAGATGCTGACGATTATAGAAAACATCGTCGCCGTTCTCCTCGACGAAGTAGTCGACGCTAGTTTTATTGAATTCATATTATTAAAATGATCAAAACTTATCAAACTTTCATTAAAAACTGAATGCAATAAATGTCATCAAGTTAAACCATAATAATTAGGAACGGGCAAATTGATTATATCAAAATTCTTTCGTTGCTTTTAACCGCGCAAGTGAGGTTATCGGAGCCCAAACTAGGGGAGGTTTCCTAAAGGCGTCCATGAGCGGCGGTCAGTCAGTGAGTCACTTATCATCAGCTGACTTGTCTATTCATTTGGCCCTTAAAACATAAAAAAATCACAAAACCCATAGCTAAATAAACTAAAAAGTTGAACCTCTAAAGCTCGTTATTGGTTTTTTATTGAAATAGGGCTTCCACTTAAATATACGTGGAAGTTTACGTAGAAGCTCTATTGTGTGCCTTGTGTGTGCCCTACATACAGGAAAATCAAAATTACATTTAACTACAAAGTTTTACTAGTACCTAAGATAGATCACGAAAGTAAAGCGGTCATTCAAGCTTATTTAGATGGAGAAAGACAGTGGTGAGGTTGTCATGATATTATCGTATCAAATTTATTTTTAGGCAAAAATTAAAATCTGGAATATCACCATAGCTGGGCGCCGTTAATCAAATAGTTAACTTCGTTAATCGCTAATCCGTTAACAAAAAAGTTAACGTTTAATCGTTACATTTCTGCAGATTTAGCGGAAGTTAACATTACCTCGTTAGGTAAGTGTTAGAATTTATGTCCTTTCTTTAGTGATCTACTCATTGATATAAAGCAGCGTCCACACTATGCCGGGCGAGGCCGGGCGGGCTGACCCGGGCGGCCTAAGCCGGGCGGGTTCGTTCGGGCCGGCACGACGTCCACACCGAAAACGAGGCCGCCCGGGTTATATCTACCTATTAGTTTCAATTCGACACCAAGACTGGACAACTAAAGCCGCCCGGTGCCGCTCGGCACGTCCCCACTACATATTTTCGTTCGGCTCGGGCCGGCATCCTTTGATCTGTACCTACTTTCTGCGGGTTGGGATCGGCTCGGCTCGGGCCGGCTTTTTAAGCCGCCCGGGGCGTCCACACCAACCCGGCTTAGGCCGCCCGGGTCAGCCCGCTCGGCCTCGCCCGGCATAGTGTGGACACTGCTTAATACTTACATAGATAAGTAATTACCGCCTAAAATCGTTGCTACTGCACATCTGTCCACAGGCATATGCGTAGCAAACGTCAATTCAGTGTTCAATGTGGCGTCAACCGAGTTGAACATAGCGACACATGACAGTAACAATCGCCAAAATGGGTAAATGCGTAGTGAAAGAATGCGATTCAAGGTCACAAAACCATTATAAATCATGCGGAATTACTTATCACGTGTAAGTTTATGGTTTTTGTATTGATAATATCGTAAATAAGGCTATAATTGAAATAAAACATTGATAATTGTAATTTAGATTCAGTGTTACCATTAAAAAATCATTTTTGTTTTCCACATTAGTGGGAGAATTTATAATTTATGAAATAATATGCTTTATACTGTTTTTAAACATTTTGTCAATAATAATTAAATATAGGAAGAACGGTAGTTGTTAGGGCTGGATCGATCAACTTTTTTAGGGACCCGTTGAACGTTCACCTTCTGCCAAGCTCGCAGTGCTGGAGACTTTTGTATAAAAGAATTAATTCATTCATTCATTCATTTTTCTCAATTAATTATCAAATATAAATAATAATTGTACAAAAAAAAAATATATATAAAATAAAAAAGTAAATAAATATAAATAAAAAAAATATAAAAAACAAAAAATATATATATATTTGTTATATTTTTTTTTATTTGTATTTTAAAATATTAAAAGAATTTGCAATACACCCTGGGGATTATTTATTATCAGTACAAGTTGATCATTCACTTTTACTATTAAATGCCATAATTTATACATAGGTAAAAACAAGATTGTATCATGAAAGTAAAATATTCACACAAACTTATAAAAAAGAGTCCAAAAGACAATTGTATACAAAACTGATGCTTCATAGCGGAGTTTGATTTTACACTGAATATAAACCCTTTTAACCAAATATTTCTAGTAATTTTATTATTTATACCTATTCCATTCAATTCGAAATGTATTATTTAAAATATTTAAATTATTTTTTTTATTACCAAATTGTTTAAAAAAAAATTGTTTCTTGGTTGTTATGGGTAAAATTTCATAGGGTAGTCAACACTGGCCCACCATCGTAACGTTATGTCTTTGTCTAATCCGAGCGATGGTATTGTTCTTGTCTCGCGTGTAAATGAGACATAAATATGTTTACTTTCAAATGTTTAGTGGTATCAAAGCTACGTCGTCAAAGTTCAAAAGTGGTTACACTTTTTTCGACGTGTGATAATGAGGTTTGCTTCTCTAGTGTTGTTTTAACTCAATGGATCTACTTATTAAAACTGTAGCCTTAGATTTTGGCAGTTAGCATTCATAGTCATGAACATAAAACCAAGAAGCGATTATAATAGTGTGTAGTTTTTCTTTGTATGGATTCGAAAAAAGAGTATCATCATCTAAATCTAAAAAGTACGTAGTATTTATTTGTATAAAAAACACTGTCTATCTCGGCCAAACTTAAAAGTTAATCCGTTAATCGAAATTTAAAATTTGCCAATTAACGGTCTTGTGCATATCGAATTTCGAATGACAGTCTTCGAGGACGTAATCCAGGATGGTAACATTCATCCTACGCTTGCAAATCATTGCGTTACAACTGACAGACTGGATGATTTTCTTAATGTTCCCAGAAGGCACATCTAATTCAGGGTCCGACTCTATGTTAGGATGTATGGAACTTCTATATATTTGAGGTATTGCAAAGATGCCCAAGGGGCCAAGGGACTTTGATATTTGAAGAATTAGCAGCGACCTTTGGTATTACTCTCTTAATACTGCCTCGTTTCAATGCCGATTTTGAGTTGAGAGACTATAGGTATAAACAGAGGAATAGAATGAAGTTAGATCTTTTATCTGCTATGTTAGGTATACGCTGTTGCTTGAAATTGGAAGGAGAGCGCTGCAACAAATATGAAATTCCAATATACGTTGTAAAACAAATCGGTACCAAAGAATCGTATTATCCGGAACCAATGATGATGGTGCTGACAAAAATTATTAGTATCAGAATTAAATTTTGATAATATTAAGGAAACTAGTTATTAATTTACTTATGATTTTCTTTTTTAATTACAAGAAAAAAGTGTAAGATTTAGTGCCTAGTAGAGTAGCGTCGTTTTTCGATACTGGTTTTCGAGGTTTTAGATGTTGAATCATCAATGAATGGAGAGTTCATTAAACTGCAGTGTGACCGTTTACGGTAGATTTTCTACTGCAGCAGTAGATTTCCAATGAAAATTTGACCATGCAGTAGTATCCAAACATCTAGTAGATTTCAGTAGATTTGACGCAATAATGGTCCTGGCTGAAAGGACTTATGTCCAAGCCTATAAATAATGTTGGCAGCAATGGCAGCGCGCGCGCGTTAGTATTGCTTGTAGCAGGGGCTTCCCCCGACTGTATACTTTTAAGCCCGACTTACACGGAATTTTGCATTCTTATGTATATTTTAATAATTATTTTAATTACCATTCAGAGTATCGTTTAAACTAGTTTAAAGGGTAATGTCCCTTTATATTGCCTTATGACAATATGTCATTCTCATACATAATTCGTTCAGATCTAGTGGCAATCGGATGCAACACGTACTTATGATTAGAATGAAACGTAAATTTGAACAAAACTATCGCGCTGATTGGGAACAAAACCCATTATTTGCTTCGTGGCTTTGTAAAGATATAAACAGTAATAATCATGCTTTCTGTAAAGCTTGCGGTATTAAAATTTTAAGCAGATTAGCGTCTATTAAAGAACACAGTGGTAGTAGCTAACATGAAAACAATATGAAACATTACTGTGGGCGTTCAAGGGTATGTATATTTGTTTATATTATCGGAAAGTTGATAACTATTCTATTATATTATTAATTTAACATTTTAATTTATATTAATCAAGCATTTAAATTTTATTTTTATTTTATATTATTCAAACATTTTAATTCGGTAAAACAATAATAACAAACAAAAACTTCCAAGTTTTAAAACTAGTTTATTCAAGTTTGCATTCATGTTTCTAGAAAACTTCCTATGAGGTATACTATGCTAGGCCAAGATGGTTTTGTTTTGTAAACACAAAGTTTTATAACCATCTTGACGATCTCCGTGGCAGAGTGGTTTGTAAGCCCTGGTTTCAAGGCGTCGCCATATCTAGAGGTACTGGGTTCAATTTCCGGTGGGGGCAAATGTTTGTGTGATGAATACAGGCATTTGTTAGAACAAATCTTCTTTGAAAGGTCTTTAATGTTTATATAGGTATTGAGTATAATATGAATACTAGCTGACCCGCGCAACTTCGTCTGCGTCTCTCAATAGTAATATTTTTTCCGTTTTTGAAACATTCTTCATTGGTGCTCCGCTCCTATTGGTCTTAGCGTGATAATATATAGCCTATAGCCTTCCTCGATAAATGGGCTATCTAACACTGAAAGAATTTTTCAAATCGGACCAGTAGTTTCTGAAATTAGCGCGTTCAAACAAACAAACAAACAAACTCTTCAGCTTTATAATATTAGTATAGATTTGTATAAATATATATCTGTTATGTATATTTATCCGTCATCTAGTATCCACAACATAAGCGGCATAAGCTGCTTACTTTGGGCTAGTTGACAGGTGTCATTGTCAGAAGATATTTGTTTGTTTAAAATATAGTTATTTTTATTGTAAGTATTCTAGGTATCTAGATGTTATATTTATTGTGAATTTAATTTTATTCCAGATCACAACTTATTTTAAGAAGGGCCTTTTATCAGATGAAAAATCTTAAGCCGAGCTCATGATTTGCGCTGCACTAGTTGAACACAACATACCTTTCAGATTCATGGACCACTTGAATGACGTCTTAAAACGAGCATTTCACGACTCAGAGATAGCAAAGACATTCACATGCAAGCGAACAAAAGCAGCTCATCTTATATATGACGCTATAGCACCAACATTCGAAAAAAACTATTCGAAGATGTTGTTTCATGTAAGTCGCCTTCAGGGAAAAACATATTTTCTATAATAATTGATGGGACTACAGATGTTAGCACTGACAAAATTCTAGCTGTAGCAGTTATGTATTACTCCACACAACATAAATGTGCTGTGACAAAATTTTTATTTTCTATTACTTTAGAAGGAGAATCTTCACAAGATATCTTTGATGCGTTATCGAATGGCTTAGAAAAAAATAATTTAAATGTAGCAGACGTACTTGGTTTTGCCGCGGATACAACTAATGTAATTTTTGGTACTAACAGGAGTGTGGTGTCAAAAATACAGTCTATTAATCCTCATTGCATTTTTGTAGTGTGTATGTCACTCTGTTGCGCTATCTGTAAGCTATGCATGTAAAGAACTGCCTCGAAATATTGACCAGATTGTTAAAGATGTTCACAACTATTTTAGTCACAGCAGTAAGCGACAACGAGAATTTTCCGAATTTCAAAATTTTGTTGACACCGAAAATCACATGGCTTTCTTTACATGCCTGTGTAAATATAATAATTGAACAATGGGACGCTTTGAAATTGTATTTTAATAATCAATATTTATTAGATCGCAATCTTAATGCAGAATTTTTAAAAGTTAATTTTGATGATAATGTATCAAAATTATACTTTTTGTTTTTGGATTATGTGTTACCAATTGTTAATAAATTTAACACAATTTTCCAATCGGCATATAGTACCGTCCATCGATTACATAGGGATATGAGTGATATGTATAAGGCCTTACTGAGTTGTTATATGAAAAATGGATACATAACAGCGACTTCTATAGAAAATATTGATCCTAGCAGTGAAATAAATTTGCTTGATATTAATCAAATGTATTTGGGTGTTAAAGTAGCAAAATTAATTTTAAATATGGGTAGGGATCATACACAAAGAATTCAGGAGTTTTTGAGAAGGTCGCGGTTATTTCTAATTGAGCTATGCATGCAATTGAAAAAGAGACTGCCAATAGAACATCATTTGTTTAGGGAGTTAATATTTTTAGACCCCCAAATAGCAGCGTATGAGCAGTTTTCTAGTGTCGTATCACTGACTCAACGGTTTCCTAATTTAGTGTGTGACGAAATTACACAACAATTAATTGACGAAGAGTATCGTCAGTTAAAATATGACAATAACGTACAAAATTTACTGGCGTCGTCCAGTAACTCTGCAGTGTCACAGGATACTGATAAGTTTTGGGCGAGCGTTCATAAATTAACAGATAGTAAAAATAAATTGAAATATGATAAAATCTGTAAATTCGCAAAAGCGATGATGTGTTTGCCCGTATCGAACGCTTCTTGTGAGCGTATATTTTCGCAAGTTAATTTAATTAAACTAAACATCGTAGTTGGTTTTTAAATACACACATATCATCGCTTTTGCACACAAAACAAGGGATAATTGATAGTGGAGAAAATTGTACAAACTTTGTACCTGATTCTAATATGATTAGATTAAGCAAAAATTGTAATGAAAATAAATATTCTCAATCTAATTAAAATAATAAATTATGTTTTATTTCCACCACAATGTTCAAATGCATCAAAATGTAGGTAGAATTTCGGTAGATTTTTTTTTACTTCAGTAGATTTTTGTAGAAAAAGTTGCCGAATTTATTAGATTAGTAATATTTCATAACGGTCACACTGCAACACTGGTTGCAGAGTTGCAATAGTGATGCGCAAAATGTATCATTGAGCTGAAAAGATTAATATATATCATTTCGCTCAAAAGATATAAATGACTCATCTAGCTCACTAACTCGTTTAGCTCACTAGCTCATTTAGCTCACTAACTCGTTTAGCTCACTAGCTCATTGATCCGATTCAATTGATTGGTCTCACAATTAATTCATTTCTTCATCTAGATTTTGTCTCAGTATACTCGTATATCACTCACTTTAAGCCTCTCTCGCCATACAAACCTTTCTTTATTTTCATATTAACCTAAATTCAGTTTTTGAAACTACATTTTTAACCTATTTTTGTTAAATACAATTTTATTCATTTTGATAAGATTACATAACTATTAACATCCTTTTACATAATAACTACAAATAAGAAATTATTTCATGTGCTTTTTTTAGGTTGTATAATAGAAATCATACATAATTTGATTTTCCTTGTACTTGGCTTAATTCTTAAGTAATATTAAACTTTGATCCTATAGAAATAATGTACATTTTGCATAAAGAAACCTGCGTGAACTCAACCATAATTTATCTCACTCATTTATCTTTAGTCTCACTCGCTCATGAAACAAAGATGGGCGTCGTTGAGCTAGTGATCTAGTGAGCTAGTAGTGAGTTACTGATATATTCGGAGCTAGTGTGAGTGAGTGATACATTTTATCGTCGTGAATGATATATATCTTTTATATCACACTCAGGAGCTATACAACTCTAGTTGCAAGTTTAACCAAGGCAAAGCATGACATTTGACGACATTTTTATGGTTATGCTTGTTATTGTACTTAATTAAAAACTAATAATTTTATAATAGTTTTTAAATTACTTTCTAAATAACACAGGATCACAATGGCACTTTCGTTTCATATTCGTTCAATGCTTAAAAGGGCCATTTTATACGATTTTAAATCAAGTGTTCGCTTTTACTCAGACCAAACAGAAGAATCTACTGAAGAGAAAACACCTATCGATCCTTCTAAGGACAGAACCAAAGTTATTCCTGTCGAAACAAGCATTAAATATTTGCAAAGTAAAGCCTATCAACACACTTATGGTGACAAAGCGGTTTGGTATTTGTATCGACGTAACCACAAAGGGGCCTTTGCTCCACGAAAGACAAGAAAGTCTTGTGTCCGAAATGGTGTTATATCCACAGGAAATCCGTGCCCAATTTGTCGCGATGAATATCTTGTTTTGGATCATAGGAATACACAACTGCTAGAGCAGTTTATATCTGAGTATACTGGACAGGTTTGTTTCTATATTTGTCTCTTTACATTAGTCTATTAGATTAAAAGAATTTAAAAGGGCTGTTGGTCCAGTGAGTTAGTGGTTAGTGATTCTGACTGTTAACCCAGAGATGGTGGGATCAATTCCCACATAGAACAAATAACTGTGATGAGCATGGGCATTTGTCATGTCTCTGGGTGTAATTTAGGCTAGTTTTGGATCAGGTGGCCGTGTGTGAGATGTGTGTGGTTTATGGTAATGTTTATATACTCTGTTGATTTACCAATTTAATGTAGAATAAAGGTTGTGTTTTAAGTAGTGATGTGCCGGATCGTTAACAAAGTATATCCGCGGATACGGATCCGAATACGGATATTTGGTGTCAAGATCCGCGGATACGGATACGGATCTTAAGTTTCTTACTCAATTGGAGCCTGTGTCCTTGATAGTTGTCGCCACTTGACGCTTTGCCGTTGATATTTAAATATTTCATTATATGAATAAGCTAATACAAAGATGTTTGATTGATCTCATTATAAAGATAGCTCTTTCAGTACCTACGACCTGCCTAGTTGATTTAGTATAGTACGATAAATGATTGCAATACAAAGGTGCCAAATATTTGTTTTAAGAAATAAAAAGTAATCTGAACAGAATTCAATAGTTTTTTATAGCTACCTAATAACCATTATTCAGGGTTATTTTAAATTTACTGAAAACCTCTGAAGTGCATATTAGTAACATTATAAGCAACAACTTTTCTTCTGGACTAACACCAAAAACGAAAGAAAAAAAATTGTTTCTCCACACAAACTTAACAACATTTGATTGGTCATTTGAATGGAGGACCAATTTTTTTTCATTTTGACGTTGGCCAGAAAAAAAGTTGCTGTTTATAGTGTTACAAACACATACCTAAGAGTTTTACAGTGAATACAAAATCACCTTAATAAAATTTCATCTATGTAATATGTATTGAAAGATCCGCCAAAAAAGTCACGGATACGGATACGGTTACGGATCTCTCTTCTCCCTTGGATATCTGCGGATACGGATATCCGGCACATCACTAGTTTTAAGAGTTGATGAAAAAATAGCTACTTGATATTTAAATAGTTGACATCACAGAGCAAACACAAAGAGGTGTTGGTATTAAGCTCCGTACCAGTGAGTTATTTAAGATTAATTTTCTGTACCATCTTGATTCTTACATCTATTGCAAAACTCCTAGTCATATTATAATGGTACTAACCTCCCTAATATTATAAAAGCAAAAGTTTATATGTTTCGTTCTTGCTGACTTATCCCACTCTATGTACTGTGTATGTGTTATTTTTCACGCTGAAACGGTTGGACAGATTTGAATAAAATGTGGTATACAGATAGATAATACCCTGGACTTATAGGCGCTGGGTATTGCTAGTGTGAGAATAAAAACGTTTTGTTCAACAAAATTTGTTCTTATATTTATTCTTATTTTATCTGTATTTATGTGTACGACTTATATTTTTGTACTATTGTCACCCCACTGTGGAGAAAAAGAGTGTTATGATTTTCACCCATAACCTACCCCCCACCCCGCAAATTGTCATGCGTTGTTTAATAGAAAAGTCTAATTACGACACCTCTTCGTATTTGCTCCATGGGTATAACTTATAAATGACCATTTCTTAGGTTAACTTTTACGAAATGCTAAACATACTAAATTTTATTAATTGTTTTTTTTTGCAATAAGGATGTAACTTATAATTTAAAAATTTCATAAAAATCAACCCAAGTACAGTTTCTTCCATTTACATATTAGAAGTACTTTATTGGAAAATCATTGGATTCCAATTTTGGCCCTGTCTTTATGTATGTTTTATGTCTGTTCAGTTTATGTATGTTTTTCTAGTTGACAATAGATGACAGTCTGTACATAAAATGATTACTAAAGCTAAGCTAAGCTTTACATACCTTTGTATTTTTGGTTTAAATTACACAAAGTTTAGTCATCTAGTGATGAATAGAAGTGACTATACTTCAAAAAACACTAAGAGATCTTTCCAGAACTATTTTAATAAATTAAGTATAAATTTTCTTACATATAAAATACGATGCCATCCATAGTAACAAAACATCTATCCAAATTATTTTAACCCGAAAAAATACAAAATTTCATCCTTTTCTTTTTAATACCACCATAATACACCGATTTGCGATTTTGCACACAAGCGCGCAGTATGGACGGTGAGTGTACTAATTTCAAGCCACGCCCACTGTGATGACGTCAGGACCTACTTAGAATCACAGTGCACAGTTCCTTATCCCACTCTCCTCTTTGTAATTGCTTCATGGTTTACATGCATGACATCAACGACACACTGCCACCCAGAATTTATAGCATATATATAGATATTTAGAGGTTGTACAGCTGAGCTGTACAACCTCTAAATATCTATGCTCTAGACATTAAAATGTAGGTGGTTGTTCAAATAAAGTAATGTGCATGCTAAATTAAACTTCGAATATATTTAGCATACAGCTCTGTGCTATAAATTCTGGGTGGCAGTGTGTCGTTGATGTCAAGCATGCAAGTTATAATGGTACTGGACCAATTATGTTTTTATATCTATATATAATAACATAATTGGTCCAGTACCATTGTAACTTATTTACTACACTAATTCCTTATAAGCTGAAGCCTTCTTTTCCATTAAACTATATATATGTATAATTTTTGGATGTCTCTTTGTCCTAATTAATAATTGTTTTCTTGTAATTAAGTTGTAACTACAAATACTGTAATATAGATGTAATGAAATATGAAATTTATTATGGGTTTACATTATTGATTGTAATTTTTTTCAGATATTGGATGCCTTTAAGACTGGGTTATGCCAGAAGAAGCACAAAGAGTTACTTGTAGCTATTGAAAGGGCCTGGGATCAGGGCTACTTGACATATGATGTGCCATTGAGAAAGTATGACTATTCACTTTATAATAAAACCACGAATTCTGTATAAAAACTTCATAGTTTATTTGTGTTTTAATTAATAGAAAAAAAAACATAGATTAATAAAGTATCTTCTGTTGTTTGATTGCACATGTTTTTCATTACTCCTGATATTTATTGCACTCTTTTAGAATATCATTATTTCATAAATGTGTAAATTATAAATAAAAAAGCAATTAGGTTTAATCAATTACCAGTTGTATTGCATGTCAACTACAAAAAATCTCTCTTCAATTAATTGCTAAAGGTTTAATATGTTTATGTTATGTGGACTATGTTGCTGCTACTTTGAACTTACTTTTTTTTTCAACAACAATGCATAAATATTAAAATTATTAGAATTTTTAATTATTACCTGAGAAATGTATGTGTGCGTTACCCCAGCAAAATAATGTCGAAAATGGTCATTTAAACGTTATAGATAATTAGTTGCTCCCCTTCTGTAATTGTTAGGCACATTTTTAAATTTGTTTCTCTTAAACTTTTTTAGTTATTTCAAAAAAACATTTCCTGCTGGGGTAACGTTTGAAACGTTACCGCAGCCAGACATTTTCTTTTTTAATTGTAATATTGAAATAAATTTTAGCTAGATAATTAGTTATCTGGACTAGGTAAATGTTACAACTTATTTGGTATTTGTATTTTCTTCGGCTGCGAAGTTATTCGAAATCCTGCTGGAGTAACGTTTGTGGGTTTGCTGGATCTCTGAAACGGGTAAGCGGATTGTAACCATCTTTTGTACATAACTTCTTAAGGATTAGTTTAAATTTGTTCGACAATAAAATAACAAAAATAATGGACCGTTTAAAAATTATTTAGGTAAGTATGAAAACACTTCAATACGTCCTAACACTTTAAATAAGACCTCTAAAGACTTACTTCAAACGTTATTCTATTGCTTGTAACTACCTTCAAATGTATACGAATTTTCGTAAGAATACTATAAGTGACTAAAAAGTTATGATGAAATGTAGCTCTCCACGTTCACGATCACAATGTGTGCGGCCTTTTTTGGCCACCGATAAACCTGTGTGTGGATATATAAACTGAATGTTATGCCAACAATTAGTTGTTTAGTTCAGTTGTCTACCTGTAAAATTTCGGCATCGTACATATAATAATTTACGAGATAATTAAATAAAAGTCATTAGAAGGTGCAAGTCCGTGGTAACCCGACCATGTTTAGGTGGTTACAAAAAAGCGATCACCCAGTACATTGCGCTGTCTTTTAAAATGTTTAGTGTAATACACCTTACGATTTCGGTACAGTTGCGTACAGTGTTAAATACATTCAATATTTATTCATTATTATTACCTATTATTTATTTTGTTCTTTTTTCCTAATTGATCTTAAGCACTAGTTTCTTTACTTAAAATTTCTTTAGTCTGTTTAACTACCGGAGCTACAATCAACAGAAAATCTGCACTGGCCCGCTAAAATTATAAATATGTAGATACATGTATGAACGATTCACCTGACTGCAATAAATCGAAAATTTAAACCATTAAGAAATCGTTTCATTTCTTTAATTTTTATTGTAAAGAAATAACACTGAAGTAATTGTATTTTATTTTGAGGTATATAGAGCTTAGACTTAAATGCATCAAAATATTTAAAGAAACAACTCATCTACAATTAGTTAAAATAGACCATAATAGTAGAAGAATACAGTTGTAAATTTGAATGCATCAACATTGCATCGCCCAACAGTCGTATACCTCGTAAGAGTAGGTAATATTGTTCTGTGGTCTATACCGAGAACCGAGAATTATCTATACCTATGTACCTACCTGTGACTGTTGATTTCTGTTAAAAACGAACAGTTGTTGAATGATATTTTGATATAATAACGGTAATTTAATTGATCGAGTGAAAGTGATACATTTTTATAGATAAAATTATTGGTCAGATAATATTTGTCAATCAAGAATCGCCGATAATGCATCCTTAGCTAGAACGCGGGAGGGGAGGGGCGAAGGGATACTTCATTGTTTGCAATTTGCATCTAGTGCACTAAACTTGACCCTTAGGCAGATAATATACGTCTTGTAAAGTGCGTGTGCGCTTCCGCTTTCTATTTTTGAAATATTTATCGTATTCTTGGGAATTCTTCAATATGTGTGTACCTAATTACTAGTAATGGGAATTAATGCTTATTAGATTCAATTTAAGTAATTGCGAATTCTTGTCTTAGGATGTTAATTACTAATGCTAATATTGAAATTTCGTTCGGGGTGAACAAATTTAAAACGATCATAACTTGTAGGTATATCACTATTACTAATTTTACATAAATAATTTATTTTATTATAATTTAACTCACCGCGATTTTGTGATCAAATATTTTATTTTCTCCAACATTATTACAGAAATAATGCACTGCAGAGTTTGTTCGCGATATGCTAGCTTAAGTCGATTCATCACTTTAAAAAAATCCCAATCTATTTACAAAATACCTATTTACAACGCATACGTTACACTCTTCAAAACTTAAATTACCTATACCTACCCTAAAATTAAACTTCAATTAACAAATACTACACAGGTACCAATTCTATGAACAACTATAAACAATTCACCTAAACATTACGAGAAAACAAAAGCATTCAAAACAATACCTAATCTCCCGGCTGATTATACTACTAATTATGCAATAAACAATCCTAAATAAAAATTATTTAAAAACATGTAGTTTTCTGTAACACTTATGTACATATCCGTAGTAAACTTGCAAATAATATCCTACATATTTTAAAAGCTAGCACAATGTACTGGGTGATCGCTTTTATATAACCACCTAAACATGGTCGGGTTACCACGGTCTTGCACCTTCTAATGACTTTTATTTAATTATCTCGTAAATTATTATATGTACGACGCTGAAATTTTACAGGTAGACAACTGAACTAAACAACTAATTGTTGGCATAACATTCAGTTTATATATCCCCACACAGGTTTATCGGTGGCCAAAAAAGGCCGCACACATTGTGATCGTGAACGTGGAGAACTACATTTCATCATAACTTTTTAGTCACTTACAGTATTCTTACGAAAATTCGTATACATTTGAAGGTAGTTACAAGCAATAGAATAACGTTTGAAGTAAGTCTTTAGAGGTCTTATTCAAAGTGTTAGGACGTATTGAAGTGTTTTCATACTTACCTAAATAATTTTTAAACGGTCCATTATTTTTGTTATTTTATTGTCGAACAAATTAAAACTAATCCTTAAGAAGTTATGTACAAAAGATGGTTACAATCCGCTTACCCGTTTCAGAGATCCAGCAAACCCACAAACGTTACTCCAGCAGGATTTCGAATAACTTCGCAGCCGAAGAAAATACAAATACCAAATAAGTTGTAACATTTACCTAGTCCAGATAACTAATTATCTAGCTAAAATTTATTTCAATATTACAATTAAAAAAGAAAATGTCTGGCTGCGGTAACGTTTCAAACGTTACCCCAGCAGGAAATGTTTTTTTGAAATAACTAAAAAAGTTTAAGAGAAACAAATTTAAAAATGTGCCTAACAATTACAGAAGGGGAGCAACTAATTATCTATAACGTTTAAATGACCATTTTCGACATTATTTTGCTGGGGTAACGCACACGAAATGTATACATTATAATATAATCATCATCAGCCCTTAATAGTCCACTGCTGAACATAGGCCTCTCCTTGGAAAGAAGGTTTTGGCCTACTATATATAATATATAATACTATACAATAAATAATATGTTCATAATATGAAAAGTATAACTACGATGGCAAACAAGTACATAGCACTCTGATCGTTTGTAAAGATCTGAGGGCTACACTTTGACAATTGGAAGATACAAAGTTATTTGACTTAAAGTTCACTATTTTCTGGAAGTTAACAAATCGGTGACCTTTCCAGCTTTAAGTGCAATTTCTGATTATTTAACAGCAATCAAATTTCATGTAAAATTATCAATTAGTTTTGTTCTATTTCTTTGAACTAGAAGTTCTCGTATTAATGCTGACTTTTCTCGCTCCAAAACGGTTATCCTTTCGTTTTTTCTGTTGACTTCCTGAAACAATTTAAAAAAAAAATTAAATTGTGTGTATTTGTGATCATATGTTGCTGTTTAAGTATGATGATCTGTGTTCTGGAAGTGCTACTGCTGTCCCTTACGAAACAATGCACAATTTACACTTAATTATGAATGTTAAGAAGTTCCACTCTAATATTAAATATTTTATAGAGTAGATTCCTTCACATTTATTTACTGACAGATTTGCCAGTTACATAAGAATTTGGCTACAAAAATCACAAGGTTTTTTATTTATTTAACATTTATTTTATTTATTTTAAAAACCTTTTTTTAAACTTAACTTTTGCGGAGAAATGGTTGGCAACACTATTCAATTATAAATAGAATACACTTGTATCGCAGTACATAAGTATTTGCAAATCTTTCTCTTAACTTCATCGTTAGCGTATATTATATAATTATTTTACAGCTGTTTCCTAAATGCTTACATAGCGGTAACTAGCTACTTATACCCACACCTATACCCTAAGTAGTGCCAACGACGATGGAGAATAAAGACGAGTGCGATAATCGAATGAATTGAGCAAGACACCACCTATCGCACACTCATATGATTACTTAACGCCATAGAAAATTAAAAACCCCTCTGTTTAAATCAACTCAAAGAGATACAATAATATCAAACCGCTAAGTCTTTCTATTTTCAATATTAGAAAAGATTTGTGTTTCTCAACTGATATTTTGCTTGAAAATCCGAACCTTGGCGACATTAAATGCATGGTTACAACAACGATTAAAGCGTTGGCAAACACTTAAGATTTGCCAAAAATGTATGTTGTAGTTTATAGTACCGTATAGTAGTATACCCATGTACTTTTCACTATGGATTTATTAGTTAAATATTTCTCTTATAAAAACATCAGCAGTCTCGAATTAGTAGGTATATTCACAATAACTATGCGGTATATATTTATAAAATTTCTAGTAAAAACATTTTATGAATTCTATGCCTTTTTTAGTAGGTTTTAAGTACATTTTGACATGAATTTGATGTACCGACGTACCTATGTAGACGTAAAGAATCCACCTAATTTAAGTTCATTGTTATAAATGTATGCAAGCCCTATTGTACAATTTGATTAAGTTCGAATGATTGCTACTTGAATACCTCACCTCCGCAAGTATTCGGTTCTGCGATTTAAGGACAGTGGCGTTGTTTGGCGTCGCTGTGGTACCAGATCCCGACAGTGATGCTGCTGGTAGTGCTAAATTCATATGAAGCGAAAGTTGTCCATGGCGCCAGCCGGCAGCCAAAGCTCCCAATTGTCGGTTCAGTTCTAACACCCGGGCTTTAAGCAGCTCCAATCGCTCCTGATGCGCTTCACTCCAGGGTTCCTATGATGTCAATAGTCAATCAAACAATTACGTAAAAAATAATTACTTGTTTATATTATCCGTATCTCTATACTTATATTATAAATGTAAAAGTGAGGTTGTTTGTTCCACTTTCACGCATATACCACTTAACCGATTTTAAAAATTCTTTCACCTAGCGAAAGCTACATTATCAGCGAGTAACTTAAGTTTCTTTTTACCGCTTTGACCGACTTACACGCAGGCAAAGCTTATAAATGTGAAAGTGAGTTTGTCTGTTACGGTTTCACGCCTAAACCACTAAACCGATTTCATAAATTCTTTAGCTAAATAAGTCAGCGTATCTTTTGTTCGTTGACATTCGATATAAGTCGGATGGCTCCAATTCAAGCCGAAATCTGTTGAACCTTATCTCGCCTCTTTTTTGTAAAATTAGATGTGTAAGTAGATCAGCGAAATATCTGTAAGTATAACAACATCTTTTTTTAAATATATTTATATTTTAATACCAATTCCTAGCAGAGAAGAAATAAACTTTTGACTGGGTTTAATAATCGATAGTTTTTTATTTAAAGCAGAAAATATTTCTACGTTCCTAAATATATAACGTAAGTGTCGTAAACATAAGTACATCTAGTAAATGTTCTTATGACCATAACGAATAAAATAAGCATGAAAGGCAATCAACCAAATGTGTCGCTGTGTATTCCGCATCTGTGTATGCCACATATTCGGCTATCCAGCTTGAAGATAAACCGAATACTTGCATCTGGAAAACAGTTACCTAAGTATATCTAAGTTTCTTCTATAAATATGGATGTAAGTTTTATTAACATGACTCCCTCGCCTCGCATATTTCATTGTGTGAAAAGAAATATTTATTTCAATTTTTGTCTATTTCCTTTATATATTCTTGAAATGGTCTAAGATCATGTAGATCAAGAGTAATAAAACTCTACTACATGGCGAACTGAAAAAGACAAACACATGTTTTCTTTCTTATTTATTAAATAGTTTTGGTTTTTCAGCTCTAATCTATATATATAAAAGAAAGTCGTGTTAGTTACACTATTTATAACTCAAGAACGGCTTTACCGATATGGCTGAAAATTGGTGAGGAGGTAGCTTAGAGCCAGGAGACGGACATAGGATACTATTTATGCCGTTTTTTTTTTTTTTTTGTATCGGCGTCGATCACCAGATGACAACGGTGGAACTGTCACAACAAAAGTGAAAAGAATGGATTTCGTTGTCGACAACAGTTGGATTGTTCCATATTCGCCACTTATTTCTAAAACGTTAAAGACACATTGCAACGTTGAGTATTGGTCGGAAGACCATCTGCGTTGTTTGTTTTTGCGCCTGATAAGAAAACAAAAAATGTCGTGTATCACAAGGTACTTAAGTGAAGAGCAACCTATGTAGTGAAATGCAGAAACAATAATAAATGATTAATGTACTTCATTTTTTTTTCTAAGAAATAAATTAACTTACTAAATTCGAAAATCGGCTTATTTATTGCCTTTAAGGCGGAACAGAGTTCGCCGGGTCAGCTAGTATGAAATAGATTTGAAGATAAAAGTCCATTAGTGTATATATATCCATATCAATTCCTAAAATTTCAAGGACACTGCTCCTTTATGAAGAATTAATAATATATCTTTACCTGTGAAGTTGGAGATTCTCAAACCAGCATTTTCAGAATTAATTATCAATGGATTGCCGGCAATTTCAAATTCAAATAAATTTTATTCAAAAGCCATGTTATTTTAATTTCAAATTCAGTCATTCAGATGGCAGATGTCTATTGCCAAGAATTGCAAATAATGCTGGAGAAGCTCGCAATTCAACAACCACTACTGGTCAATCGCTCTTCCACACCACACCGCTTCCCCACGACAACGCGCAAGCTTCACGACAGACCATCGGGTATCGCAAAGTTGTCTAAATTTTGAAAAAGTAGAAATCTGTTGGAGCAAGGTCCGGTGAGTACGGTGGGTACCTAACGGATAACTACCAGGTAACTCTTATAACTTTTCTTGTTTCGTGTTGTTTGCGCAGCGGTGTGTCCACGTAAGAACTCATATTCGAAAATTGTACGAATTTTCAGTTTATCCATGGCCGAAACAACTACTTCACACTTTCACTTTCACTTTCACAAAAAAACACTATTTAAAACAAATGACTGAATTTTAAATCCAAATAACATGGTTTTCGAATAAGATTTACTTAAATTTGGAGTAGTCCGCCAATCCACAGATACTTAAATCTGAAAATGCTGGTTTTATTAACCATTATTATTACCTCAGAAACCTCACACACAGCCGTCTGATCCCAAACTAGGTGGAACCTGTGCTATGGTAACCAAACTGGTGATAAACATACTTAGGTAAATATTTTTAAATACATAGATTATAGATTAGTTACTTCAGAACAAATCATCGTGCTCATCACACAATTATTTGTCTGAGTGGAAATCGAACCCACGACCTCTGGCTTAGCTAGTAGTCAGGATCACAGACCACTAGGCTAACCGTCCCGTCAATTCTTCTACTATATTGAAATAAAACTATTAATAAATAAAACATAATCAGTTATACATGAAAACGGCGTAAGGGCTCTATGGACTCCCGGTCGAAACGAAGTTCCTTTCGCTTTTTGGTAGACATTTGCTATACACGGCTTTAACTATAGCAAGAAGTGTCGGAAAAAAGTCTTGTTACACATTTTTTTCGGTCTCGCACCCATCCGAAAAAGGCTATGAGCTGCGTGAGAGTTCATGTGTGAATTGAAAACAATTGAGTCATAATTTGTATTATGACCGTTTTTGTCTAGATAAAATGACGTCATACTCGAATGATCGAGAGTTCGAGACGGCCACCGTTATTTGTTAAAATATTTAAAACAGACCAAATATTTTATTCAATTTCTTTTTCACTGATTTATTCGTTTTGATTCACCTATATTTGAAATGCATTACTTGAAAAATGATGTATGAACGTCATGAAATCGTAAACTTCTGTTTTGAAATCTTAAATTGATAGGGAAGAAAATAAACTTTCTGATATATTTGTAAGACATAACTAGCTAGCTAATGTCAGCCTGTCTCTTCAATTAATGGAGCTGTAATCCCTAATATGTATGTAAATCTGTTAGTTATAGTATACGTTACTATTATAGGACCTATTGTAGTCATATTTTTTCATTCAATACATTATGTATGTATGTCTTGTTATATCAACTTTATACGAGATGTATTTTATGGTGGGTTTTGTTTACATTATGGAGCACCACTATACTTTGGCACTATAACAGTATTACAGCGTTCGAGGATGAAAGATACTTTACACTCACAAAGTACGGCATTTACTCACTTTAAAATAAGAGAGGGAATCTCTATCGGTAACGAATGTGATGGTAAAAAGTTACACAGTATAATAGGGTAATTAATTACGAACTCCCGCGTAATTTCAAACACTTCGTTAGAACATAAACAGATAGTAAAACGTACAGGGTACTGAAATTGTTCCTACGATTAAAGGTTATAACAGGCTTAATAAAATAAACGTGCATCTCTTTCCTAATCATATGTCTGTCCCTGAATAAAATATGTTTTAGTAAAGTTTATTTACCACATATGCACCCATTCTTCCTGCATACCGCATTTTTTCTTGAACTTCTGCAAGTTGTTTCAGGTACCATTCTCTAGCTTCTTCAACAGCCGATAAACCTTGCAGTAAGACATCTTTCTCTTGTTCAATCTGCTTCATACGCTTTAGAAGATTATAGTCTACACCGTTATGTAAGGTGTGGCGACGAGGTTCCCGCCGACGGGAAGTTCGACGCAAAGTTTGCGATTGGTTCTCGTTAGCTGATCTCCCATCACCGAGACCTCTGCTTTGTTCTTCCATGGCCCGAGAAATTTCCTCAAAATCTATCTTATCGTCAGAAATTTCTTCATTATCAAAAACAATTTCTTCTTCTGATTTATAGCTAGATTTCAAATTTTCATTCCTTTCTGTGGCTTGTTTTTCCAATCGCGGTGGCTTTGGAGGACCAAATACTCTACGAGCTTCGTGTTTAGGTATGGATGGTGCTCCTAAAAGTCGGGGTTCCGGTATCGAGCCCTCTTTGCGCCCAATTAACTGTGGCATACTAATAGTACGATGTTGAGAAGAGGTTTCTGTACTTTTTAAAACCATCCAGTTTCTACCCATAGCTTGTGCTTCGTTCGCATCCAATAATGGGGCAGAGGGTGGCCGATGAGTTTGAGCACCTATATGGGTATGGATTCCTGTAGTATCAACATCATTATTGAACCTATCTTCTTTACTAGTTGAAGTTTGGACTTGATTCCGTAAAAGGCATATTTTTAATCCAGTGCAAAACCTTTCAAATGTCAACAAACCGTCATGTGATGCTACTTTCTGTAGGCTCTCTATCACACCACGAGGGAGTCCCTTGGTACGATCATCACGCCAACGGTGTTCAATATCTGTAAGTTTCACATATCCTGTATGTTTGTCATCCATAATATCAAATAAAGTTCTCATTGCCGCAACGAATTGTTTCGGTAACGATTCCATATTTCTGGAAGATGCGTGATTCATGTTAAGTACTATTAAGATTAAATTCACATTCTCAGCTTTTAACAAAGAAATTATTTTGAACTTTCAGAGCTTGTTATTAAACAATTCACAAAAATGTTTGCACAGAATCACTGTTTCGGTATTTTTAAGATAAATATTATTACACTATTCTAAAAATGCTTATGTTTGAAACAAAAATCCAGCGCACTTTTGTATATTTACGCACAGAATATATATTTATAAAGAAGGTTAGCTGGTAATTAACTAGCACACGGTGTACCAGCATCTGTTATGGGTTGTATGACCACATGAGGACAAAAATCTGACCGTTTGTCAAACGGTAAGTTGTGGGCGAACCAATCGGCCGCTGCGAGAGAATTTGCGAGATATAATGAGCCCACGAGTGCGAGAAGGAGAACCGGTCAAACGACATTTCGAAGTATTTCGAACACTCCGGCATTGAGCGGGCAGGTAGACAGAGGACCGTGTGTGTGCTGTGGCTGTAAAATCTGTGTATATCAAAGTCATATGTGGAAATATTTGTGCGATGTAGCTAAACCATTGGATATTGATTACTTTTGTCAAATTAGTAATATGTTTATACAGTTTTAATAGCATATTGAAGTAACAGGACATCACTTGTATGCCATAGCGTTCATATTTTACTTGGCTATCAATGTTTTTCTTAAATATGATTATTATATATTATTATATATAATAATAATATATAGGATCTTATATATTATTATATTAAAGGGTTACACCATGAAATTTATTGTTTTATGTTCAAATATAAATGTAAGACAATTTTACAAAAATAATCTCATCAATAAAATGTATTTATAATAATGTAATAGGTAGTAAAAATATACCCTCATGTCTCACACATGCCCATCTGATCGCAGACTAGACAGAGCAGGTATTGTGGTAACTTGATTGCAAATTATATATATATATTTTTATATATGAGTTACTAAAATCATACATATCATACATTAATAACGCTCAAACACTGAATGAAAGATCCTACTCATCACGCAATTATTTGTCCTGGATGGCAATCGAATTCAGTAAGCAGGATCACATCTAACTTGTTCTATAAGTAGGTATAATATATACTATAAAATCACGGACTTCTTTCGCATGAAAGACACTATTAATTCGAGCTCGTGTAGATAGAAACTCTTTATTACGCACCACGTTTAGGCAACATACAATACAGAATACAAACAAAAAAACGGTGGTATACCTACTGGGCAACCGGCGACCTTATCGCAGTCTGCGATCTCTAACAGGCAACCTTTAGATATACTATGCTGTATAGTAATATTATTATATTATTATGTAGTTTGTAGTAAGCATTTACAATATACGTTTATAAATGAATATAACATGACATGACAAAATTATACACATATACGCAAATACATATTCATACACTGTACGAGTTATTATATTAGTTTTGAATTTTTTTATAAAGAAAAGAAAAGGTGCACGGATTGTGTAAGTGAGGAAGGGAGTAAACAGTGAAATGACGAATGATATAGTAGAATGAAATAATCATACATACTTTGCCGACCCCAAATAAAATTGGGATAACAGTAGGCAAATGATGATGATGACGATTCAATTACTATTTTTATGTTAGTGGTGGCAGACGAGCAGACGGGTCACCTGATGAAGGTGACCATCACCGCCCATGAACGTCTGCAACGCAGGAGTCAAACGCGTTGCCGGCCTTTCAGGAAGAAGTACGCTCTTTTCTTGAAGGTTTGAAGGTCGTATCGGTCCGGAAATACCGCAGACGATAACCCGTTCCACAGATTGGTTGTGCGGGGCAAAAAGTTTCTCGAAAAGCGCACAGTAGTAAATTGCCAACTATCCAGGTGATAAGAAAAATTTTGCCTTGTGGAACGATGGCGGATAGTTGCGGTTATTATTACTCCGAACAATGCAAGTATCATTCCTGATATAAAGTCGCTCCTAGAAGCCTGTGAACGCCCCAGGAGGCTTCTGCGCTTCTGGAAGGAGCTTGGCTGGCTCACCTAGTCAACGAATCCTCGACGCATAAAGGACCACTCTGAGTCTAAATGCGGAAACCGAAGCCCACAACCAATACCAATACCAAATACTCCGAACAATTCCTCGGAGCGCTCTCCATTATACACGGTGATTTTGAAAGCGTTTTGGAAAAGAAAATTTTGAGTTATTTATCAGTAACAGAAGCTCTATATAACGTTAATTTAATAATATATATATATTTTTTATCATCAAAGTCGATATTCATATCGATTACAGAGAAAAGGTGAGAACCAGTAGTAGGGCTTTTCAATCGCAAGTAGGTAAATACTACAAATAGAAATACTATACTCACGCGCAAGGTCAAGGACGTTTAAATTATTATTCGCCGGAGTGTAGTGCGTGCATACCTGGACAATGAGTTTAGTGATCGGTGGATAGGTCGAGGAGGGCCAGTGCCTTGGCCACGCAGAAGCCCGGACTTAACGCCCCTGGATTTTTTCTTATGGTCGGAAATAAAAATACTTGTTTATACACGGGAATATGAAAGCCGTGATAATTTACGCATTGCGATAGTGGACGCTTTTGATAAAGTGAAAAGTGATAGAGACACATTAAGAAAATTAAAAAACAATTGCATTAAACGTGGACGTTTGTGTATTGAATGCAGCGGACTCCATTTTGAGCAGTTGCTTCGATACAGAGAAGTGTTAATAGTGTAAATAGGTATGTAAGTTAATTATTCTGTAGATAGCTCCGATTTTTTAAATACGCTTGAAATATTTATACCTACAGTCCGTTGATAAATTGATTTGTTGTGAAAAGAACAATCGTGGTTAATAATCGAAAAGAAGTTTAAATAAAATAGGTATTTCCGACGGTCCTAAGCCCGTGTAAAGTATGAAGGACAAATTGGAGTCTATCTACGTAAGTACTCGCTAGCTCGCGCCTATAGGTATACTTTTATCAGCTGCTGTTAGCGTCAGCGGTGCGCAGCGGCCGCCGAAACGCCCACGGACATAAGATAATGAATGAATGATCAGTCCATTACTACTTTCCAAGTCGATCGATTAAAAATGAATATTAAAACTGAAACTTTTTTTTAGACAACATTACAATTGATTTAATCATTTTTATTGGTACTATAGATGATTCCAAATTAAAATGTTTCGTTTCCAAAACGCCTAAAAAATCACCGTGTATATATATATAGATATATATATATATATACTTTAAAGTTGTCACAAAATAAGAAGCCCGTTTTGACGTTTTTCATTTGACATGCCGCGATAACTTTGTATGAACGGCTATGTAAGAACTTGAAAAATCACATTCATAATCCTATTAAATTACTATGTTACCCATACACTATCAAAACGCGTATCATAAATAAGCATCAAGTTTAACTTTATATTGAAAAAATGCACTCAAAAACACGAATTAATCGTTGATTAATATTCCGACAGGACTTTACTACAATGTCATGTCTTTGGGTTGGTTGCCGTAGTCTTGTAACCGTTAAAAAGCCGCTTTATGGCCGAATAAAATAGAGTTTCTGAAAATCGTTTACAAAAATTACATTAAACAAAGAGATAAATGTGTAATTAGTGCATAATTCAATATTTAAACATATAAAAACAAAATCTGATCACATATAGTTTTAGCTTTATTTCGATATTTGATATGAATATTTTGATATTATACTAAATGATTTGGTTAAAAAACCCGGAGTGGACGCCGGGTTTTTTAACCAAATCATTTCATCATGATATTGAAAAAAATAATTCACCTCATTTTTCTGTCTCAAACGTCATGTCTCATTTTGCAACAGTCACATTTGACAACAGTCCTTAAAAGTAATTCTATAAAAGAATTTTCAAAGCCGTACATAATTTGTTTCCTTTCTCTATGTACCTATAGAATGGTTTGTCTATGACCAAGCGGCACGTGATCCATGCGCGTACCGCGTACTGCGCAGTCTTTCGTTCGACATCTTGTGAAGTTGACTGTGCGCTCGTTTATGTTTGATATTTTTTCTAGACTCGGCTTTGCTTTTGGACTGTTTTTGTTTACTATCACGTTGACCTTGGCTCTTCTATTCCGGACATTGATTAGACATAGCGATTTGGACTCGATTTTGGTGTTTGTTGTTATATTGTACAAACTCTGTTTCAACATGTCGAAAAGAGGACGTACAACCAACAGCCAATTGGTTGTGAAGTTAACCGAATACTTCGAACGCGAATCAGTTAATGGTGGACCATTATTACCCGTAACTCAAGTGCAAGATCGCGTAGCAGAAGCACTTCGAATTGGCAAAAAAACTATTCGAACCATTTTAAAGGAAAAGTATGGGTCTTCCGGTACTGAAGAGAATGTGTTACATACGCCTAAGAAGAGGAAGAAAAGCAAGCCTGTAACAGGTATTGACATATTTGACGCAGATGCTATTCGAAACCACGTATTTGCTTATTACACGAGAAGTGAGTACCCAACTGTAAGTAAGTTGGTGGTATCACTAAGAGAGGCTGGCCTGTTTAGAGGCAGTGCAACATCTTTAATAACAATTATGAAGCAAATTGGTTTCAAATACAAGAAAACCGACAAGAGGAAAATTATGATGGAACGATATGATATAATTTTGCACAGAGTATCATTCTTGAGGCAAATGAACAAAATTACAAATTGGGATAATGTCATATTTATCGATGAAACTTGGCTGAACTCGAATCATACCGTGCCACAGTCATGGACGGATGATACTAAGGCATCTTGTTCAAAAGTGCCAATGGGTAAGGGTGGACGCCTAATAATCTGCCATGCCGGATCAGCCGGGGAAGGTTTTGTTCATGATGCTCTACTCGCATTCGAGTCCAGAAGTACAAAAGAATACCACGAAGAAATGGATGCAAATAAATTCTTAGAGTGGTTTACTAAGTTGTTAATAAACCTCCCCGAACAGTGCACAATAATTATGGATAATGCACCTTACCATTCAGTTCAAATAGATAAGGCACCTACTCAAGCAAGCAAAAAGGCAGATTTAGTGGCGTGGTTACAAAGAAAAGGCGTAGAAGCTGACATGAATTTATAGCAAGCTGAACTGCTGGAATTAGTAAAACAAAATAAACCTGCAAAATTAAGATATAAAATCGATGAATTGGCACTTCAACATGGTCACAAATTGATAAGAACGCCGCCGTACCATTGTCAGTACAATCGATAGCTCATCTGGCTCGTCATCAGAAGAAAATGATTGATTTCACTTTTCTTGATTTTGTTGTGATTGAGCTAAATTTTTAAATTAAAGACAAATTGACATTTCTTTCCATTGTATCATTTCAAATTGCCTATAACATTAAAGTTTAAGTTAAATGTTCTAATTATAACTTAAATCCAATGCACTTTGTGATATATAGTCAAACCAATCAAATACTCTGCAAGCTTGAATCGATTTATCGTAAGTATCGTGCACCGAGTCGTATGGTTAATCACTAGTTACGCTCCCAAGACAAATGTCAAAACGGGCTTCTTATTTTGTGACGACTGTAATTTCTTTTAAATCTGATATTATAATAATTACATGGCAATCTTTCCCCTATTAAATTTCAAAGCAGTTTTTATTAATCTATTTTTCACAAGTTTTTCTCTATGACCAAAATGATCTTTTTACACGCTTTTTTTTTGCTTGTAATACTGTGCGTGACATAACGTCTACATCTGTCGTCTAGTTTATTCTATCCTTCATTAAACTTCATTCTATTTCCGATAAAAATATAACTAGTTATATATCAAGCATTTTTAATCTTACTTAAATTTGAAGAATCTTTCCTTTTTATATACATAGCATGTAAACTGTGCTTAAGTGATATCTTAGATAACATAATCTCAATTTAATAAAAACAGGGCACGGTTCGTTTTCTCATTTAAGTGTGTTGTGTAAATAAATTAACTTCGTAAAGAAACTATCTTAGTAAAACATGAGTAATGCAGATATTAAAAATGGACCTCATAGCAATGACTTAAACGGCACTATGAATCCTGATAAAGTACGTAAAGAATGGGTCAAATTTGACGAAGAATCTCCACAAAACACTACTCCTTCAGAACCACATAAAGCGCAAAGTATTCAGCAATCTGTTGGTGCAAGTTCATCTGCACCTAGTGAACCTGCAGCTGTTCTAAGAACGGAATCTGTACAAATTAATTTAGAAAGAGGAGACAAACATGTTGAACCAATCTCATTGGCGACATTATCAAAAAATGTTGAATTCGTTAACATTCGTCAAGGTTTTTGTAAGTACACCATATAACTATGGAACAAATAATCGTTTGAGTTATTTCTTCCTAATTTTTCTTACTTGCAGGTAATGGTGATATTATTGTTACACTTCTGCCAGTTAATTCGAAATGGCCTTGGGTAACAGCAGCACAATTCCGGCCAGAATTAGTCCCTGAAGAGTTAATGGCTCAAGGCCTTACAGTGAGTACATCTTATATGAGTAAGTAAATAAATGGTAAATTTTCTCTAATTTGATGTTGTACATACTTCATCTACAATTTCAGCTTACTGTCGAGGAATATGTTCATGCTATGGAACTGCTCATTAATGATGCTCGTTTCACCTTATACAACATCTGCTATAAACGTGTTCTTGTTTGTTGGATAACACTAGCATTCCTTGTGCTGTTGGCACTTCTATTTTCTGGACTCACAGGCCTGATGCTATTTTCACTTGGTGTGTTATGGCTGATTCTTAATGCTGCTGCAATATTTTTGTGCATGTGGATAAAATTGAGACTGTCAAAAGGATTAGAGCAGTGTTTGGCAAGAGTGAACAAGTTGCTCAGTAAACACAAGTTGATATTAGCACTAGATGACAGAGGAAAAATATCATGTCATAAAGTAAATCTCTGCTTCATATATTTTGATTCTGCAGCATGTATTACTCACATACAACAGTTCATTGAAAGTGAAGAAGGTAAAACTATAATGCAAGGTTGGGAACAAAGGCTTGATGTACCTGCAAATGATATTGTCATACAAGGTTCACAATCTACTAGACTGTCTCGGAAACAGGTATGTATTCATATTTAAGTATGTTCATGTACAGGAATGTCTAATTGTTGTTGTATATCTGTGCATTGAAGCAACTTTTGCTGTAGATGACTGGTATTAAAATATCCTGAGATAGAAATAATTCCTTTTATGTTCTGAAGTAATGCCATTTAGTTAGTATTATCTTGTAAAGAACCTACAATATTTGACCTTTGCATAAAATAAGTAAAGGATATTGGTGGTACACAATGTAGCTAGTTGTTGTTGAAAGTAATCCTTAGTGATTAAGTGTTATAACTTTTTTTTTATGCCATACCTTAGCATTCCAGTGTTGACTTAATACACCCAATATCTGAACTGAATAATGTTTGTACTGTGCGTTGTCCAATTTGCATTGAGCTTGTGCTTGGGGAACTTAGTAGAAAGTTTTTGTTAACTGAACCTAAGTCTAGAATATTAAAACTAAACCTAATTACACATTTTGTTACATACTGCTTTGTGTCACAAATAAGAAAACCATGTTTTCATTTTATTTTTTGTACTCCTACACCACAAACAGTAACTACATTTCTAAACACTTCATGTGTTTTAATATGAAAAAGTACATGAGTATTATGCTAAACAATGTTAAGAGCAGGGTAACATGTTTAAAACATAATATTAATAATTTCAATTTCTACTAGAACAAATAGTAACAAACAGTTGTGCATTAACTTTTTATTGCCAATGCTAAATTTAATGAATACAAGTAACTTAGGTCTATATAATGAGAGTGTAAAAGATAAAAGTTTTAAATTAATGTTTTAGGTAGTTAAGACTTTTGCTAAATTCTCCAGGCTCTCTTTTAAGCTTATAAACATATTTATCTTTACCACACTAAATAATGCAATAAGATTGTAATAATGTTCAGAAACTGCGTGTACTAAAATATTATTTGTGCTTGCTAATAATTTAACCACTTAATGATGACTGCTTAAATCACGCTAATTTAGGTGTAGGGTAAACAAGAGTGCTTTACTTATAATTTATATTAATATTCACTTCTGCATATTCACAATGTTCCCTGTAATGTATGTTTCGGCACTTTCATAATATAAAACATACTCTGCTCTTCCCAGTGTATTCCTAATTTCTATTTGTGTTTACTCCTCTGGAGGTCCTATTTTTATTTTAAATTACTGACAGACATGCATTCTTAACATATCATGAATGGATGATTTATGTTTAAATAGTTCTGTCTAAAAAAAGGAAGGAATGAATAAAAGATTATTATTGTTTATCAACCCTGCCCGAAAGAAAGTTGTAACTATGAATGAGAAGGCAAGAAGGGCATTGGATGGAAGTGGTGTATTAAGTTTTTATTTTGTATGATATAATAATGATGATTATAAAGTATTGGACTTTGGTACTTTTGAGTATACACGCACATGTAGACGATAGCACAAAAGATAGGCGGTATTATTGCCTAAGGCAATTTAGTGCAATTACACTTAGTGAATTCTTCACCTAAAGTGCTTCCATAAAGGCTTGCGTTTTATAAATAAAGTTGAACAGCACAGCAAGGTTCCAAATTTTTCAATACACAAAATTTAGATTTACATTGTAGATAGGCAGTTAACCTAATTCCACTGAAACTGTTTAGTCATAATTTTGTATTTACTTTTGGTTTATATTATAAGTAGTTATGGTGAAGAGAACCCCAGCTGTGTAGTTATGGTAAAGGGAACCTCAGCTGTAAATTTTATGATAATCTCATCATAGAGTATACAGTTGAAAACATTCTATGACAAAAAAAATTAATCGTTGGAAACGCCTTCAGCCCTCGCCGTACCTATATCGTCATAAAAAACTAATATACAAATGACAATGAGTTCACTTAGGCCGCTGCAGCTAACAACTAATGGGAAACAAAACTTAACACACTAATGATAAACAGACAAATTTATTTTAAAATGCCCTCTGCTTTTTTCGTTTAACAGCGGTGGTCCGTAGTTCCTTACATGTGCTCTTGTCGCTAATCCAAATGGGTGACAGTTTTTAGCCTGAGATGAAAGGGTGTGTTCGGCTTTCTTGTCCACGTTAATATTGCTTGTAATCTCGCTTTAAAATTATACTCTTTCTGAAATATTACTGGAGCGAACCTAACATCTGCAAACCTAACATTAAAATAAGGTAGGTAATTATGATTTTATTTCTACAATACTAACTGAACCGAGTTGAAAAATGGTTTTCATATACGAAATATTTTTTAACGACGTAACTGTGTCCACCATGTTCGGTTCGGAAGTTCAGAATACACTAAAGCCAAAAGATTTTATTAATTTATCCCGTATTACGCGATGCGAGCTTATACTTTTATTAAACCTTGACTTTTGTGGACGCTTACCCAGATTTGGCAGACGTGTAGTTTACCGTAAGCAATCCCATAGAAGGTGACGGTGATTTGTGTTATTGAGACTGTACTTTGGTGACAGCAGAGCGCATCTAACGGTATAAATATTTGGTTCAACAAAGCTTAGACCAATATTTTAAAAAGCCTTTTTTTTGTGTTGCATAGGTCGAAACTTTGTTAACCATCATTATTAAAACCACTATTATAATTTATTCTATTTGCATTTAACGACTTACCTACTAGCTATTTAGTGATGTGTTGTGAATCAATAATGATCATCGTAAGACGAGTAATTCTACTGGAAACTGATTTATACGACGAATGTTTTAACACAGAGGTGTTACATTTAGTTTTACAGTCCTGACAATAGCTTAAATTAAAAAGTTTACACTCTTTGGTGCATTGTGAGATGGTCTTGTTGGTCTAGTAGTTAGTGACCCTGACTGTTAAGCCGCAGGTCGTGGGTTCGATTCCCACCCAGGACAAATAATGGTGTGATGAGAACGATGATTTGTCCTGTGTCTGGGTGTAATTTATCTATGATATGTATTTAAAAATATATAAGTATGTTTACATAAGTATGTTACTATTATTATTATTATATTATTTTTTACTGTAGCTGACATTTATTTAATGTAGATACTGTTATTTATAAATTATTTCTTGCTTGTGGAGGTCCCCAATAATAATTAGGTAAAGTTAATGGTGACTGTAGTTTTGGCGGGTAAGCAAGGCATACGAATGTGCAGGGTATGGCAGATCAAGTGTACCTCCGGTACCTGCAGCGGTGGGGCAAAGACTTCCTGCGTCGTCGGCTCGACTGGACTCTTGATGAGGAAGGTGGCAATCCAGCTGCACCGCGCCATTTATCACAGGCGCTCTGCCCTTGTCAGTATATCGAGGAAGTATTAAGGAACAAAGAGCCCAGAGATATGCGCGCATGTTGCCCTCTATGCAACAATTGGCTCAGGCGTCGTGGGCTAGATTGACCAATTCTCTTCATCTTTGGCAAGTCTATAACTTTGTTATTGTATTCAAAAAATGTAGCTACTTTTAAATTACCTTAGCTTTTTATTCTGTCTTCTACAGGAAAGGGGGCAACTTCTATTTCTGCGGTATGCAGGTCGGTGGGGTGCATATGCTATGAAAAATAAACTAAACCTTGGTCACACAGTGCCTGGACGGCACGGCGAGAAGTATGTGTGTCCCTGTCAATTTATAGAAGAACATCTTAAAGTAAAACCCCCTACAGGTATTTCTAAGTATTTTACTCTACCTACTCAAAACATTCAAATATATTAATTGTAATTATCGCCATTATACTCAAATTACTCAGTTATAAGATGTCGATTAGTAAGATGCTGCTTTTGTCACTTTAAATTAAATATAACGGCCAAAAGAGATTTGACCGACGTCTAATAATTCAGTACTTTTCGAGTATTCGGCAAACAGAATAATTTTTATTTAGTGGCTATATGAAGTGTTGTAATATTCCGTCCATAATATATTAGTATCTTTACAATACTATGTATTTATTTCATTTGTACCTTGTAATTAACTATAATCTTGTATCTATTAGGTTTATATAAATAATTATAAGAATAACAAAGCGTAATAAGTATTATTTTCTTTTCATAAAGATTATGAACTTGGTAATAATTGCCATACACGTATTTTGTATATTTGGTCAAATGTAGATTTGAAAGAATGTTTTAGAATATAATAAAGTATTTAAACTATTTTTATAATAAGTAAAACAATCCTGTCCATCCACCAAAATATTTGAATAGTCATTGGTTTTTCTTAAAAAAAAATACAACATATCGTAGTATTTGTGTCATACATATGAAATGTAAGGTAATGAGATGATGAGAAGATATTCCTTACCCTTAAATACAAAATTCATGTTAAAAAAATATTTCTATATTAATTTACAAACGTAAAATATTTATCATCTACGCGAATTATTTACAATCATTCCTTTTGTAAATATATATACTGAAATAATGAGTATAATAAGTAAAAGTATGTTCAAAAGAAATAATATGAATTTGTGTTCAAGATTCAACACTCCTTAAAAGTACTTTGTCTCAAATTAGAGAAGTAGATTGTTTTACAGTTAAACATTATTACTAGATAAATGGGGTATTTGAGTTTTTAAATGAATGACAAAAATGATGTATACAGCTACTATTTACTAAGAATAACAATAAATCTCTTTATTTTCTTATCTTATGATTATTTTAGTTTACATTAGTTATAACAACAACAACATACCGAGTATTTGCGTTCGTGGCCATAAATTTAAGCTTTTACTGTTGTACAATACTTATTTTTATTATTTTTTTTTGTTATTTATTTTCATCTACTAAATTTATTTGATAAATGTTATATATTTGGTTCATGCGTTGGTTTTGATCAATTTTGATAAAAGATAGTTACAATTCTTATTTTATTACAAAATTATCGGAATACCTGTGTTAAAACATGTATGTATTTTTAAAGTCCTGACTAACAGTGTGGAAACTGAAAACATGTAATCACAATTTTGTAGACTAGTCAACTACAGATTTGCATGTAATATTATTTATGAGTGTATATTTACGTTTTCATAATAACAACCAAAGTTTTAATAAAATTCCTTAATTTATATTTTTAGAGTTGGATTTTAAAAGTTGAGCTAACAACTATATTTTATCACATACAAAATATGTTACTAACTGGACTATAGTCTTTACTTTCTATTTTTTACTAAAATAAGCCAGAATGTTACCAACATTGAACCACTGTATAAACAAAATGATTTCTAAAAACCAAGGAGAATCTTTTCAAAGAGAGCCATTTGCAAGATTAAATAAAAACCTTCAACATTTGAAGTCAATGGCCACAACGTCATGTTTGGTTGTTGGAGTCAAAATGTAAGTTCTTATTGAACGTTGATGAAACTTAATCTAATTTTACAGTTTTTTTTTGTAGTTTCTTGGAAAAATTTGAAGAAAGTGGAAACGTGGCAAATGCTCTCTTTGAACAAACGCTCGGCCATAACAATTCCCACTTAATTCAACATAAGCACACAAATAATATTCATTCAATAGGTAGCTAATAGGGTCGTTATGGCAAAAGTGGGTCACTCTTTATAGTCGTATTTTATTTTTATAAGTGTAGTATATTATATTGTCGTATTTTCAGTTGACTTAGTGTCCTTAGGTGTGAAATAAGTCAACTTTTGGAAGTATACCATGATGATTGGAGCAGTGTACTTTAACTCAATATGATTTGCAAGAAATAGTTTTAAGCATTTGTTGCTTGGGCAGGATGCTTTAACTTTGTATTTTTTATCATTTTCTCAATCTGATTCCTCGAAAATCTTCTGTATGCCTTTTTATGTGCGGTCTATTCTATTTCAATAACTACTGTTTCTTTGCATTTTGGCAAATAAAAATTCAGGCATTCTAACAGGCGTCTGGTAGTTGTAGTTGTTGTCAGTTGTAGGCGTGGAGAGGATCATCTCAAGCCTGAGCGCGAGCGTGAAGGAAACAAATATGTTTATAGTTTGTGGCAACTTAGTTTTTCCAAGTGATCCACTATTGCCACAGCGACCCTATAAATATTCATATAGCATATATAAAAGGCTGATAAAGTCATATCGACATTCAATGTGTAAAGTATTATTTAGTAATATGCGTAGGCATTTACTAAGCAGGTATTTTTGATGTTGTGATTATATATATATAAAAAAAAACATTCCGTCCTAAGCAATAAAATTATATTATAACCTTTGTAACATCGTTTAATATATTCCTATTTTTAATGAAAGCATTATTTAATTTTAACTACCCGATTTCACTGAATAAAAGAAAATAAAAATAAAAGTGGATTTCATTTAAAGTAAAATAAGGTCGTAAACCATACGTTACTTTACATCCCTTGAATTTAAAGATTATTTTTTTAGTACATGCTAAGAGAGAATGTTGGGATCGAAAATATTTCGTGACGCACATCTTGTACTATTTATACTGATCGTTAGGAAGCCTTGAGCTTGATAACTACTCCGTTTGCGACTGCAGTTAGGACTCTGCTCAGCACGGCTGGGGGTTCGACTCTGTTGTCTCCTAAGCAGAGCAAACCTCCGGCGACGTCGTGTCGTTACTGCAGTCATAAGAGAGGATCTCTCGCTACCGAGTGTCATACGCTTCAGGGTCGGTAGTGGCAGATGTTTTACCGCGGTCGCATCCTTTACGAAAATACGACATTTTTGACGTCGCAAAAGGAGGTGGCGGTGAGACCCCGGGAGCAAGATCTCCAATTGCAGACGTGGCTTCCAAGTTACAGCGGCCTCACGCCGCCCTGACTGTAGCCACGAGTAGACGGGACGGATTTTACCCCTCCACCGCCATAACAGCCAGCCGCAAGCAGGTGATGCCCGCGTATGCCTGGATGTCGTCTAAATAGAGAATCTAACCCTCCACTAGCTTGTGAGTTTAGCTAGGGTTACAACACTAGTTCAATAATGCGCATGCCCGTGCTCGGTAGGAGCGACAGACGTACGTATGTACGTGCGCATGTTTCGTTCTATGGAATGTTATTAGTTATTAATTATTGTTTGAGTAAAACAACAGCGTGAGGGGTTTATGGACCCCCGGTCGGAACGAAGTTCATTTCGCTTTATGATATTATATCTTATATACTGTTACGAGCGGGGTATATAATAAATAAAAGATGTCGGTTAATTACTTTATTGCACTGTATTTACAAACACTCACTATAATAAACTAGAAATCACTATATATCGCACTAGAAATTCACTCCGATGTTCATTCGCTGTGTCGTAAAACGAAACTGTATCGAACGGCCAACACGCTCCGCTTTTTTAGCGCTTTTCAAATTTACTAGAAAGTTGCTAGTATTCGACAGTCCGTTCCAACAAACACGAATATTCCAGAATCATGCGTTACGTAAGGATCAGAACTACTCGTATTAACCACAATCTTAATAGTTTAGTTGATACTAGATGGTGCTGTTCTCCACATTCCATACAATCGAACCATTTAATCCTATGGCGCAACAATACTATATAAGCATTTTATTGAGAATAGGTAAGTTTTATTTACTAGGTAAAGTTTTTGATTTAATTTGTTAGAAAAAGTCGCACATTTTTTAATAATATAAATAATTCAGTTTATTTTTCGCTTTTTAGTGTTTTTAGCCGAAGTATATCGGCGAACGACTGAGTTCCGGGCGGATAGCGGTGGTGGGCCCCCGCCCGAAGAGGTACGCGAGTGGCGCGAAGCCGCTCGTCGAGTCACGATGGCTCGTTGGTCGTCACGGCTGGAGGCTTCACGTGCTGGTATTGCCGACGTAGAGGCGCTCCCGCCGGTCATCGTCGAATGGCCAGGGCGGCAGCACGGGACTCTTTCCTTCCGACTGACGCAGGTCCTTTCCGGGCATGCCACTAGGAGGTAACTGAGTCATGCCTGTCACCACTGCGATTGCGATGAGGACTCGGCTTAGCACACGCTGGCAATTTGCCCGGCTTGGGCGTCGCATCGTCTGGGAGGCGTCTCACTGCCGGCCGTCATATGCTCCATGGCCGGTAGTGGTAAGTAGTTGTTTTACCGCGGTCGCTTCCTTCTGCGAAGATCTTATCTTATCTTATCTTGCAGAAGGAGTCGGCGGAGAGGGTCCTGGAGGATAATCTCCACTCGGACCCAATTCGCCACCGACGAACCAGGCGGCGGAGGCGCGCTTGCCAGCGCCTCATGCTATTTCGATTTTTTTATTATTATTTTAACTTATTTTTTTTTAGTAGTCGGTACTTCCCGGTTCACTCTGACCTGGCTTGTGGCACCCCCATGTTGTTAGCAAATAATAACAAGACATCCCTTATAACAAAGAACAACTCAGGAGCTAAAAGAAATAAAATTGTAATATTCGGTGATGAGATTGGGAAGGGTATGGGTCAGTTGCTGGGAAATATGTGCAGTGATTT